CGTGCAAAAAAAATCGAAATTTTTGCAAATCTCGACATTTTACAGCTCCCTGAGTCGGAAAACATAGTTTTGCAAACTTGTCCGTATGTCTGTGTGTATGTGTGTGTGTGTTTGTGTGTGCGTGTGTGTGTATACACGATAACTTGAGTACCGTTACAGCTAGGTTTATGAAATTTCATTTTTGCTATTTCCGATTTCTCAAAAAAAATGTATGTAAATTTATAAAGTATTAAAAATATTCCGCACCAATATGCACATTTTATTTAGCGTTCACTTGATGTGTAATTCTTTTTTTCTACGAGATTTTAATCTATTTTAAAACTTTAAGTATTTAAAATGGATTAAAAATCAGGTCTATATCCAGAGGTTGCTATCCCCTGTTGTTTCATATAAGAATATTCGAGAAAGTTTTGAGAAGATCACTATAATAACTCGACTGTTAAAGGTCCCATTAAAAAAAATAGCTAAGTATGAAATTAATCTGGTCCTGCCATTTAAGTAAACTGTCAACTGTTTTAACCCTAGAAAGTTACGTACATTTCAAGACTTCTGTAATCACGACCTTGAGATAGGTTATTATCGTAAGGTTTGCTAACAGGAGAAATCGTTCGATTTAATGATCTCGTAATTCATTAGTCATAATGTGTTTATAATTTTTTTTTCAGTTAAGTTAAAATATCGCCGTAATTAGCGATTTAGTAATTCCAGGGCGGTAGTGTGCGATGATGAGCGTTTCAAGATCCCCCACCCCCAACCTAAACCTCCAACCTCCACCTGCAACCCCCCCCCCCCCTCTGACCCCCACACGGCGTGGTCAATATTATGGATGCCTAAGGCAAGAACGGAACATTTGTCGAGAATCTGGACTTAGAAACACGAATACTGGCATTATCAGAGCGAACGTTTGCTGCAAGCTATGATTTTAAAATAGAGGAAAGATTTGTAGCCAGTCAGTATGTCAAGCATGGAAAGTAAAGTAAGAGGAAAGATTTGTAGGTAGTTATGGTGGCAAGCATGGATAGTAAAGTGGGGAAAGATTTGAAGCAGTCAGTATCAGTGTTTCTTCCAGACTTTTTTTCTCCGGGGGGGGGGGGGGGCACTTGAAATTTTCGGGGGGGGGGGGGGTAGACTTTTTTCGGGGGGTGGACACTGCTAAAAGTATATATTTTCTATATAAATTTCATTTCGTTCGGGGGAGGGGGGGGGCGGTAGATTTTCTTCGGGGGGAAGGGGGGGGGGGGAGCGGAGTCAGGAAGAAACTCTGGTCAGTATGTCAAGCAGGAATAGTAAAGTGGGTACAGATTTGTAGGCAGTCGGTATGTCAAGGATAGCTAGTAAAGTGGGGAAAGATTTGTAGGCAGATATGACAAGCAAGGATAGTAAAGTACGAGGAAAGATTTGGGAGCAGCCACAATCGCACGGAGAGGAAAGGTCTTCCGGTAAAAATTCAAGCGAATTATAGAAGATATTTGGAGGCAGAGAACAGAGAAGATATTTGGAGGCAGAGAACAGAAAAGATATTTGGAGGCAGAGAACAGAGAAGATATTTGGAGGCAGAGAACAGAGAAGATATTTGGAGGCAGAGAACAGAGAAGATATTTGGAGGCAGAGAACAGAGAAGATATTTGGAGGCAGAGAACAGAGAAGATATTTGGAGGCAGAGAACAGAGAAGATATTTGGAGGCAGAGAACAGAGAAGATATTTGGAGGCAGAGAACAGAGAAGATATTTGGAGGCAGAGAACAGAGAAGATATTTGGAGGCAGAGAACAGAAAAGATATTTGGAGGCAGAGAACAGAGAAGATATTTGGAGGCAGAGAACAGAGAAGATATTTGGAGGCAGAGAACAGAGAAGATATTTGGAGGCAGAGAACAGAGAAGATATTTGGAGGCAGAGAACAGAGAAGATATTTGGAGGCAGAGAACAGAAAAGATATTTGGAGGCAGAGAACAGAGAAGATATTTAGAGGCAGAGAACAGAGAAAATGCAGTAGAGAGCCGAGGAAATTGTTGTGATCTGGTCAGAATGATAAATCTCTGCTCCATCGCTCGAGTGCACGTGTGTCCTGGTGAGTACCCTCCTACGTCCCACGCCCCTGCTCTTGGGCCCCATCGATCGTCTGCTGGTTATTGTCTGGTCATTATAGCTGACCGAGATCATCTCACGGTAGTCACGTGATTTTATGGGAATCTGGTGCTTGATTTCTGCGTTATATGTAAAACGGGTGCGTTTATAATATTGGCGTATGTGATGGTGTGATGATGTATTGCTATTTGTACAACTGGTGTGTTGTGTGTTGGTATATGTACAACTGGTGTGTTGTGTGTTGGTATATGTAGAACTATTGTGCTGGTGTGTGAATTTTATTGGGTACGTAGGTGGCGCCGAGTAATCTTTAAAAAAAATAACATTGTTTGTTTTATTTTATTTATTTTATTTATTTTTCATTTATTTTTTGTTTAATTTTAATGGCTATTGAATTACATGAAAAACATTGACAAAAAACTGTTTGCTTTCGTTTTTTTAGCATAATCTAAGATCTAGCAATTGTTTGTAATAAAGATGTATTTTAAGCTATTTTACGATGAAAAAATATATGTGATTATTATTTTTCTATGTAACAGATCGGTTTTTTGTAGTATCGATTTTGATTTAATGGGATTGTACGTTCGGAAATGGGTGTGGGGGGGGGGGGGAATGCTACACAATTTGAGGGGTGTTCGATATGGACATTTTATATGAGTTGTATGAGTTGTGGTGTGGGTAAGTTTGTGTCACTTTTTATGTTATATCACATATGAAAGGTGACTTAAACGCAACATCTGATTCAAAAGATTATTGCTCAATTTGCTCAGATCAGAGGGCCCTGGGTGAATTTTGTTGTTAATTTCCGAACACAAACCCAATTGACACTCTCAATAGCATGCTTAGGGGTCGTCCATAAATGACGTCACACTCGTAGGGGGAGGGGGGGTTCGTAATTTTGTGACGGTGTGTGATTATGGGGAAGGGGGGGGGTCAGATGGTGCGGCGACGTCACACTTTTGCATTATAAAAAAAGCAATGTTAGAAAACGAATTTTAGACGTTATTTCGCGGTTTAGAAGAATGTTTTAATAAATTGTAATAGGAATTGATTAAAATACTCTATTTTGACAGAGTTCAGACCAGATTTTAGAAAAATATCGTTTTTTTTTTTTTGGGCCCTTAGAATTCAAGGCGTAGTGGTGATAGGCCTGGATACAGTCATATCCGCTTCCACCATCTACTCCCACCGCCACCACACAGACACACACACACCTGAGCAAAATCACGTGACTTGCTGTTTGTTTAATCGGATAATATTTCAATGGCTAAATGGTTGTTACCAGAATTGCAACACAATTACTTTGTTTTAAAAATTCACAATGTTGTGGAAGAAAAAAAACCAAAGGTTTGGAAATTTTAAACTGCAAGCAATGTGGTTACTTACTACAACACCCCGTTTCTTGAAATTTACAAGAATCAAAGACACTGCGAAGAGTAATTCTTAAAAGCATTAAAATTATTGGAAAAAAAATGAATGAAATTGGAAAAATTTTAAAATGTTGAAAGGGCGAAAAAAAAAACACGAAAGTGTGTTGTAATGGTCTGTGCTCCATTGAGAAATGAAAAAGACGAAGAAGAAAAAGTATCTACAACATCCATCTCCACTCTGGGCTAAGCTCAACTCTTCCTGTCTAATTATTGATTTAACTAATAATAATAGACTAGGCCTATTATTAATCAACAAAAATAGCTTACTTATAACATAAATTAAAGGGGCTCGGTGAGGTCGCAAGAACGAAGTGGTCACTTTTATTTACGTTTCTACGTCATCAACATTGTCAGCTGAGCCATCCAAACGGAAAATCCCGATTTTTAAAAAAATAAACCCTTCTTGTGGACAAGATCAGATAACTCAAAAGCTCCCCAGAGACCTGAACAAAACCAAAAGTGAATGGCGTCCCTTGAAGGAGAGTTCTGATGTTATTTGCTCAACTAGCGAGCTGATTTATGGGCGTTTAGCACGTTTAAAAAAAAAAGGCTTTTAAAATGTTTTAAGATGGGATTGATATTTTGTTTCTTTGAGTTCATTTTTTTGTTCTAAGGTGTTCGTTTCAAAACGAGCTGCATAATTTAGACGTTTGTAAAAGCATGTGAAGAGCCTACACTACAGAGATAAGTGGCTAGAGTTGATGGCCAATGATTCAGTGCAGTTTGTAGGTGGTGGGTGAGAGATGGGGAATGTGAATTTTTAAAAATTTCTTTTGTTTTTGAAAGACGTGTGGTCTATCTTGTAGAATTTGTGGTGATAGAGGAACCTTTTTAATTTTGATCAGAGTTCCTTTCAGGCATCTCTTCAGGTGGGGGGGGGGCGGAGTTTCCCGAAAAAAAGTCTACCGCCCCTCTCCCTTGAACGAAATGAAATAGAAAATATATACTTTTAACAGTCTCCGCCCCCCACCCCTCGAAAATTTCAAGTGCCTCCCCGGAGAAAAAAAGTCTGGAAGAAACACTGATTTTGATATTGAAGGGCATATCCTCCAACACATTTAAGTCTTACGTGTCAACACGCGTCGACATATGACCCGTTGATTCAAACTTCAGCTGGTTTTGCTTTCATAGTCTTTGTCTATTCAAGAACAACCTGCAAGGCAGCTGTTCAATTTTGGAGTTTAGTTTTCCCCAGATGGATTTTTGTGGCTACCAGACGAGCCTCATCCGCCACGGGTTCGAACTCGGGAATTTAGAAATTAGCAACCATGCTAAGAAGAACCACCGGGCAGAAGAGGCTCGTTGGCTGGGAACAGCAACCCATCCAGGGGAGAAAACTCGTTAGTTGGGGGACAGCAACCTTGCTAGGGGAGACAACTCCGAAATCAAACAAGACTGCGGACCCTAAGCGTTAGGAGTTCTAGCTCTTGTTTCGATTCGACAGATCCTGCAACACAGGACATCATAGATGAATACCATCAGAGATGGAACACCATCAGAAATGTGTAGACACCATCAAGATGTGGAGACACCATCAGAGATGTGGAGACACCATCAGAGATGTGGAGACACCATCAGAAATGTGTAGACACCATCAAGATGTGGAGACACCATCAGAAATGTGGAGACACCATCAGAGATGTGAGACACCATCAGAAATGTGTAGACACCATCAGAGATGTGGAGACACCATCAGAGATGTGGAGACACCATCAGAAATGTGGAGACACCATCAGAAATGTGTAGACACCATCAGAGATGTGGAGACACCATCAGAGATGTGGAGACACCATCAGAGATGTGGAGACACCATCAGAGATGTGGAGACACCATCAGAGATGTGGAGACACCATCAAGATGTGGAGACACCATCAGAGATGTGGAGACACCATCAAGATGTGGAGACACCATCAAGATGTGGAGACACCATCAGAGATGTGGAGACACCATCAGAGATGTGGAGACACCATCAGAGATGTGGAGACACCATCAGAGATGTGGAGACACCATCAGAGATGTGGAGACACCATCAGAGATGGAATACCATCAGAGATGTGGAGACACCATCAGAGATGTGGAGACACCATCAGAGATGTGGAGACACCATCAGAGATGTGGAGACACCATCAGAGATGTGGAGACACCATCAAGATGTGGAGACACCATCAGAGATGTGGAGACACCATCAAGATGTGGAGACACCATCAAGATGTGGAGACACCATCAGAGATGTGGAGACACCATCAGAGATGTGGAGACACCATCAGAGATGTGGAGACACCATCAGAGATGTGGAGACACCATCAGAGATGTGGAGACACCATCAGAGATGTGGAGACACCATCAAGATGTGGAGACACCATCAGAGATGTGGAGACACCATCAAGATGTGGAGACACCATCAAGATGTGGAGACACCATCAGAGATGTGGAGACACCATCAGAGATGTGAAGACACCATCAGAGATGTGGAGACACCATCAGAGATGTGGAGACACCATCAGAAATGTGTAGACACCATCAAGATGTGGAGACACCATCAGAGATGTGGAGACACCATCAGAGATGTGGAGACACCATCAGAAATGTGGAGACACCATCAGAGATGTGAGACACCATCAGAAATGTGAGACACCATCAGAAATGTGGAGACACCATCAGAGATGTGAGACACCATCAGAAATGTGGAGAAACCATTAGAAATGTAGGGACACCAAAGATGTGGGGACACCATTAGATATGTGGGGACACCATCAGATATGTAGGGACACCAAAGATATGTAGGGACACCAAAGATGTGGGGACACCATCAGATATGTGGAGACACCATCAGATATGTGGAGAAACCATCAGATATGTGGGGACACCAGAAATGTGGAGACACCATCAGAAATGTGATACACCATTAGATATGTGAGACACCATCAGAAATGTGGAGACACCATCAGAAATGTGGAGACACCATCAGAAATGTGGAGAAACCATTAGAAATGTGGAGACACCATCAGAAATGTGGAGAAACCATTAGAAATGTAGGGACACCAAAGATGTGGGGACACCATCAGATATGTGGGGGACACCATCAGATATGTAGGGACACCAAAGATGTGGGGACACCATCAGATATGTAGGGACACCAAAGATGTGGGGACACCATCAGATATGTGGAGACACCATCAGAAATGTGTAGACACCATCAAGATGTGGAGACACCATCAGAAATGTGGAGACACCATCAGAGATGTGGGGACACCATCACACTAGTGCCGAGGCTGCTAGACTATTGCTGCCATTGTTGCTGTTGTTCAATTAATGATATATAATCCAGCTTATAAATCTATTTTCATCAACCACACAACACAATGGCTAGTATGTTAATCTATATCCAGCTTATAAATCTATTTTCATCAACCACACAACACAATGCCCACATCATCCAGCTACGTTTATCAACCACACGACACAATGGCTAGTTTGTTAATCTATGCCCACATCATCCAGCTACGTTTATCAACCACACGACACAATGGCTAGTTTGTTAATCTATGCCCACATCATCCAGCTACGTTTATCAACCACACGACACAATGGCTAGTTTGTTAATCTATGCCCACATCATCCAGCTACGTTTATCAACCACACGACACAATGGCTAGTTTGTTAATCTATGCCCACATCATCCAGCTACGTTTATCAACCACACAACACAATGGCTTGGATACTTGATTTTTTATTGCCACCACAAACGTGTAGTTCAAAGGTCAACAAAAAGAACACTTTGATCACTCTGAGTAGGATAACAAACAGGGTTTCTTTCAGATATTTGTCTCCTTAGGGAGGGGGGGGGGGGGGCACTTGAAAAAAAAGGGGGGGGGGGGGGCGGAGCACTAAAAAATTTTGGCATATAGGACAGTGGTAATAAATTATCAGTGGGGGGGGGGGGGACAACTGGGAGGAGGGGTGGGGTAGAGAGATGCCTGAAAGAAACTCTGATAACAAATAATATAAATGTATAGCTTGTAAATATTAAATATATTTATATTTAATGCTGTTATAAGCATTTGATTTTTATAAATAGATATTTTTAACAAAAGTAAAAAAAAAATGCACATCCACTCAACATGATAACTGCCCATTAATAGTAAGACTTGGTTACTAATGGCTGTATCAAACTACTGCACAAAAATTTGGTTTAATTTAGGGTTAGACTGGCTTATGTTTCCAATACTGTATCCTAGTATAGGGATACAGTGAAAGGCAGATTCATTAAAACAATGTGTAGTGAGGAGTGGCCAGGGTAACCAAATCTTCGATTGCCCAGACAGGAGGGTATACATTTACTTCATCTTTGAAGGTATAGGCCTATATGTATACCAATTTAGATGGTATACATTTACACCAAATTTACTTCAGCTTAGAAGGTATAGGCCTATATGTATACCAATTTAGATGGTATACATTTACACCAAATTTACTTCAATTTAGAAAGTATACAAACATATAAGGTATACGTCATTTACATTAACATAGAAGGTATACAATTACTCTGACACAATATATATGTATTGATTGAAGGCATTTATTATGTAATCTGACACAAGAAGTATATATTTACTCTGATGCAGTAGGTATATATTTGTAAAGGTATGTATTAACACTAAAAAAAAAAAATTTCTAATACTAAGATTTACAATTTTTTTTTTTCAGATGAGACAAGTCCCAATTTTTTTTAAAAATTTGTCACATATGATGACATGTCACAATTTTTATGTCACATATGATGACATGTCACAATTTTTATGTCACATATGATGACATGTCACAACTCTTATGTCACAAATGACAACATGTATTTGCATAAGACATAAGTTAAAGCTTTTACAATGGTAACAGTTTATAAGTGAAGCACTTAAAGTCAAGTAACATGAAGCAACTCCTCTGCTTAGTGTACTTAGAGACAGTCCCCACTGCCTTAGTAGGATTTGAACACTGGTCTTTCAGATTCACTCAGACACTAGACAACCCTTTACAATTTATTTACTGGAATAACAGAAACCGTTAACACTTCAATCTCCCCATCTACACATGTGCCATAATATTTTACTCATCTCCTTTTAACATATGTACCATAACATTTCACCCATCTCACTTTTTAACAAATGTATGACAATATTTCGTCCATCTCCTGTCAACAAATGTACCATAATATTTTGCTCATCTCTTTTTAACATATGTACCATAATACTTTGACCATCTCATTTGAACATATGTACCATAATATTTTGTCCACCTCCTGTTAACATATGTACCATATTATTTTGTCCATCTCTTTTTAACATCTGTACCATAATATTTTGTCCATCTCTGATCCACACATTCCATCGTAGAAGTTCAGTTTACTGTCCAACAACTTATCACATAATTTTTAGAACATTCAGCAGTACAAAAAAAAAACATTAGGTCTTACTACAGACCAGATTATTGGAAGAAAAAAATCTTTAACAATAACCATTAAAGTTATCAAACACATGTAAATATAAGAATGAAGGTACCAAAATCCTTAAAGTAACAAAAGTAATCAAGTTTAAATAAAAATATAAAAATGAAAGATATTATACATAAATATAAAAAAGTTCAAATTTCTTTAACTTAACAGCTAAGTAAACAAAACAGAAATACGCATATGCATAAAATATAAAAATAATCATACAACATGCTAAAGCTATCACATTCAAGGAAATGTAACAGTTACACATATAATACTAATATACAATATACAAAAACATAAAATCCGATGTAAAGTTGTAAACCATACAAAAAAATATAACAAAACAGAACAGAACTCAAGTTCAGATACAGATTTTTTAAACAAAACAGGTGACAATTTACATTTATTTTTAAACACCAAGGTACACAACTCTAAGAAATATTTTTAAACCATGTATGGTCCAATTTATTTAAGTGGGTAAGGGGCAGAAACCAACAAAATATTATAAATACAATGCAAGGCAACTCTGGCATAAAAACTAAAAATAAATTTGAAAACAAAAACTGAATTAAATATGTTAAAGAAAGTGCAGGGAATATTTCATTTTTACAACAAAACCTTTTTAAAACCACACAGCAATACACAACATGATAACAATGAATCAGGGATTAATCTAATGACTGTATGACAAGGTTCTAGAACTATAGGAGGAATAGCTGGCCATACACAATACATAGTATGGAATGATGACATATAGATTAATCATGTCATTAATGACAGGAAAAAATTATGATAATTTAAATATTTGATCTGAACTAAAAGAGGGATATTTAGTTTAAAAAAAAAAAAAAAAATTTAGTTTAATGTAGGCTGTTGTTCCGAAAAGGAATGTTTTTTGTTTGTTTTTTTTTTTAGAAATTCTGGATATTATGCTTTAACAACTCCAAAAAAAAAAAAAATGATAATTTAAATATTCATTTACTTATTTAAAGTTCTAAATCTTGCTTCTTTCTCACAGCAACCTTTTGAAAACTCAATGCGACCAGTACATAAATAAACACTCTTTCAACTAGTCAACTTAATTTGTTTCCCTGCATAGAAAATGCTTCACATTGACATTCTCTGAAAAATTTCCTTTCCACTCCCCACCCAGACTTCTGACACTTTCATTTGACCTTCACCCCTTTTACTGTATCCTTTGTAAAAAATTTTATAATCATATACATGACATCATGTAAATATTCATTATGCACATGTACAAAACCTTTCGTTTTCATTTGAAACTATGTAAAAAATGTGATGTTGATGTACTTGTTTTAATTGCAAATTAAAAAAAAAAATACATAAAAAAAAAATGATAATTTAAATAAAATGATTTTTTTTCCTCAGCCATACAAATACATTTGGTGTATCTAATTAACAACAAAGAGTATTTTTGGACAAACGAGAAGTCTTCGAGTACCGAAAAAAAATTTGTTCCGTTTCTTTTACTCAGCTGTAGTAGACAGAGTGAAATGTTTTTAGAAGGCGCTCTCTCAGAATCATCAGCTAGAATTTTAAAAATAAGAAATCAAGAGAAATTAATCAAATATAGTGCTAATCACAAACTATAACAACTGAGTCATCACTTAGTTTAATTATTTTAAACACGAAATTCAGACAAAAAATGTATAAATAGAACATTAGCTCTACACAAAAATTAACTTCTTTTGATTCTGCATACTTAATTTTAGTGTTATTAATAAAGTATACGTGTCAACTTGTTATGCACTATAAAGGCTGTTGACTCCGATTTCAGCCTGCTTTTCTTTTTGGATTTGCTTCTATAGCCTTTGTCCAACCAAGAACAGACTACAAAGCAGCAGGTGTTTGATTTTAGAGTTGTCTCTCCTAGAAGAGTGGCTGTCCTCAGTTGCCTCATCTACCAGAGGGTTCGAACTTTAGACTTGTCAGTATAACAACCATGAACTTTACCAAATCGACTACGCTGACCCCAAACTAAAACTAAAATAGCACTCAAATGAGCAGAAAATGGTTAGTAATAGAATATTTAATCTACAAATATATTATTTGGTCTCTAAACCAGTCACAAACTAATCTATTTTTCAAGTTAAACAGACAGATGTCAATCAAATCCCAGCATTCAACTGCCACTGACTGCACTAAACTGACCTCACGCTCTGCCAGGTTAATCTTCAGACACAAGAGCTTGACGTCTGCTACATCTGGCGTCTGCTCAGTTCTCTCCTTCATGTCCTTCACTTCTCTCTCCACACAGGACATGTAGTCTGAGGACGATAGGACAGGCAGTTAATGACAGGACTGAGGTAATTAGGATTGAATGACAGGAACAAGTTATATATCACTGAATGACAGGAACAAGTCATATATCACTGAATGACATGAACAAGTCATATATCACTGAATGACAGGAACAAGTCATATATCACTGAATGACAGGACTGAGTCATATATCACTGAATGACAGGAACAAGTCATATATCACTGAATGACAGGACTGAGTCATATATCACTGAATGACAGGACTGAGTCATATATCACTGAATGACAGGACTGAGTCATATATCACTGAATGACAGGACTGAGTCATATATCACTGAATGACAGGAACAAGTCAAATATCACTGAATGACAGGACTGAGTCATATATCACTGAATGACAGGACTGAGTCATATATCACTGAATGACAGGAACAAGTCATATATCACTGAATGACAGGAACAAGTCATATATCACTGAATGACAGGACTGAGTCATATATCATTGAATGACAGGAACAAGTCATATATCACTGAATGACAGGACTGAGTCATATATCACTGAATGACAGGACTGAGTCATATATCACTAAATGATAGGAACAAGTCATATATCACTGAATGACAGGACTGAGTCATACATCACTGAATGACAGGAAAAAGTCACATATCACTGAATGAAAGGAACAAGTCATATATCACTGAATGACAGAACAAGTCATATATCACTGAATGACTGACCAAGTCATATATCACTGAATGACTGAACAAGTCATATATCACTGAATGACAGGAACAAGTCATATATCACTGAATGACAGGACTGAGTCATATATCACTGAATGACAGGACTGAGTCATATATCACTAAATGACATGAACAAGCCATTTAGAACTCATGATAGGAACAAGTCATATATCACTGAATGACAGGACTGAGTCATACATCACTGAATGACAGGAAAAAGTCACATATCACTGAATGAAAGGAACAAGTCATATATCACTGAATGACAGAACAAGTCATATATCACTGAATGACTGAACAAGTCATATATCACTGAATGACAGGAACAAGTCATATATCACTGAATGACAGGACTGAGTCATATATCACTGAATGACAGGACTGAGTCATATATCACTAAATGACATGAACAAGCCATTTAGAACTCATTCTTGTCTTTAAGTGCAGGAAGAACAGGAAGAAGTCAATTGTATGCTTTGTAACAGACTCATATGCGTCTTGGGCACTTTTAAATTTTTTATTTAAATGTATTTTAATACAAATAAGACACACTGTATAAAACCCCTGACTAGACAGTAAAACATAATTTACTAATTAAACACATGACTTGACCCACCTTCCCAAACATGGAGCCCTCCACACGTCAACATTTTCTTGATCTCCTTCATCTTAGCGTGTAACATCTCAGATCTAACTTTACTCTCATGTGTTCCCTGGGGAACAGAGGAATTACACACTAAACAGTATTTACAACACACCAATAATATATTACACAGGTCAAAATAACAGAAGAATTACACACTAAAATGTACTCACAACACACCAATAAAATATTACACAGGTCAAAATAACAAGAATTACACACTAAAATGTACTCACAACACATCAATAAAATATTACACAGGTCAAAATAACAGAAGAATTACACACTAAAATGTACTCACAACACACCAATAAAATATTACACAGGTCAAAATAACAGAAGAATTACACACTAATATGTACACAACGACAAAAAAAAATAACATTGTTCATGATAATTGAAGAAATACTCACCAAACTGTAGACAACACAACGATAAAATCTAATAATTTACTACTCTGATCATTAACAGTTAATAGACTCTATGAAACTAATTTAACCATACAAGAATGAAAAGGTCAAAGTGTAAAATAAGTTCAACTACAGACTGTGATAGTGTTTGGGCTTTTAAATTTTAGAATGTTTTTCTACAACCCTTGATGTTTTCATAGGTGTTCTAATTACAAGAATTATATTAATAAAACAATTTTATATGAAACCAACAAAAACCTGCCACAAATCACTGTAAATTGAACTCAAGGAACCATAACTTTTAATCCCATGAACTTGACCTGACCTATTTAAACTAGCATACTCTACCTTGGCTGCCTCTACCAGATACTCAAATTTGATGTTCTCCAGGCAAGTAAATCTGTAAACAGACATGAGTCATGGTTATTTTTTGTAAAGATAAATTACCAAAATAATTCTCATTAGAGCTATGGTGATTTTGGGTACAGACCAATGACACAAAATTTAATAGAGTTATGGTTACTGTTTCTTAATTTAGAGCTTCATCTTTAGAGTTAACTTCCCTTTAATATTTAAAAACAACTCACTTTGTAGTTGAAACATCAGAGTTCTGAAAACTGTGGCCATTCACCAAATTTGGTAAACTTGAAAGACTCGAGGGTTTATATGAAGAGACAGGTGGATCACAGTTACCAGCAGTAAAAAAATTGTTATTTCTGTTTTGATGAGACACCGCCAAACTGTTTTTGTCTGGCTTATTAACCTGCACTGGTAGAGACGCTGGGCCTTGCTGCTGTGGAGACATCCGACCCACGGATAAGTCAAGCGACTTAAACGGGTTACCCGTATCCGAGGATGTCATGACCATGGAGTCCATCAAATCCTGAAACTCATCTTTAGAAAAATCATCGTTAGGAAAATCATTATTCTCAAACGAATAACTTTTCTGAACAATATCCTTGTTGGGTGTTAATTCTTGTGAGGCGAAACTTTGATCAGAAGTAAAAACAGCTGATGTTCTGGAATCTTCTGCTGATTCAACGCCTGCTGTCTGGTTCTGCAGTGCTGCTACTTGACCATTAACCAATTCTCTGTTTGAATTGTTGATCCCAGATTGGTCATCTTGATGAAACTTTCTTTGATTAACTGCATGGACGGTCCTTATTTCAGTGTCATGATTTACAGCTTGTGATTCAGGTAATGAGATAGGTTCCACATCAACATGAGAAGTTGAATGACCTGGTACACTATCAACAGTGTTGATACTGTTTTCAACACAATCAGAAGAGCCAAGAACAGGGCCAGAGTTTTCAGCATCTCTAGTGCTTGCTTGTTGAGCAGTGGCTGTGTGGATGGAAGTTATGTTGTCAGCATGCTCTTGGGCAGATGTTTGACTTGTGGGAGGATTACTGGTATGTTGGGGGACCTCAGTCGTATGCTGGGGAACATCAGTCGTATGCTGGGGAACATCAGTCATATGCTGGGGAACATCAGTGGTATGCTGGGGAACATCAGTCATATGCTGGGGAACAGATTCACTTGTATGCTGTAGAATAGCATCACTGTTATGGTAGGAAACATCCTTGGTAAACTGAGGAAAGGATTCGGTAGTATGCTGTGGATCATCATTGGTATGCTGTGTAACAGATTCAGTAGTATGCTGTGGACCATCATTGGTATGCTGTAGACTGTCAGCGGTATGCTGTGGTGCACCATCACCAGTATGAAGTGAAACAATATCTGGATGAACTGGGGAAACATCATTGGATTGCGTGGAAGAAACATCACTAATGAGCTCCATTGAAACATCACTGGCATGGCCTAGATCACCAGCTCTTGGATGCTTTAAGACATCATTCACCTCGTCTAAAACATGAACAGTATTGCCTGGGTCATTATGTGAGAGTGCTGAATCAAGCTCAGCAGCTTCATTATGGGCAGCAGCTGTGTGTTCTGGAGGTGCATCACGAGCAGGTGTAGCACCAGCAACTGCTGGGCCATCTCCTGCACTACGGCTGTTGGCAGCTTCACCAGCATAGGGTGGGGCCACATCACCAGCTGTCTCCACATCGCTAGCATATCCCTCTGTGACATCTCTAACATCATCACTACCACTATCTGAAGCAACATCATGAGCAGATCCTGTCATTACATCACGAGCATATCCCACCTCAACACCACTAGAACTCCTCTTTGTAGTATCCCTAGCACAACTTGTAGCGACATCTGAAGCCACAGCATCACCAAACCCTGTAGCGAACCCTGCGGCAACATCTCTAGCATGTTCCGGAGTCACAACACCTGCATACTTCACAGCAACATCACTACCGTAAGCTGGAGGAGCATCATCATCACACCCCGGCACCACATCACTATCTCTCTTTACAACAACACCACCTTTACTTTCACCACCACTGACATGTTGTTGTAGCTCCCCACTCTTCACCCCCACATCCCTCACCTGGCTCAACACCGCTATCTGTGAGTTAGTTAACCCACTGGAACTATAAGACATCACTGAATTACTTCCCATGTTATCAGGCCCATTTTGGCAAGGGAGAAAACCCAGCGAGCTCAGCATTTCATACGGTCGGGCTATAACTGCACCCTTCAGAATGTTTTTTACTCTCTTCTCTTCATCAGAAAGTTCACTGGATTTTTTTCCAACCTCCCCCGACCTGGATTCAGTGTTACTCTGGTTAGCAAGACTTTGGGGCTGGGAGTCTCCTGATAGAACTCTTTCCTTCCAGGAGTCCATGCTTGTTCTTGTAGGAGATGGTTGGTGAGGGGAGGGTGGGGTGGGGTTAGTGCTCCTAGTGACTGGGTGATGCACACCTTGATAAGGGTGATGTGGGGAGGGTGGGGTGGGGTTGGTGCTCCTCAAACCTTGATGCTCTGTGACAGGTGAGTTGGCAGAGGATGAATATGATGCGGCAGCCTGCAACAAACAACATGTGACAGTCAGATCTTTTAAGTAAACAAAATATAGGAGAAAACAACTCCAGAGGTGGGAAAGAAAGGGAGACTATTTAGCCTCAACACATTTTAAATTAAAATCATTTTAATTTTAATCATTTTTTAAGATATAAAATATCCTGGAAGCTTTAAAAGAAATCTATTTATTCATTAAAAAATGTGACTTACATGATATGGAGGTGGTTTATGGAATGTGACTTACAAAACAGAAAAGTGTTGTATGGAATGTTACAAGATATGGAGGTGGTTTATGGGATGTGACTTACATGATATGGAGGTGGTTTATGGAATGTGACTTACAAAACAGAAAAGTGTTGTATGGAATGTTACAAGATATGGAGGTGGTTTATGGGATGTGACTTACATGATATGGAGGTGGTTTATGGAATGTGACTTACAAAACAGAAAAGTGTTGTATGGAATGTTACAAGATATGGAGGTGGTTTATGGACTTACAAGATATGGAGGTGGTTTATGGAATGTAGCTTATATATGGAGGTGGTTTATGGACTTACAAGATATGGAGGTGGTTTATGGAATGTAGCTTATATATGGAGATGGTTTATGGGCTTACAAGATATGGAGGTGGTTTGTGGGATGAGACTTACAAGATATGGAGGTGGTTTATGGAATGCTACAAGATCAGGTTTTGATGTTGGCAGGTCTAGTGAAGAATAAGCTGGAGGAAATTGTGAATCAGCTGGCACAGGAACAAAGCCTGGTGATTTGGGGATCTGTGGACACACAAAAATGGTGGCCATTTTAGTTCAGTTTACTGTTGTAGTTGTTGTTAACTTCGGCAACTTAAAATACAGGTAATAGCTTCTTTTAAAGTTATTTTTGTTTTAAACTTCCAATTTTTATTTTACATTTATTATTTTTGCTAATAAATGAATTTTTTTAAATTGAGAATTCTATGTAGGCAAAGCATTTCTATTGTATAGTTTTTCCACTCTTTTTACTTTTTGAAATGACCAAGTCTTTTGTTATTGTAGGTACACCAAACACAACACCAGAAACCCACCCATGACAACACCTGCAACCCACACACAACCCACCAATGACAACACCTGCAACCCACACACAACCCACCAATGACAACACCTGCAACCCACACACAACCCACCCATGACAACACCTGCAACCCACACACAACCCACACACTACCTACCCATGACAACACCTGCAACCCATACACTACCCACCCATGACAACACCAGCAACCCACCCATGACAACACCTGCAACCCACACAAAACCCACCAATGACAACACCTGCAACCCACACACAACCCACACACTACCTACCCATGACAACACCTGCAACCCACACACAACCCACCCATGACAACACCTGCAACCCACACACAACCCACCCATGACAACACCTGCAACCCACACACAACCCACCCATGACAACACCTGCAACCCACACACAACCCACACACTACCTACCCATGACAACACCTGCAACCCACACACAACCCACACACAACCCACCCATGACAACACCTGCAACCCACACACAACCCACACACTACCTACCCATGACAACACCTGCAACCCACACACAACCCACACACAACCCACCCATGACAACACCTGCAACCCACACACAACCCACACACAACCCACACACAACCCACCAATGACAACACCAGAAACCCACCCATGACAACACCAAGAACCCACCCACTCTACCACCAATGTTTACAAAAGAAATCAAGTACCTTTGTCTTATCTACATGTTCCCCTTTTTCCAAAGCCGCTTTCATGGACTCCAACATCTGTAAATATAAAGTAATTCATTTGCTGCCCTAAATTTCTAATGCTTCTTCTTTGTTCTTAATTTTTTAATGTTGGAAGTGATTCCCTTTAACACAATTAAGTATTATGAGTCAACTGTTTATGCGCCACATAGACTGCTGACTTCAATTTCAGCCATTCTTTTCTTTTTGGATTTCATATTTTATATTTTTTACCAAGGCAACCATATTTGTTTCTTGTATATGTTTTGTGTACTGGATTATCGTCCTTAAATATGAATGCTGATCAAGTGAGAGTTTCAGATAATGGACTAGCACAATGCCATTAAATATTCAAGTTTATGTTCTTTTTTCTCAGGCATAGCAGCACTGACACTAAAATTTCATTTTCTAGTGATCGCTTGGGCAGATGAAGTACAGTTCATATTTCTTGATATCTGCATATGAAGGGATAGTGTGGTCATCACTATGCCAGCAGCCTTTACTTTACCCAATGTAAGCCAAGTACCCATCAGAGCTGGGTAGACTCAGAAACATCCTACAATCACAAATCCTAAAATGAACTCAGAACTTAAGACCTTCAAGCTAGGTCTAAAGAGGAACTTGACTTTTACTAAAATATCATAATTTGGTATGGTAAAATAATAAAAAGGTGACCAATCCACTCACCTTGACAACTTTGAAATGTTTTAAGGCCTCGTCCTGCTGTTTCTTTTCTTTAAAATAAAATGTTGCGACTTTGTACTCTGACAGTCTGGTTTCAACAAGCGCCAGGTCTTCAATAGCTTGGTCAGTGGTCATTTTCTTCTCTGCGACTGTTGAGTACATTTTTGATCATTGAAAAAAAAAATAAAACATTTCCAAAAAATAAAAAACGAGGCTTCGTCTTTTTTAGGCAGACATGATTACTTAGGCGAAGATATGCTTATCTTGTAAATGTTTTGTGTATTGAATTAATAACCTTTAACTTTGATCTTTAAAATTTTAAATAATGTATTACATTATAATCGTCATGATTTCAAGTGTTATCTTAACTGAGCCTCAAAGAACAACTAGACACATAACAGATGTGGTTAGATCTATGTCGTCTGGTCATAACTTGCATCGCAAGTACTGGGTCCACCCCCCGTCCACCCCATCTCACCAGCTGAGAATACCTGGGGGCAGCTAAGAACGTCCTAAAGCCCTACACTGTCAATTTCTGAAAGCCAAGAACTTTAAGATCTATGGTCATACTAATTACTGTGTAAATAAGTGAAAGTATAGCTGCTTAGTCAATCCAGCAGACAGTACATAACTTCACCAACTTAAGGCTACACAGCTATTATAAGCTTAAAAAAAATATACTGTAACATAGAAAAACGTACTGGCCAACTCCTCCAAATCTTCAGCTTGTTTGGTCAACATTGTCAGGGTCCTGTCATCGGGTGCTGTTGAGTTTGTGTTGAGTTTGGTCTCAATATCAGCCAGTTTCTGAAAATTGTAACATAAACAGTGTTTAAATTTATATACTTGTTTTTACCACACAAAAAAAAACCACAAACGCTATTATTCAAAATTTAGACACTAAATTTGTGTGTGTATGTTTCTATAGTTAACCTATGGCTTGCCTCACACACAACACATTATATTTTGCGTGTGTATGTGTTACTATAGTTAGCCAGTGGTTAGCCAAACTCACTCTACACAAGACATTATATTTTTTGTGTGGTACTATAGTTAGCCATTATATTTTGTGTGCTACTATTGCCAGTGCATTGACAGACTCACCCTACACAAGTCAGCCGCCTGCTCTTGTAAAAGTGAGTTAGTAAACTTCAAGTTGGACACCCTGAGGGTCAGAGATCTCACCAGAATTTTTAACTTGACTTTGTTTACTTTCCTTTCTGGTGACCTTACTAGTAGCAGAGGCAATAATTAATTAGTCCAGCTAGTAATTTTATAATTTATTTTATTTAATTTATAACAGACATTTTTAAATTATAGAATGAACACTGATACCTAAAAAAATTATATTTACTAACCTTTATTTCTAATTAGTTCAGAAATTGCTATTATAAATTAGTTTTATTAAATTAAAGATCAGACATTCTTATATTATAGCCTCTATACAGACATCTACTAAACAGATTAACCCTAACCTTTATTCCTAATACTCAAAACTTGACATATTATACATAGTACTAAACTAACTATATGCTACAGATAACTAACCAGGATTTTCAGCAGTAAACGTATGCTCATATTCTGATGGAATGTCTCGTTTCCAAACTGGTCGATTAGCTTTAGCTCTTGTCATCAAAAACTCTAATTTCTACGGAACAAACATTTTAACGGAAATTAATTATCAATGCTAAACAAACAAAAAATAGCCAATACATGTTTTTATATTAACATATGAATACCAAAACCAATGATAACTTCCATTTAGTTCACTTCACACAAAAGATATTGGCCAGATACATGCCCAATTTCAATGCCAAAATTTTAACCAATAATAGTAAGGTGTTTTTGGATAGTAGATTGCTAAACCAAAAGTCTAAAAGTTCTGATCCCTGACTTAAGTCCATAGTTCATGTTCATGAGTCTACCCAGCTCTAATGGGTACCTGGTTAGGGAAAACTAAGGTAGTTGGACATAGTACTGTACTGACCACACTATCCCTTTATAAACCAAGGTAATTATAACAAGAACTCTACTTCATCTGTTCCATGTGTCTTTGGCATTGATGGTAAAAGAAGTGGCGAGTACGTTACCCGAATAGCATTCTGTATTTTAGGAACTCTGTGATCTCCAGGATTATTTTCTGCAGCAAGTAAAGCAGCATGGTATGTGGAGATTCTTTGGGTCAACGTTTCCATTGCATTGTTATCAAGTTCTAGACAGTGGAAATGACATTTTTGTTGTTTAAAAAAAATAAGTATTTTATATTTTTGTTGTTTCAAAAAAAAAGTAATTTATATTTTTGTTTTTTTAAATTTTTTTAAAAAATGTATTTTATATTTTTTTGCTTTAAAAAAAGTATGCTAGTTATTAACTTTTGTTTCAATATATAGGAAAACTATCATAATTAATTTTCAGTCCTACCGTCATCACTTGGTATGGGCACTGAAGGGGGTAGCTCATCTGCTCTGACTGGTATCCCAGCCTTGGTGCGGTTTTGTAAATCATTGAGAACCTTTGCAACAAAAAAAAAATACAATTATAAGAATAGTATAACATGTGATACATATTTATGTTCTAGTTATTTAATATGTTCAGTGTACTCAAAAGTCACTAATTAATAATACAAATTTGTACACAGATTCTAATGTTTTGATCTGTAAAGCTTACAAGAGCATGTAATCAATATAACAAAAGCCGCTATTTGAAATTTCCTAAAATAATGCTATTAGTTTTATCAAGTTTTAAGCGTAAGGTTTATATAAGCATGACTAAATATAGCAAAAGCTGATACTTAAAATGTGCTAAAATTATGCTATTAGTTTTATCAAGTTTTAATCTCATAACATAAAGCTTACATAAGCATGACCAAATAAATATAACAAATGCCTATACTTAAAATGTGCTTAAATTATGCTATTAGTTTTATCAAGTTTTAATCTCATAGCATAAGGCTTACAAAAGCATTAAAAAACCAATATAACAAAAGTCAATACTTATAATGTAATAAAATCATTCTATTAGTTGCGACAAGTTACAATCTCATTGTGCCCTACCTGGAGACTTTGTTGCAGGGTTTGAATTTTATTTAATCTGTCTTCAGACAACTCCTCCTCAGCAAAGTATAAAGCTTTGTGGTAATTGGCCAGGCGCAATGAGATTTCATTCATTGGGTTTTTTAAAACATCTGAAATAAAACAAACAACAGCTGGTTAAATTTAAAGACAAAAAAATCATGCATCACCCATAAAGAAAATAACCTAAAAATCATATGTGATGGATTATTTGATGATTTAATAAATTATGTATTCTAACATATTAAAATATGATAATTTTTTTCTAAATAAATACAATAATTAAAACTGATATTTCAAGTATTTTTAATAGACAACAGTATTTAAGTTGTGTTTATTTTTAAATAAACACACAACAGACAAATAAAAAGTCTGATTTGAAAACATTCATTTTTTTTTTTGGTTTTTTAACATTCTTCATAATCTGTTTGTTCTTACTCTTTCCATACACAAATACAAGAAAACATACAGAGGAGAAAAGGCAAATATATGTTAAAAATAAGGTTTGTTAGGAAAAAAATTATTTCAATACAAAACTTACAATATCATAAAACCTATTATTTTTTTTAACAGTATCATGAAATTAATTATTTTAGTTCTTGCAATATCATGAAACTTATTATTTTAGTACTTACTTATTGTAAGATTGTAACTTACCTAGCTGAGGTGCAATGATCAGAGAAGGGGGAACCACTCTGGAATCAACAGTCCTGCCAGAATTTACTTGCTCCATTAGATCCACAAGTTGCTGAGAAAAACATTTACATTTTTTTTTTAAATTGAAATTCACAAAAACAATTTTTCATAATATTTTATTTGAAAAAAAAATATTAGAATTTAAAGACAAAAATATTCTGTCTCAATTTTACTTTCGATTTATAAACACTGCATTTTAATTTTTAAAATTAGTAAGTGTATAGGCCTATAACTGATTGACAATTGTGAGGGTTTTAAATTTAAGATTTGAATAATGCAAATATTTTTGGTAAATTAATATTTATTTAGCAGAGCATCAGATGAACACAATAATTTTCGGAGTAGCTAGTAATAGCTTTAAAAGAAAAGTACTCCAGAAATCTTCAATACAAATATTAATGGATGATTTCAGTTCCAAGAACTGAGACTTAATTGTGTTCAAAGGATCGGAAGATATCATTTCTGATCTGACAGTCGACCAATCATTAGAACAGGTAAAGTAGAATGTGTCTGTTTTAATTACTACTGCATGTGAAGGTATAGTGTAAAGGGCTGAAAAGACAGACTCTTGAGAAGACAAACATATTTGTAAAGACTAATTTATGAAGACTGTCACTTACTTACTTACTTGTGAAGATTGTCATTTGGGAAGAGTGAGACTTAATTGTGACTACTGGCACTTAGATATGAAGAATGAGACTTACTTGTGAAGACTGACCCTTACTTATGAAGACTGAGACTTACTTGTGAAGATTGACCCATACTTATGAAGACTGAGACTTACTTGTATATCCATCTGAATCTGTGAGGCCTGATGAGAATCATTCATCTGCGTAGCCCTGTCCAGTGCACTAATGTACTGACTGATGCGCTCCTCAAGGAGATGGGCAGTCACCATCGTACTTCTCTGATACAAATATTTTTTAATTTAGTCACACAACTGGTACACAATGTTTTTATTAAAATGAGTGGGCTCAATCAGAATAATTAAAATAGAAATTTAATTTAATTTTTATTCATGATTTTGTTGTTTCTTATCTCTTGTTTTAAAGAGAGTTACACGTGTTTATTAATCAAACTTTTAATAATAATTTAATGGTGAAAGTAAACAAAATTTAGAAACAATGTAGACTACTTGCTTGGAAGAATTACAGTTTATTTAATATAGATAACTACTCAATATTTGAGAAGAATTATGCTTTTATGATTTAATTCTGAAGGAGCAGACAGTTATCTATATTATTAATGTAAAGAATGTAAGGAGGACCAAAATATAAGAACATAAAAAAAATAATGTTTTTTACCTCTCTGTCTGGCCAAGACATTTTGTCAATGTGTGGATCAAACCTGTAGTTCTTTTACTTCAGGAAAAGGGAAATCAAACATTTAGTATGCGATAAATGGTACATGATAATTTTCGTAGTAGGCGTATCTACAACACAAATTGCTGTATAAGATTTTGAAATTTTAAAACTGCAAGAAAAGATGAAAAAAAGCAGCAAATGTTCAACCCAGAAAGTTAACACCTGGAATTTACAAAAATTAAATTTTTCATTTCCTGTCAATAAATAAGACATAAACAGTAATAGTATTATGTAATCAATATGGCTTGGGCACAATATTCATTTTAAAAAAATCACAAATTGATATTGGCTTTTTAGATCTTGGTTAAAACTGTAATTTAAGTTATAGGCCTATACTTGTTAAGTTATTAGATATATAATTAGTAGATTTAGTTAATTATAATTTATATTTTAAGTAGAATTTACTTGATCTAGATGAATATTGTTACTAGATTATATACTATGCTGGGTGATATAGACGTAATTCTAATAGAGTCAGAGTAGAGAATTCTATGGCAAGTTATTAAATATTATGATAATGGTATTATCTTGGTATTAATTTAGTGCCTATAAATTTATTTTTTATTTTTATAGGCTACTTTTTAATTTTAGTTTATTATAAGAGCTAGAGTCTAGACCAGTGGTACTTAACCTGGATTCAATCGAACCGCGCAAGTTTGGTGAGACAGTTTCAGGGGCTGAGGTCTAGACACACACACAATTTTGTCAGAGATTTAGTCAGTAAGAATGATACAACTAGCTGTCGCAGCAGATGGCATTTCAAATATGGCAGCACGACAGCATGATGTATATAAAGTGTGATATATTTCTGTATCTCAGAACCCTTGATGTCACGACACACAGATGGATCGATCATACTTTTTATTCCTATATCGTGGTCCAGTGGTCAACTTGGGACTGACCTAAGGATATGTCTTGCGATTTCTTTCTTAAGAATTTAACGATGTCACCAAAAAGGAAAGTGGTCATACGAATATGTACAATATGGATTCAAAAGTATATCAGAAGTTGAAGGCTGTCGACATCAGAGAACTGAAAGGCAATAGCAGAAGTCACACTGATTTGCAATAAATATTTCATTCATTATTATGTTTTTGTGTGAAAATCATATTTTAATGGATTTGTTCTTTAAACACAGTGATGCACAGTTCATTTTGTGTACCAGTAAAATACAAACATAGATTTTGAGTTTGATCCTATTATTAAGAATAGTTTAGTAAATTTACTAGATTCTAAATGTGATTATGAAGCTGGTGGGGTTCACTGACAGTTCAGTTGTGGGTACCTTAAAATTTTAAAATTTTTAATTTTTTTTTATTATAATGGTAGACTCTGGATTTAAATAATAAATATGTGCATTATTTTATTAATATAGTTAGATCTATAGGCATACTATTATGTCATTTCATATTCAATGACTCATATTGATTTCATAACATTTCAATTAAAATACATTGAACGCCATTGAACAGCTTCTGCAAAAGTTCTGTGGGCGGAGTCGAGACACTTGTGACTGTAAAAAATCATTTTATAAAATCGCTTAACAACAACACAGATCTACTTGCTTATATTAATGTATCTACTAGTTCAATTTCATTATGCTATACATCTAAATAATGACGTAAATTACTTTTATGTAAAGGAAACTGGTAAACTTACCCAACATGAGAAAGTGTTTTGTTTTTATTTCCGCTCGTTTCGTTACTTTGTCGATTTTGTTAAACAAGTCAATGTTTTTAAGAAGTCGAACAAAATGCACAATATGGGCCAAATTCTAATATTAAATCTATGAAGATTTGGCCAAATTTATAATTTTTATTATTATTTAATTAAAGATTATTTACAAATATGGTTGTGTATTTGTATACAGTGTTTCTTTCAGACTTTTTTCTCGATGGGGGGGGGGAGCACTTGAAACTTTTAGGGAAGGGGAGGCAGACTAAATTTTACAGGGTGGCGGACACTTGTCAAAGTATATTATATGTATATTTTCTACAATAGTTCTATTTTCTTCAGGGAGTGGGGGTTAGGGGTGGAGAGGGGAAGAGATGCCTGGCAGAAATACTGTTTGTATAAGTTGATATAGGTTTATATAGGCCTATATAAATGAGGAAAGTACCCTTTTGAACCTGAAGGTCCATGAAGTAGGTTGAGTTCACATTTTTCAGTGACTCTAGCATTGGATGGTGCAATCACTTTATACTTTCAGATTAGCATATATATATATATATATATATATATATATATATGCATGCAGTTTTTTTTTTAATCTTCATTATCTTGTAACACTTTCTTAAAATAGAATCAATCAAGTTGAAGCATAATAAAGCATTTTAGTTTAATAAACTCGAATGTTTCCATATCATATGTTTCCCAAGAATATTTTAGGGAGAAAAGCACCTCCATGGCACTGCTTTAGAACTGCCAAAGCCGATTCAATAAACTAAAACTTAACAAGTTTAAAAAGAATGAACACAATTGAACTCATTAGTATTTTTATTTACTCATCATTTGCATAAATATAGTTTTAACACAACAACTTCCATATTACAACAACATAGAAATAGTATCTGTTTCAGCAAACACCCACAGGTGCCCATTGTTGCTTAATGATTTCTAATGCACACATTTTTTTTTAAATGAATATGTGGACTTAGCAAAGACTTAGAGTTTATATGAATGAATGTTTTGTGTTTAGGTTTGTATAGCTCTAGCAAGCATTGTTTACTGTCTAAAAATAATTATCTGCTTTGTTCTGTTTCTAAAAGTTTATATTATTTACTGCATTTTTTTAAATTAATTAAAAATAATTAAAAACATGGCTCAAAACATGAAGTCAATAAATAAATAAATAAATAGACGCAACCAGAATAAAAATATCAACTAAGAATGCTCAGATTTTTTCCACAAGAAGTCACCTGATAGTCATACAGTAATGAAATGTAGAACTGAAGTTTATTTAATTCACTCCAATTCCTAGGAGCATGTACAACATAAAGGGAAATCACTGTAGCAGACAAATTTTACTTCAGCATCATGAAAAGCTGAGGAAATTTCTTTTATGGAGAGAACACCCTGTGCAAAGCATTAATCTCAAATCCATCACATTTCTAGATTTGAGGATGACTACCAATCCTTTGATATGTTAATTTATATATTTTAACAGTTTTTTTACCAATATAATTTAAAAGCTACAATAACCCATCTATATGAACAAGTCAATGGATTTGAATTTTAATCAAAATAATTTAATCAGAACAAATTTTAATCTAAATAATTTATGAATTAGCACATATATTATATTTCCATCAACATATCAAATGTTTCCAATTGCTCTGTAAAAATAGTTCTCATTTATGAAAATATGTACATTGTTTTATTTACAGATGGGTGAATTAAAACATTTTGACACAAAATCAGTCCAATATACCAGCGTTCATCTTTCAGTGCTCTAAGTAGATTACTTTATGTCTAATAAAACAAGCCTTGCATAAAACAGATGAAACATTAAAGCGATGAAAAAAAAATTAAATGCAAAAACAAAATTAATTATATTTAATTTATTTCTAAGGCTTGTTGACTAAAATGATCATATATTTTAACTTATGTATCTTCTGTTTACAAAAAAATACTTCCTCCAATAAAAAATCATGGAAACAATTATGACTTATATCTAAGTGTTAAACTTTGCCTTGATTGCAGCCAGCTGTGGAAAGAAAATACATTGTTGATTCAATATAATGGTCATACAAATGTGATATTAATTATGCTAAAACAAATAGAGTGAACTGTTTTGTTAAACAGGTTTATAACATATTAAAACTGATCAACTAGGTCATAAAAAAAACAACTATTAAAACAGTTAAGAAATTATATAATCCCTACTATTCATCATCTTTTCCTGTTTGTGACCATGACACATGGGGCAGATGAAGTAGAGTTCATCTGTAGCAATCAATTACCTTAGCGTACTTTATATATATATATATATATATATATATATATATATATATATATATATATATATATATATATATATATATATATATATATATATATATGACTTGGTGATACTTTGAATTTAAACCACCAACAAAGTAAAAGTTTTAACCTCTTTCTCAGCAAACTTTTTCTTTGTCAAATACACCTCAGCTTTCTGTTTATCCCCAAGTTTAGCAAACTGCATGGCCTCTCTGTGAAAACTCAGCACTTCCGCTTGTACTGTATCTAGATAGGCTGTGAATTGTTTTAAAACAATGTCTAAAACATGACTAATCCACAATAATTTATTTTGCGATCTAAGTTAATTAAGTATGTATTATAACTGAATCTATAATGATTGATGGAGTTGCTTCAATGATAAAAAATAACCAGTACTTCTAAGAACAGATTGCACAGCAGATCTAAGCTGTTTTTTTTTTTTGCAATTATTGCAGCCTTATTATAGACTACTTTTTAGCTATAAGGGTGATCCTGACCATAACTTGAACAGCAATACAAATAGTAAAACAAATGACCACATATTTATTGTCTTTAGATTAAAAAAAATATCAAAGTGATTATTTATCCAAATTTATTTTATATATGAATAAATGAATATGCTTAAATGGTAAATTTGAAAGGATTTTACTGGATTAAAATATTTAATATTAGCTTTCATATAAAAACTATAAAAGAGGAATTTTATTTTTAACTTTTTTTTTAATGACAATATTGAATGTTACCTTTCCAAGCATCCCGTCCACCTTCCCTCAATCTTTTTTGCTGTAATTCAATCTTCTCCTCAATCATAGCACTCTTGTGCTTCAGAACCTGGGTCTGTGACAAGCTTAAGCTGTCTTTCAGCTGCAGGATCTATTGATTTTTCAAACACCAGAGCGTCAATTAGTTTAAACAAATAGCATGATAGAAGTAGAAAATGTGGGATAGCACATGACTAACTCAGTGAGTGTTAATGCAGTCCTAAGTTCAGATCAAATCACTGACATCATTTATTTGACGAGATCGTGGAAAATTGACTACTCCACACCCCTTGTTGACCAAAAGGCTTCTTTTTTTTTAATTTTGCATTTTGTGGGCACAACCGTATGTTATATAATATATATAATAAATATATCTATATATCTAACTTGGAATCCCCAGGGGAAGAGGGAAGCAGGCTGGCCAAGGAAATCGTGGGGAGGACAGTAGAAGATGAGGCAAGGGCTGCCATGGCAAATAAAGAGAGCTGCTCAAAAAATGAGTCTGATAGAGAGGTGTGGCTGCAGCCCTTTGCTCCACAGGGGCCACAAAGGAATCATTGAAGTGAAGATATAACTAGCTCTTTTACACAACATATATATCTCTAAATATATTTGAGTTAAACTGTGCTACACATAAACATCTACATGTACTTTATAACAAACTAAACTACATACGTACGTGTGGACCATCTTGATACTACATAGCACCATACACATCTACGTAACTGACCTGTTTATCCAACAGTTGTTTCTCATAGCGTAGGACTTCCATACAACTTGTCCCATCGCTGAAATTAAAGAATATACTTAATTAACGATTACATTTGATTTTACAAGTTAATTCATCTTTCTTGCACATAAATATATATTACAATCATAAACTACACTGAGGAACCTAATAGATGTTGAGGCAGCAGGGATAGTCATTTGTTTTTGTAACCACGGCACATACAGGATGTCTCACACATCATGCCTGTCATGGTCATCCCAGACTTATCTCTTGTAGTTGTAACCATGGTAACATGAGAGCTTGGGAAGGCTACAGACCTGACCCAATGACCAGATTACCACATGGGTTTGAGCACATATCATTCAAGCGTGATCACGCACTTGTCTGATACTCAGCCACATGCAAATATTTACAAAAAATATTCTAGAAAAAAAATTAAAAGAATGCAAGATCATGGGTAACTTCAATTTGAATAAATCTTTTTGAATCAATTTTCATGATTTTTTAATACAAAACTGTAAACAATATTTGCACTGTTGTTTTTAAAAAATAGATATACAAGTATGTATTTAAGGTGGACAGTAGTAAAATTTAAGGATTAGATTAAATTGAAATAAAACTCAAGTTTAGTTTACCCTAATTAAATATATTGTATAAATTACATTTGCGTATGTGAAAGATTTTAATTAAATTGTTAGTCACTTGAATCTTCTATTCATTACCACAGGCCTTGAAGAAGGTATAAAGGACATAGGTATATAATACCTTTGCACAATAAATAATAGGAATTATTTTCATTAAATGCTTTTTTTTTGGTACAATTTACTTGTGTATGGGTACAAATGATTAAATGTACATTTTTTGCCTTCACTACAGATGTAATTCAATTTGACTATGTTTTAGCAATCTGAAACAATCATGATAGATATGGGGATTGTATTTAAACAATTTGCAAAAATTTGATTGGGTTAATGATATATACAAGCAATCTGAAACAATCATGCTTGTATTTGTTCTCAGTAATGGTTGAATGATCAGGGCAGTATTTTACACACAAACATACTTATCACATAGTAAGTGTATCTATTTTAATACTTTCTTAAAAAATGTGTTACTCCAAAAAAAGAAAAGTAAATACTATCCTACAATACATTTTACAAAATTATTTTATTTGTACATAACAATAGCTCTAAGCGTCGACATTATAGTAGTTTATTTTGTACAAGCCATTCGACTGAGAGGCAGAAATTATTCCAGTCCAAGTCTCCACCCTGACGGACAAGTTTTTCTATTTTTAGCATTTTGTGAAATGACATTATTTTTTTACATCTCTGCCAATAAAAATTACAATTAGTTTTAACTAATATAAAAAGCATGTTTTATTTTTATTTATTTTTTTCTACATTATAAATTCTAAGGTCACAATCAAAAGAAAAAAAATTATTTCAGGAGTAATTTTATATAATATGTTTGTTTTTATAGATTAAAAATAGTTTTCTTAAACTTATTAAACAAATGCTTTTCCAAAATAAAGCTTACTCTTATCTAGAAACCTCAAATTTAATGTCAATAGGAAAAATAAGCATCATGTTTCAGCATCTTATTTCTTCATAAGATAATAGACGTAATAAAATAACAATATAGTTTATAATCACAAAACAGATTTTATTTAATTTTAGCGTCTATACAAAAAAACATGGAATTAAAATATCACAGTTGGAATGGAAATGAATTATGGATAAATAAGTTCAATAACATAGTAACTTATGTACATTCAATTTCATCAATTACAAAATATGTCAAGAAGTGTTATTTTTTTAGTGTAAGACATAAGCAGGAGCAAAGATATTGAGCAAGGTTTGTTTTAAAAAGTTATGAGCTACCAGCCCCTCAGACTTTTTCCAATGAATAAACTTAAAACAAAACTTAATTGAGATTTCATAATTCAGATCCGTATGGAAATAATTATTGAAAAAAAAAACCCGTCACCAACATTAGAACATTAAATATCAATGTCGACCATTGAAACAAAATTTAAACGCTTGATTTGTTGATGAAGGCAGATTTTTGGCCAGTATGGTGGAAGTTATGACATTTCAATACTACAGAAAATATTTGTGTCACTTAATGTAACATTTTTAAACATTAAAGCTATTTAAATAGTTTTTTTTTTAACTGAAAATTTCAAAATAAGAAATGTAATTAAAGTAAATAGTTGAGAAGAAAAGCCAGCATGCAAGCTTGATTTGATCCCATGCCTCTAAGATATAACACAAACTTTAGACCGCCTGTAAGGAGAACAAGACAAAAATTAGGTAGATTACAGCTACTCGCTACAAGCTGAACATAAGAAAAAGTAGTTGTCTAGGTAGTTAAGTTTACTGAGATTTCTTTTTTAATTTATCTTTTCAAGTGTGGCAGTTTTAAAAAAAATTGTTTCTTATTTAGTTTATAAAACATTGAAATAATTAATATGTAAACTGTTTGAAGTGGCATCATTTTCTTAAAATTGATTTATTGAGATGGTAATGGCATAAAGAATAACTAAGAAGATTAAAAAACATAACTACTATGTCCTCTGTAAAAAAAAAAAATTTAAACTATTTTTTTATCATTATTTTCAATCTTATACATGTTTTCAAATCAAAGCATATACCTATTTTCTTATCATCAATGTCCACACATGTAAGTTTTCAAAGAAGAAATCTTAAAAGCATTATCGTGCAAATGATATAATCTTATACTGGTGACATAGGTTTTTATGACTGTACAAGTGTATATTGATAGTTAGGGTTTATACTGATTTTAAACTTTCTAATTAAAGAACTGCAACCAAATAATGTTTTAACAACACAGTTTATAGCCAAACCAACATACAAGAGAAAAAAATATATCATGCTAATTTCTGAACCATAAATAAAAACTTTAAAAATAAAATCTAAGAACACAAATGGTGCAAAACGTTGAACTTTAACTTAAGTTATTTACATATTACTTAACTTTTTTTATATTTTACGTTTCATCGCTTCATAAGCAAAAGGCTCACACCTCAAATTAGTAATACAAGATTGAAAAAAAAGACAGACAGAATAAATTATTAAAATAAATTGTTACAGAACAATTGAAAAAATAGGTAGACTATAGATTATTAAAATAAATTGTTATAGAACAATTGAAAAAATAGATAGACTGTATAAATTATTAAAATAATTTGTTACAGGACAATTGAAAAAATAGGTAGACTATAAATTACTAATATAAGTTGTTATAGAGCAATATGTATCTTTAAGACAAGAAAGAGGTGGCTTAATTGAAGCTAAACTGTCCCAATTTATTTTAACAACACACCAAAATTTCCATTCAAAATAAGTAGGCCTATACAGTACACACAAAAAGATGATGAAACAAACAAAATAGATTAGTAGGTGTAAGTAGTTCTAGCATTAATATGGTGAAAGGTAAGCAGTCTTTAGCCAGACAAGCAAATCTAGAAAATTAAAATAAGGTTACCTTGTTGATTTTGGTGCCTTTATAAAGAAAAAAATGTTAAAATTTGAATCAAATGATTATTTTTAATGTATATACACCTAAGGGTTGTCCAATAATGACATCATGCTATTTTTAACCATGTTTGCCCAATCTCCCCCCCAGTCACAATAAAAGTCAGCCCTCGTCAAAATTACATCACACATATAGAGGTTTTTGCTATTGAAGCAGCAATCTATTTCTAAAATACTAACAGTTGAATCAAGACTAAATGAACAGATCTAGATCAATTTTGATTGCAACAAAAGTTGTTTTTTTGTTCATGCAAAATAAGTGGTAATATTCAGCTTAAAATTATTTTTTAAAATGCAAATACATTGATGCCACACTTTTTGATCACCCTCCTCCCTATGTCATAATAAGTTTCCCTTTCAAACCTGACGGTCTATGGGGCAAGTGAAGTAGAGTTCACTTGTTTCTGTGACCTCAGCATATGAAGAGATAGTGTGGTCAGCACTATGCCCAGCCGCCTTTACTTTCCCTAACAGGAGTTAGGTACCCATCAGAGTTGGGTGGACTCAGGGACGGTCTACTGACCCTATGTCATACACTGTCACAAAAGTCTAACCATCATTCCACCCCCCTCAGATGTGATGGACGAATTATGGACCATAATATTTACAGGAATTTTTTTTTTAAACAGGATACATAAAAAGAATAACTCAAAGATACAAAGGGCTTCCTCTGTGGGGGACCAAAAAACCTCTAAAGTTTTGATTATATATACCATTACAGAAAAAATTAATCAAATAGATTTTTTTTTTTATTCTAAGGAATTTTGGTGGTTTAAACACTAATAATTAAGAACGAAGAAGAAGAAGGTGGTTTAAAAATAGCAAATCGTTACACTAGTGCTTAGCTGGTCTCACCTTTGCTTCTATTTGACTCTGAAATTTAAAAAAAAAATTCTCGTTAGTAAACAGTGTGTCTATATTTAAATATATATAAAATATAAATTAAATCTTAAAATGATCTCTGAGTTAAAAAGAGGGTAAACAATATTTTAAATTTCCAACTTCAATGACAAAAATAAAGTAGGTCACCAACCAGATCTACGGCTTAATAAAACTCGCATGAGCCATAGAATTTGGTTGGTGACCTACTTACCAGCCCTATTACAGTAACCACTGACCTTTGACCCTGCTGTCCTAATGAACTGGTCTATAACCAGCCATTTTTCAGCCACTTCATCCACTTGCTTGTTTTTAAAAGGGTCACGTATCCTCACCTTCACCTCTAGTTTACCTCCAACAGATTTTCTACCATCTACAAGCTGTAAAAAAAGTAATGTTTTTTTTTTTTTACTTTTAAAAAAACATTTTTTAATAAGAATTTAATGCAATACAATAAAAGAAAAGAAAATTACATTAGAGTTTTAAAATTCTATTCATAAAAATAACACCGAAAAATGAACCTAATGCAATAACTTCATAAACCTAAAGCAATAAAATAAACTCCCGATTTAAAACTGTACTTACATCAAAACTGTCATGAATGCTGCACTGGTTTTCTAAAGGTTGTAACTTGACATGGACTGTCCCTAAAAGTTTATCCCCTTTGAAAAAACCCCTAGAGGAAAAAAAAAGGTGAAGCAAATATATCAGGTGCAAAGATCAAGTCAAAAATTGTAATATATTTCAAACAGATCTGAACAATCCATTATATTTTTATAAATTTTACATTTTAGATATCTTACATTTTTTAAATTTTTTATTAAAATCTTTTTTTAAATTTGGAATAAAATATATGCTTAAATACCTGATTCCTCACCCCCCCCCCTTTTAAACTTGACTACAGTGAAGTTTTGGGGAGCAAATCAAGTCTATTTAGGGAATATAAAGTAATTTAATAATACTTGTAACAGTCCTTGAGGACAATAACCCCTTAACCCAATCTGATAACTTTAATCTTATGTTTTTCTTTTGAATACATTCAAATCTCAATATCCAAGACGACAACCTCTTGGAATTCCTGGCATAATCTCAAAACTGATGTGCAAATTGGCTTATTTTATTTTGTAATGTTACATTTAAAAGAAATAACATAAAGAGGTACATTTTCTAACCTTTTGATGTAGATTTCCAGTTTAATGGTTTTCCTTTCAACAAATCGAAAGAGACCTTTAGATTTACGATTAATTTCCAATTTAAATGACTCGTTATATTCTGCATAAAAAAAAAAAATTAATAACATCATGAAATAATATAATATTCTTCAGAGTGATTAAAAAGTAACAAACGGTTAAATGTATAGATTTTTATAGAACGCCTACTATTTAACTAACTCATGATTACATTAAGCTGTAAGTTATGTCAGGAGTTTTATAAATGATTACAAAAAATAAACTGTTCATCAGTGTTTAATCTTCCTACCTGGATTGATGGTATCTTTTACCGTGGCTGTACTACCTGTCTGAGGTTGTTCCTGAAAATATAGTAAATTATTACTTAAACATAACCTGTTTTTTTTTTTATTTTAGTGTGAAATTAAAGTAAATTATTGTTTAAAAGTTACTCGTTTTTTATTTTAGTGTGAAATTAAAGTAAATTATTGTTTTGGAAATGTAATGTTAATGCAAAGTAAATTATTATTTAAACGTAGCTTATTTTTTTTTTAGTTTGAAATTAAAGAAAATTGATGTTTTAGAAATTTAGTGTTAACGTAAAGTAAATCATTGTGATAAAAAGTAGTACGGAATTAAAAGTAAAATAAAAATGTTTTTGGCTAATAGTTAAACTAAGAATTCTTTAAAACATTTTAACCTAGGCTGCATCACTATAAATACAAAACTTTGACTTACTGTTGGATATGCAAATTCATATTTGACACAGGTGTCCATATCTTTTTCAGAAAATCCTGAAAAACAATTTAATTCAGCATTTATATTTCTTAAACATTTTAAAAACTCTAAGAGGAAAAGTATAAATCCTCTAAAACAGATTAAGTTTATTTTTATTTTTGCTGACACCAAATGACAAAAAAGTAGATTTATTTAGGTAGGTTTTGTCTATCTATTTGCAAAACTAGGAGTTGAACATCCTCTTAGTAAAGGGTAAAAAATTACCTGAAGGTAAATTGTACTGTATCCCTCTTACAATAGTTAACTCTAAGTCACCATCACCCAGCTCTGTGTTACTTCTGTCAAAAGAAAATATCAAAACACATCTATTTTATATTTGTTTATTTGACTGACTTTTTTTAGCTTTTACTCATTTGAATAGAAAATAACAAAATATAGGCTATCTATTTTATATTAATTTATTTTTACTGACTTCCATTTTTATTTCTGTTGATAGCAATATATTAAATATATCTAATTTATATTTTCATTTTTTTACTATTTAGTATTTGTTCTGTATGTATAAACACAAACTTAATCTATTTTATTATTTAAACTTTTATACTGACTTTTTCAACAAAAACTAACTATTTATAAAGCAATGTTTTAATCATTCAGTATATTAATATGTTTTAATTCACAGAGCAATAAACTGTTAAACTTGAGGAGGTATTCTAAATTACTTAATTTCCAGAATGTAGTATGTATAGCTTTTACATTAACCTCCTTACTTAATTAAATTAAACCTACTTGACTAATCTTATTTTGACTCAAATGAATCTGACGACTTGTGAACATAACGTTAGAATGTTCAAGGCTAACATGTACTTACTGGACCATTGAAAAAGTTCGTGTTTCATAGTGAAACTTAGGTACAGGGTCACCATGCCGATGTGAACTTTTTAAGGATTCCAAATCTTTGCGATTGTTTTGTTCAAGCTTCTGAAATCTAAATGTTTAGTAAAATTGTTCATAATATGTCACCACAAACCAATTAGATGGTGGATTATAATTTTTTTTAAACATACTACATTACAAATAAGAATATCTTTCAAATGAACAAATAATATGCTGTATTATTTTTATTGTAGCAATAAAATGATAACTATTTTTTTAAATATAATAAAAAATAATATAAAATATAATATTTTAAAGTTGGATCCATTTAATTAAGCCTATGCATGACTTAACAAGTGTAATTTTACATTTCAATTATTAATGAATAAGGTACTTGATGGTCGAATGCAAAAGTCACCAAAATATTGTGTGTAAAGAACTATTTTGAGAACCTTTTCTGCTAAAAATTATTTATTGAGCTGGTAGTTATATTTTTATCCTGATAAATTTGTTGACACTATTTAAAATGATAAAAATAGTATATACACACATTTTTTCCCTATTTTTTTTTATGTAACAATTTTTTAAATCTAACAAAAGGAGACATTCACTCAATATTCAAAGATCTAGTCACTGGCTAGTGTTAGCATAACAGTCTGGCAACAACTACAGGAGTAGATAAGTTACTCACTTAGCTGCTGCGGGGACGTCTCCCAGCTTCTGGTAGTGTTGGGCGTTGGTGACACAGATCTGGAGAAACAAAGGCATCAGGATAATACAACTTAAATATAGGCAATACCTTTCATAAACTCTAAATGGCACACAGTTTTGGATGGTTGTGACTTATAATAATAAAAAATAAGTTTTAAAGATAGGCACTAACAATGCCTCCTCCTTAAATAACCCCAACTTTAAAATTAAGAGAAACATGTGCAGAAGATTACAAGACTGTTATTTTAATGTTGAGGTAATCATGTGGATGGAATAGTGTGGTCACGTGGTGGAGTGCTAGAGTTCAAATCTCTATCCGTACTCAGGACTGCAGACTGTCCCAGAGTCCACCCAGCTCATGTTAGGAAAAGTAAAGGCAGCTGGGCATAGTGCTGACCATACCATCCCTTCGTATGCGGAGTTCAAGATACATGAACTCTATTTCATATTAGGTCTGAAAAATGGAACTTTACTAAATCATGTGGCTAGTTTATCTGTACAACACACCTGTATTTGCCTGATGAGGTCAGTTTTTAAGTTCTCGTAGACCTCATCCCTGTCCCCTGTGGGTGTGCAGTCCTCAGCGGAGACAACAACAAACTTATCTTCAGCATCGTCTATCCCTATTGGGGATGGTGGGACCTGAGTGATATAACATAGTTAAATGATTATTGCCAGCATACTCAATTTATTTATTAACACAAAAATTCTGCTTAGCTCTTAACAAGCACAAATTATTAAATTTTCAATGAAAATGGAGGGGTTGTCGCATTTTTGCAAAAAGAGTCATTTTATAAAATATATCTTAAAACAAAAATCATTAAATTCACTTAATTTTTTTTTTACATTATTCTGAATTTGGTACAGTGCTTTGAAATTCAAATAGTTTTGAAAATTTAAAAGGGAGATAAACATGTTAAAACATCTCACCTGTGCCAAGTCTACAGGGAGACCACTCTCACACGCTTCTATCATGGGCTCTAAACCCTAAATAAAATAAACATTGGCTAAATGATTAATTTTCTTTCAAATCAAACAATGTATCTACACTCCTTTAAAGTAATTAAATGCTCACAGAATCTAGGAACTAAATATTACTTTAAAACAAAACATTACCAAAAATAATACAACTTCAGTTGTTAGTAAAACTTAATCATACAAATAGGAATACTTTTGAATGTTGATAAGTTTCTATAAACACAAACAAGTTGAGTTATAAAGTTGGTGCTTACCTTCATCATTCTAACATACTTCTTTGCCAGCTCAATGTCTTGGTTCTTTTTAGCATTCATGGCCGCTTGTCTAAATTCTCCCATTCTTTCCTGTAAAAATGAGAGTTGTTGTTCCTGCCTAGAGTGCATGCTCTTTCTAGCAGCTGAAGAGAAAAAAATTCCAACTTTAATGTGATTTTTTTGGGGCAAGTTTTTAATCAGCTTTAATTGCATTATAAGATTCTTGGATTAACCATAACAGGATAAGTATACAGTTCATTATCTTTTCCATTTTGTGCCAGAGACACATAGGGTATATGAAGTAGAGTTCACCTGTTTCAATGACTTTGGCATAAAAGGGGATAGTGTTTGTCTGCACAATGCCCAGCCACCTTTGTTACCCTGACGTGAGTCAGGTACCCATCAGAGCTGGGTGGACTATGGGAAATCCTACAGACTTAAGCCTGGGATCAGAACTTGAGACTTTCTGGCTAAAAGTCGTAAACTTTACCATAGCTAATTATATAATTGGTATTGCCAAAATGATATTTTGACTTAAAGATTTATGGATAGGCATAAAGTTAAAGAGTTTATAAGGGTTAGGATAATATTAGGGTTACCGTTAAAATAAAGTTCAGGGTTACAGAGTCATTAATGTTAATACTCTGTTTAATAAAATAATATATGGATAGTTTAATATATGTGTATGTCTATCTAACAAATACTGGCTATTATATTCTAAAGTTTGGAAACTTTCTTCAAGCATTCAGTTGTGTCACTATTATGATTCAAGCATTCAGCTTATGGCTGTTGGGTACCAAAACAAAAAAAGTATCCACTAACTGTTCTGGCGCTGAATAGGCGGAGCCACTGAGGCGCTGGGTTGTGGAAGTGGCTTAGACGCCACGGCTGGAGGCACTGGTTTGGCTGCTACGGTTGGAGGCACTGGCTTGGCCGCAACAACTGGAGGCACTGGTCTTGCTGTAGGTTCTGCTGGCTTAGGGTCAGTTGCATTAGGTCGTGGTGCTGGTACAGGTGCACTGGAAGCTGATGGCCTATCAACAGGTATGGGCCCAAAACCTAATGTAGTAAGGTAAACAGGTATTGAGAGAACAGAGGAGGGAAATGGAAAGAAAAATCTTCATGAACATAAAATGTTTACAGAAAACAGTTATATAGCATCTTCAAAAAAGCTTCATGATCATAAAAGTTATATGGTTTATATTCACTGCCTTATCAGGACAAAGTAAAGAAAGCAGTTATACAGTTAAACTACAGCTATATGGTCACTTGATTTGCTTGCCACTAAGTATACTGTTATTTTAACACCCTAACAGAAGGAAAGTACATAAAAAACCTTATTATAAATATAGAACAGTATTGCTAGACAGGATCTAAGATTCCAATTCCAATGAACATAAAATACAACATTGTAGTTGATATCATTAACTGGAGAAACCATCTAGTATGAAGATAACTAGAAAGTCACTATGAATAATCAAACATATCTCTTTGTGTTGGATACAAAGTACTTGACACTAATATAAGAATTATAAAAATTAACATATATATCTTTTTTTCTAAGGCAGTTTCTAAGTCTAATGTATCAAAATTGAATATAACTATCAGTGAACTCATTATGCATCATGTTCATGCAAACATTTTTAAGATTGTGCTTTAGTCAAAGAGATAGCAGCCCCTGAGATAACCTAAATATTACTGCTTAAGAGTTTGGGTTGAAAGGTCACTACTGACCTGGAGGCACTGGCAGCTCATCAAAGTCCACTGGTTTACCAGCTCTGTACATCTTGATGGCATCCTCGTATTGCTGGGGAATTTAAATAGTGTAAATATTGGATCTTACAGAAATACTAGCAGGGTGATATAATATACTGAGATTTAGATATATGGCCTAAAAAAACATCACTTTCATACCAGCCTACATCAATTACTATCCTGATCACCTTACTTTAACTATCACACCCACCTTACCATAACAATCCCCCCTAACTTAACGTAACTATCCCGCCAATCTTATCTAGCCCACTTACCATAACTATCCCAACCACCTTACCTTAACTATCCCACCCACCTTACCTTAACTATCCTGCCCACCTTACCTTAACTATCCTGCCCACCATACCTTAACTATCCTGCCCACCTTACCTTAACTATCCTACCCACCTTACCATAACTATCCCACCCACCTTACCTTAACTATCCTACCCACCTTACCATAACTATCCCACCCACCTTACCTTAACTATCCTGCCCATCCTTCTAGACTTGCTAGAATCCCCATCATTTTTGGCTGCAGTCTCTGAAGATTTGTATTTCTCTAATCTCTGTGTCAGGGCCTCCATCACTGTTTTAGGTGCATCTGGGGCATTGAAGATGGCCTTTTCTTCTGCAACAACAAAACTTGATGTATGGGCCATGTAATAAAGTGAACATCATCATGTCTTTCATTAGTACAAACGTGTCAAAACCTTTAGGTGTAATCAGTGTGTGTACAAATGCTCAGTTAAACTGAGCATGTCCTATTCTCCTGTAAAATACAGCACCTAAAAAAGCACATGTAACTAATTTCTGTCCGCCTAACACATTTTATATTTATTTCTTCAGTTTTAAAAAGGTTAAAACTATAGGTTTATAATTATAATTGATTTGGTAGCCCTGATGCACAGAACATTATTATTTCTTCTGTTTTAACTAGATTTATTTACTAAAATAAAATTATCCTGCACATAGTCACTCAATTTGGTCTTAAAACTTTAGTTTAGCTTAAGGTAATGTGAAATCACATAACTACTCAAAATGCAGATCAGGAAGTGCATGAAAAAAGAATGTTTCTATATAATTGTAAATAAGGACATCTGAGTGTTTGTTGTAGCAAGTTCTGCTTATAGTATCATTTATAGTGTTATAGTGCGTCATTGTCTGACTGTTGTGATTCTTGTGTGGTAGAAGGGTAAAGAAACACTGGGGAAAAATCTAGTGTGATGATTGGTAATTATAGAGATGTGATACAGCCATGTCCAGTTTACTTAACAGCGTTTTTTTAATATATCTTGTGGGGGGGATCTATAAAAATTGAGCGAGTGTTAAATCAACATATTGGGGTTGAGACTAATTGTAACAAGTGAGTGTTAAACCATGAATGCGAATGGAGAAAGTATTAAGTTCAAACAGAAAACAAAGTTTCTCACGTTCAGCGCTGATTGTAGGCAGCTCTGGCTCAGCTCCTGCTTCAAGCTGCACAGACCTCTGAGTTGGGGTGACAGTTTCAGGGCGGGCTGTTACCTGCACAGATGCACCTGGAAACAGGAATGTACACTTAAATTATCTCTGCCTATCAAAACTTACGTCATAGATCATTGATCTCAAAGTAAAAACAGAAAAAAAAACCTTGCTTGTAGTTAATGGTGTAAATAAACATATCAAACTTTACCTGAAATCTCAGGGGGGCTCTGAGGCATTTTTGATAAATCCACAGCTTTCCCTTCCTCCACTGCTTTAATTACACTGTCAAATTGCTAGAAAACACACAATCATGATTTGAAAAAATTTATTTTCCTCTTTAATTACACTATCAAATTGCTAGAAAACATACAATCATGATTTGAAAAAATTTATTTTCCTCTTTAATTACGCTATCAAATTGCTAGAAAACATACGATCATGATTTGAACAAAATTATTTTTCTCTTTAATTACGCTATCAAATTGCTTGAAAATATACAATCATGATTTGAAAAAAATTATTTTTCTCTGAATCTGTATTTAACTGACTGGGGACATTAAAGTAAAATTTCCTCTTTAGACCAAGCCAGGAAGTGGAGTTTGTATGTTTCTTGACCTCAGCATATGAAGGGATAATGTTATCAGTACTATGCCCAGCCACCTTTACTTTCCCTAACTTGAGTTAGTTACCAATCAGAGTTGGGTGGACTCAGAGACATTCCACCAATTTGATCTCAGATTCGAACTCGAGACTATCGTGTTAGCAGTCTAGCATTCCAGAGGACATTAGACTGAACTCACATTTGACTAGCCATTTAAATACCTGAGATTAGCAACTTGAAGGGACTCACCCTTGACTAGCCATTTAAATGCACTCACCTGTGACTAGCCATTTAAATGTACTCACCTTTGAAATTTTCACATAGTTTCCAGCTTTGGCCATGTCACCACTTTGTTTTGCCAACAGTGCCGCTTTCTTGTACTCATCTCTCCTAGCTTCTAACATCTGCTTAGAACCTACAATAAGAACATTTTAGTACTTTTATTCTGTTTCTATATAATTAAGTAAAGAGCCATTTTCAAACCTGACAGTTCATGGGACAAGTGAAGTAGAGTTAACCTGTTTCTATGACCTCACATATCAAGGGATCGCGTGGGCAGCACTATGCCCAGCCGCCTTTACTTTCCCTAATTTGAGTTAAGTACCTATCAGAGCTGGGTGGACAGGGACATTCTACAGACTTGAACCAGGATTCAAACTCAAGACTTTCGGGTTAGCAGTCTAGCACACTCCCGCTAGGCCATGCTGTCCTACTTTCTATGTATCAACATTTGAGTTCTTTCTATTAAAAGTAAGTTGTTTTTTTTTTAAATGTGGGTTATTAAAAATGAGTACAGGTGCAGGTATTTACTCACCAGTTTGTTCAGAGAATGAAGGAGTTGAACTCTGGGATGAGATTTCAGCACTGGTAGCTAAAAAATGTAAATGTACCGTTACTCCACAAGAATCAAGTTATGACACAATGTTTATATATTTTAAAATATACATAGTTGTTACTAAAAAAAAACACTAGGGAATATTACAGGGTTTTAGACATTTGAATCTCTCTTGGTGCCTTCACCTGTTGTAGTAGTTGTTCTGGTTTTTTACCTCAATATAGGGTTGTGTAGTTAGCATAATGCCTATTTATGTGTAGCTAGCATAACGCCTATTTCTGTGTAGCTAGCATGATGCCTATTTATGTGTAGCTAGCATGATGCCTATTTATGTGTAGTCAGCTTTAGGCCTATTTATGTGTAGTCAGCTTTAGGCCTATTTATGTGTAGTCAGCTTTAGGCCTATTTATGTGTAGTCAGCTTTAGGCCTATTTATGTGTAGTCAGCTTTAGGCCTATTTATGTGTAGTCAGCTTTAGGCCTATTTATGTGTAGTCAGCATAATGTCTATTTATGTGTAGTCAGCATAATGTCTATTTATGTGTGGTCAGCATTATGCCTATTTATGTGTAGTCAGCATAATGTCTATTTATGTGTAGTCAGCATAATGTCTATTTATGTGTGGTCAGCATAATGCCTATTTATGTGTAGTCAGCATAATGCCTATTTGTGTGGTCAGCATAATGCCTTTTTATGTGTGGTCAGCACAATGCCTATTTATGTGTAGTCAGTGTGACCTACTTAGGTCGAGTCATTTTTATTTTGACATTGTATAATTCCTTATATGGAATGATGGTGTAACACCTGGGGTTTTTCCACTGACTTATTAAGGTGTTTGAGACATAGAAATTTTCCATTAAAATCTGATTGAATGATTCTGATCAGATGATTATCCCAACCAATGGTGACATGAGTTGAGGATAACCTCCCCTGTCACAGAAGTCTATAATTGCACTGCACACTCGCAACACGAGGCAGTTTATCTTGACCTGGCAGTCTACGAGGCAGTTTTTACCTTGGTCAGGCAGCCGTCCACATTGTCCGGCTATAGACTCTGACCATTTGAACGTGAGAGTACTTAAGACCTGTGTGTGCCTTGCTTTCTTAAGTTGATTTAGTCTTCTAGTTTAATATTACTTGTCGCTCAGTAATTCTAGAAACTACAGCAGTGTTGTGTGGCCTGTAGCTGTTCTTTAGACAGTGTAGAAATCTGTGATAGTGTTTTTTCCTACATTGTGTAAGTTGGTTTTTGATATTTTATACATTAAATATTTTATTTAGTTCAACCTTGTGTTCTGCCACTTCTGAGTTCGCTGATTAAAAGGTCGTATGTAGATTGGATGAGTGTTAATTACAATAGTATCACTAGCTTCCCTAGACATTAAATTCGAGCCCTAGTGGGACGTTGTGTTAAGTGTTCATCCACTTAGGCCGTAAGGCATTTGCATATGACCCCGAAAAAAGAATCCGGGGACGTTCTCCTTCTATTTGGCTGATAGATAGGTTAACGTTACAAAGTGGGAGCTCGCCGTGATTTAATCTGTCGTTCCAGTTGTTGGTTATATCAGTTGAATACTAAGGTTAGTTGGATTTAGTTGTTTTTATATCCAGTAGCGCAGTGTTCTTACAACGCGCGCTCAGGCTAGAGTATCTAGGTCAATAGCCAGACGTGTTGTCCTAGATTGAAGAGGTCAAGTACACGGCCCAACGCTGTGTGTTAAGTTAGTGAACCTAGGCTTGTTGTGATTTGAAAGTTAGTGTTATGGAGTCTTTTTTGGCTAATCCTACTTTTGAAGAGGTCGAGAAGTTGAGTAGAAAAGTTTTGATTAGTGTTGTTAAGGAATTGAAATTGGATTATTCTGTTACGCAGAAGTCAGAGGTGTTGAGAGATAAAGTTGTTGTTCATTTCATTAATGAAGGGGTATTTGATGAAAGTTTGTTGGCTGGTGTATTACTTCGTGAGGAGAAAGTTGCTTTAGAGAAGGCATTAAAAGAACAGGAGTTAGAGGTTAAAATTGCTTTAGATAAGAGGAGGTTGGAATTAGAGTTTGGTCAAGTTAGTGATGTTACTTCTCTGGTAGATCCAAAAAAGTTGTCGGTAGGGCAAGTGATTGCCAAATTTGGGAAATTAGTTCCTAAATTTGATGAAACAGATTTGGTCGTTTTCTTTAACTCGTTTGAGAGTTTAGCGAAGACATGTGAATGGCCCGAAACTTCCATTACTGCTTTATTGAGCTCTGTCCTTACTGGGAAAGCTGCAAAAACATACCAGGCACTCTCTCACGACGTTCAAAATAACTATAGTTTGGTCAAGACTGCCATTTTAAAGGCCTACGCACTGACGCCCGAGGCCTATCGGACAAAATTCCGAACACTCCGCAAGTTACCCACACAATCATATGTGGAATTTCTCTTTGAAAAGGAGAAAATATTCTCAAGGTGGCTACACTCTGAGGAAGTTTCTGAGTTTGAGAAACTCAGGTCACTTATCCTAAGGGAAGAATTCCTATCGTCCCTGCCTGAAGAGATACGACTACACATTCTGGATAACAAGATAACTGACATCCAGAAGGCTGCTGAGTCGGCTGACACATATATGTTGGTGCATAAGAAACCACCAGTGTCAGGAAACCGCCTCAACCCCGTGCTTCCCCTTTTTGGCAGCAATCATCCTGTTGGCCAACATTTGAAGGCATCACAGTCCAGAGAGAAACCAAGATCAACTCTCAATCGTCGAGCAGTATGCCAGTTCTGCAAAAGGTCTGGGCATCTTGTCAAGGACTGTTACAAACGTCGTCAATATAACAGAGAGGTGGTGCGTACTTCCGCGCACTAAGCTCTATCCCCTCAAGCAGCCAGTTCAACTATGAACTCTAGAATTCAAAAGGACTCTAACCCTAAGTGTCCGCAAGAAGGTAGTCAAGTCTCCACACATTATGTGCAGTCACATTTTGACTGTTCTCGCCACCATCCAGTTTCTTCCGAGTCTACCGATCTCGAGGGATCGAGAAAAGTTGACTTTTCATCTTTTATTGCTGAAGCCATCATTAGCAAACCAGGTGATCCGTTGTCTCAGAAGAATATCACCGTTCTAAGAGACACAGGAGCGTCACAATCACTCCTTTTGAAAAGTTCAATGGACATTTCACCAGAGACGAACACCGGAAGGATTTCCATTATCCAGGGAGTGGGGACAAAATCTACTGTCGTCCCTCTACACAAGTTTGCCCTGAAACATCATCTCGTCGAAGGTGAGGTCATTTTAGGTGTGATAGATAGTATTCCAGTCCCAGGAGTACACCTACTTCTAGGGAATGACCTTGCGGGAAGCAAAGTATACCCCTGTACGGTTTCAGACCCTTTGTCAACAGTTCCAGATAATGATAATGAACTGTATCCAGCATGTGCGGTGACAAGAAGCCAGACCAAACAATTGGCTGACACAACGTCTGAACCACATATACCATCATCGTCAAGAAATTCGACTCCCAAACTGGAGTCTATGCTTCCAGAGAACACAAGTCTGGGCTTACCCCTGAGGATATCTCAGGAAGACATCATTAAAGCTCAACAAGTCGACGCGGAACTCAAAGCAGCGGTCGAAAAATCTCTATCATCTGACGATGGAGAATATTTCGCCGAGAACGGCCTCTTCTTTCGTCGCGCTATACCAGTGATTGCCTCACCAGCCGAACCATGGTTGGGTAAAAACCAGCTGTGGGTCCCTCCACCTTATCGGCATGAAATACTTAAGCTGGCACATGACCATCCAATGTCAGCGCACCCAGGTGTCACTAAAACGACGGCGAAGATCAAAGAACTGTTCTTTTGGCCCAAAATGAGAAAAGATGTGTCGCGTTACTGTAGAAGTTGCACGAACTGTCAGTTGGCCGGAAAGCCAAACCAGACAATTCCTAAGGCCCCTTTGAGTCCGATTCCTGTATTAGAAGAACCTTTTTCTAAAATCGTCATGGACTGTGTAGGTCCCTTGCCTAAAACCAAGGCGGGCAACGAGTACCTACTTACCTTTATGTGTTCAAGTACCCGTTTTCCCGAGGCGATTCCCTTACGGAACATTAAGGCAAAGACTGTAGTCAGAGCCATGACCCGGTTCTTCACTACCTTTGGATTACCTAGAATCGTGCAAACAGATCAAGGCAGCAACTTCACCAGTCACCATTTTCAGGAAGCGCTAGCCAAGCTAGGCGTTACCCACATCACCAGCTCAGCCTACCACCCTCAGTCTCAAGGCGTACTTGAGAGGTTCCACCAAACCCTCAAAACCATGCTAAGGACATTCGCTAATAGTAACACCCAATGGGATGAGTCTGTTCCTTGGATTATTTTCGCCGCGAGGGACTGTGTCCAGGACTCTTTAGGCTACTCGCCTTTTCAACTTGTGTTTGGACATTCTGTCCGGGGTCCCCTGAAGCTGATACACGAACGTTGGACAGGTACCAGTGATCATCCAGTGGAAAACTTCGACGATTTTCACGTTCGACTGAAAGCCGTGTGCGAAATGGCTCACAAGAACTTAAGAAAGGCCCAAGTGAGAATGAAAGAACTGTATGATAAGAGTTCTTGTAAACGAACATTCAATCCAGGCGACAAAGTTCTTGTGCTAGTGCCTAATCTGGACAATGCGTTATCCTTGAGATATTGTGGACCTTTTACTGTGCATTCAAAATTAAGTGATTTGAACTATGTTGTCAATACACCCGACAGAAGAAAGAAACAGTCAGTGTATCATGTTAACTCACTGAAAAAGTATTATGATAATTGTAACAATTTTCATTCCACAGCTAAAATTACTTTACCTGTATGTTCAAATGTTTCTGATGATGTGATACATGATAAATTGAAACCCCCAAAATTGGTAAATTCTTCCTTTTTAGATAATTTGAATGTCCACCTTATGCATTTGTCCACAGAGGAAAGCCATAGATTGTCTCAGTTATTTGAGACATTTCCCTCTATTTTTGGGGATGTCCCCAAAGAAGCGAAGGTTCCACCTCATGATGTAGACGTAGGTGACGCAAAACCCATTAAACAACACCCCTATAGAGTTAACCCGGAAAAAGCTGCTTTGATAAAAGATGAAATTGATTATATGCCCAAGAATGATATCATTGAGCCCAGTTTCAGCAACTGGAGTTCCCCATGTCTCCTAGTCCCGAAAGACGGTGGATCTTTCAGGTTTGTGACCGACTTTAGGAAGGTAAATGCGCTCACCAAAGCTGATTCCTATCCCTTACCTCGGATAGAGGACGTTATTGATAAAGTTGGGCAGGCTAAGATAATTTCCAAAATTGATTTACTTTCAGGATACTGGCAAATCCCATTATCTGACCGTGCAAAAGAAATATCTGCTTTTGTAACCCCTAATGGTTTTTATAGATACAAACGTATGCCCTTTGGTATGCGAAATGCTGGTCAAACTTTCCAGAGAGTCATTAACTCTGTCATTGCTGACATAGACCAATGTGAGGCCTACATAGATGATATAGTTGTATTTTCTAATACTTTTGAAGAACATATTGTTCAATTGACTAACCTTTTTAGAAAATTGTCTGAAGTTAATTTTACTGTAAACTTACATAAAAGTGATTTCTGTAAAGCTTCAATTACCTATTTGGGTTATCAAGTGGGAACGAACCAAGTTCGGCCCATTGAAGCTAAAGTAGATGCTATTGTAAGGTTACCACCTCCCAAAAATTGTAAAGAGATCAAAAAGTTCCTTGGGATGGCTGGTTACTATAGGCGGTTCTGTCAAAACTTTTCAGCTATTGCTGAACCTCTTACTGCATTATTGAAAAAGGGTGTTAAGTTTGAATGGTCCAATAAATGTCAAGAAGCTTTTTTAACCATTAAGTCATTTTTATCAAATGCTCCTGTTATGGCTGCACCGAATTTTAGCATGCCCTTTAAACTTGCCATTGATGCTAGCAACTTAGCCATTGGCTCAGTCCTATTTCAAGAAGACAACATGGGAATTGACCATCCCATTGCCTTTTTTTCCAGGAAGTTAAATGAAAACCAAAAGAATTATTCTACTATTGAAAAAGAAGCTTTAGCTTTGGTTTTATCATTACAACATTTTGAAGTCTATGTCTCTTCTTCAACCAATCCAGTCAGAGTGTTTTCTGACCATGATCCCCTGAAATTTACCTCTAAGTTAGGACAGACAAATCAAAGAATATTGAGATGGTGCTTATATTTCCAAAATTTTAATCTGGAAATTTCACACATTAAGGGTAGTGATAATGTTGTGGCTGATTGTTTGTCAAGGATGTAAAATCTTATTGTACACATTGATCATGTGACATGCTTTGTGGTTCATTAGGACCATAAACAGGTTTTGTTTGAGTGTCACTCATATGAAAATGAGTGGTGTGAGTTAGAATTTTTCAAAATTCCAATCCTGTTGAATATTTTGTTTATTTTCAGGTGAACCTTAATTAAAGGTGGTTTTTGATTATATGTAATCTTTTATAATAATATGTCTCATATGGCTCCATTGATATTGTAGCTAGTCATTGAAATAAAGGTCTTACCCTGGCGGGTTTACCACTTTTAATATCCACATGGGAATATTGTAATACCCTTTTTTGAGGGATTTTGATGTATAATTACTTTTTGAAGGGTTACTCCCCTTTCACCAATTGTAAAAGTTGGAGTTACTTCCCTTTTATGTTCAGGGATATTTTCATCTGGTATTATGATTTTGATTGCTTACATTTGTAAAACATTTTTGTTATTTCATTGCCAGATTGGTTCTCTATGTATGTTTTTGTGGAACCTATCTGTCACTTCCAAAAAGGGAGGGGATGTGACCTACTTAGGTCGAGTCATTTTTATTTTGACATTGTATAATTCCTTATATGGAATGATGGTGTAACACCTGGGGTTTTTCCACTGACTTATTAAGGTGTTTGAGACATAGAAATTTTCCATTAAAATCTGATTGAATGATTCTGATCAGATGATTATCCCAACCAATGGTGACATGAGTTGAGGATAACCTCCCCTGTCACAGAAGTCTATAATTGCACTGCACACTCGCAACACGAGGCAGTTTATCTTGACCTGGCAGTCTACGAGGCAGTTTTTACCTTGGTCAGGCAGCCGTCCACATTGTCCGGCTATAGACTCTGACCATTTGAACGTGAGAGTACTTAAGACCTGTGTGTGCCTTGCTTTCTTAAGTTGATTTAGTCTTCTAGTTTAATATTACTTGTCGCTCAGTAATTCTAGAAACTACAGCAGTGTTGTGTGGCCTGTAGCTGTTCTTTAGACAGTGTAGAAATCTGTGATAGTGTTTTTTCCTACATTGTGTAAGTTGTTTTTTGATATTTTATACATTAAATATTTTATTTAGTTCAACCTTGTGTTCTGCCACTTCTGAGTTCGCTGATTAAAAGGTCGTATGTAGATTGGATGAGTGTTAATTACAATAGTATCACTAGCTTCCCTAGACATTAAATTCGAGCCCTAGTGGGACGTTGTGTTAAGTGTTCATCCACTTAGGCCGTAAGGCATTTGCATATGACCCCGAAAAAAGAATCCGGGGACGTTCTCCTTCTATTTGGCTGATAGATAGGTTAACGTTACATCAGCATAATGCCTATTTGTGTGGTCAGCATAATGCCTATTTATGTGTAGTCAGCATAATGCCTATTTGTGTGGTCAGCATAATGCCTATTTATGTGTAGACAGCATAATGCCTATTTATGTGTAGTCAGCACAATGCCAATTTATGTGTAGTCAGCTTTAGGCCTATTTATGTGTAGTCAGCATAAGGTCTATTTATGTGTGGTCAGCATAATGCCTATTTATGTGTAGTCAGCATAAGGTCTATTCCTGCTTTACAAGTCAGGTACCTATCAAACTGAATAGAGAGAAACTAAATGTTCTAGGCTAACAACTGTGTGTGCTCTCATGCTTCACCAAGCTGCTTCATGCCTTCAATGTAACAAATTTTAAAATAAAATCACCATTAGTGGTTGTAGCTGAGCCTTTATCCCCTTGTGAATCAGCGGCCACACTGGCACCTAGTGCAACTGGAGGTGGGATTTCCTCTTCATTGATTGGTTTACCTGCCTTTGCTTGCCGCAACAAATCAGCTAGGGTCTGATGGGTTTAAAAAAAAAATCCAATTCATAAATACAGAAAAATTACAGTATATAATATTTAACTGAACAAATGTAATGCAAAAATTATCAAAATAAATCAAATAAACTGGGAGTTGCTTTTTTTTTTTTAAATCATCCACACTACACTAGCGGCATTTTAAAAAAATAAATAGATAACTAAATTTCATTTTAAATTATCCGATATTATTTACTATGAACAATTATCAAATTGCACAAAAGTATAACTCAACAATCTCTAAAAAAAATAACACAAAGAATTAAACTAAAATGGTGTACTTTTTAAAGAGGACATAAAAAATAATTAAAATTATGATAAATTAGGTATCTGTAATAAGAATTAATAACAAAATCCTGCTGAGAAAGATATTATGTTTGACCACTGTACTTCTTATTGTCCTAATTAGTGAGATTACTAATTATCTGTTTTTACTTTATATAAACACAAATCTACCACTGTACCTTGATGCCTCTGTCAAGCCGCCTTTGTTTAGCGCCGTCTCCAGCAGTTTTGGCAGCAGCATGAGCTTGCTTATACAAAGACATCCTCTCCTCCAGGACGCTGGTCAAAGATCCCCCGGGGGATGGTTTGGGTGAGGGTGCTTGAGGCTGGGGTGGCTGGACAGAGGGTGATGCTCGGGGGGTGACATTTTCAGACGACGGCTTGGAAACAGGTGAGGTCTGAGGCTGGTAGGCGGGGAAGGCTGCGAATGCATTTCCGGACCTCTGTGGTTGGGATGGGGGAGTGACGGAGGATGTGTTTCCTGATCTCTGGGGCTGAGCTGGGGTTGGGGATAGTTGTGAACTTCTTGACCTTTGTGGTGAGATGTGGTCATCATCATCATCCAAATCCTCCAGCTCTGCCTAAGTAGAGAAATGAGAAGATATTGTACTAAATTCTGCACAACAAGTGTCTGCTATACGTGCTGATCTTTTGTATAGATGAATAAGTCTAAAATATTGGCATTTTTTTATTAGGTTTATTAAAAGAAAGCTTCATAAGAACTAAAAAAACAATTAATACAGAAAAATCTTTTTATGTGAGTACAACTTCTTTGTGAAAGCAAATGTTAAAAGAAAAAGTGGATTATTACAACAGAAATGTTTTCATTATAGATATTTTCTCAAATACATTTTTTTATGAATGAAAATCTGAAGATAAAAAAAAACTGACCAGAAGATCAGGGTCCTCTGTATCTGACACATCATCATCAATATCTTGCAGGCCGGAAGCAGCCATTTTCTCTATGTGATCAATGGAAGTTACACCTAATAAAAGAAAAAAAAAACTATATCTTTAAGACATTGTTACTTTTTTTTACATAAAATATGATAAATTATAACCCAATATACCAATAAGAAAATTAATGAAGTAGTTTAATAAATTACAAAGTTAGACGAATTAATTTTTTTTTATTTAATCAGGCATCAGTCAATGGCTACCTTTGCTTCTGGGTTTTGGTTTTTTCACAGGCTGGTAATCTTCTCCAGCAAGCTCGGCCAGCTCTGCTTCTAAATCATCATCGTCATCTCCATAATCCATTCCATCCATGTCCCCAATACCAGGAATAGGACCAAATCCCATCTAGTCAAAGTTAGAAATTGGCAGTTAAAAATTTTCTGGGTAAGGTTTTGATAAGTAGAAGAAGTTAATGAATAATGACAGGCAATCGCTTACAAAAGTTACATAACAAGAACATGTGTTCTTTCAACAGAATATTCACCTATAATTTAGGCAATCCAATTTATTCAAATTCAATATAACCTGCGATTGTTTTACAAATGCAGAATAGCAGCAATAGCTGGATAAAAAAATAGGCCAACTAAAATTTTTAAGTAGGCTTACACAATGAGGCAAAATTTAAAACTTATTTACTTTATTTAATGCACTTTCGGACCGCCTCTCTAAAATGATGTCAAAGACTTCCTTTCCCAACCACAATACACCCCCCCCCCCTTCCATTTTATTCCTCTAAATGTTTGACCTAAATGAGTTATTTCCATGTTTGTACATAGATATTTTTAACCTAAAAATAACTCAATAAATTAAGTTTATTTGGGGAAGTGCTCATATCCTCCAACAATATAAGAAAAAGCAGCATTTTTAGAAGTTTAAATAGGAGTTTGTTTTATTTAATATATTGATTTTTTTTACAAATTGTTTTAAGCTATATGGCAGAATCGATGGTGTGGCGGCTATAAAGGATAGATGCCAGGTTCAACGCCAGTGATAACTGTGTTGTTGTTTTTTTGTTATTAGTCTTATATGGCTATTATCATTTTTTGACGCATTATATCTAACTTATGGTCAGGGTCAAAGTATGGATTGGGTTTAATTAGGGTTTATGACTAGGGATAGTCTAGAAAATAATATTAATGATAATGAGTTTTTTAAGAACAGATATTAAGAATTTTAGCTGAATTAATTAAATAAGTATCTTTTGATGTATAGATCTATGTTCTATGTAGAAGTGTTTTTTTTCCTCAGACAGTTTTGTCATACTTACTCTCAACCTTGAGAATATATATATTTATGAATATATATATATAAATTATATATATAAATTATATATATATATATATATATATATATATATATATATATATATATATATGTATATTCTTGAACAGATAGAGGAACTAAGCATATTGTATATTTCTTTTATACTTTGCTGAAATAAGCACTACTGATTTGGAACTTCAGCAGTTATTTTTAGTCACAGAGTAGAGTAGAATTTTTTAAAGGTAGTCTATAACTATAAAATAAGAAGCTTGTATCATTTCAGTACTTCTGTCCTTCCAACATGGTTATAGCCACTTTGTCTTTGTTTCTAAAGCTGGGAGGGTGCAGTCGCGCATCGGGACCCGTGTTATTCTGTGGTGGTTTAGATTATGCAACCGGTTGGGGGAGAAGCGAAATCTGCGCTGTTGTCTGCAAGGATGTTGGCTTATTTTTTTAACGTAGCTTAATTTTCATGAATATCCATATCTGCACCAAAGTGCTACCACTACCCGCACACAGCGTGGTGCGCTGAAGGAATATCAACACCTATGTGGGGACAACCACTGAAGGAATATCCATATCCACACTAATGTGACGCATACACAAGGACATCCATCAGAGCGTTGCACCATTTATTTTATCGTAGCAAAGCACTGGCATAAGCTAGTAAATAAATTAATTAAAGAAGCCCATAATCTCATAATTCCCCCAATTTGTATTGTATTAGTTAGGCCTATAAAAATATTTTAATAATTCAATCATAATTCATAAATCAAATCACAAATCATGTGTAGAAGTAGAATCTAATCAAATCTTAATCTAATGATTTATTTTTATTTTACATTTAATCAATACATTTTATGAGTCATTACTTTACTACTTTACTAAAAAATACTAAACTATGAATGTAAAAAAAAAATTAGGCATAAGAATGAATTAAGAAGACTTAAGAAAAAACTTAGATTAAATAAATTGATAAGATTAAGAATTTAAGAATCATCTGAGTCATGGCAAAATCAAAACTGACTCAGACTAAAAATAAAAGCCTAAAAAGAAAAAAACCAAAGAAAGAGGCTAGCAAAACTTCTAAAAAAGAAAAGATTACCTGGTTCATCAGATCTGCTCCTTTGCGTTTTCCTGGGTCTCTCCCTGATTCCTGCGGCTTTTTCTTCCCGAACATTTTTTAAATATGGGTCTACAGACTTCTAAAAGATAATTATTACGTTTTACTAGATCGGTTGATTTCCTAGTAAAAATATAGATCTATTACTGAATGTGATCTATGCCTAAGCCTAATAAAATTATTAATAAACACAAACAAATGACAGATAAGTTAACCGGATACAAACACAGCCTTTTAAATATAAGAGTACTGTCCCCTGTTAATTTTTAACTACACATGATTTGCTCGTTGTTTCTGTGATTGAATGAACAGTTGTCTTACTAATCAAACGTTTTTTAATACGACATAGTAGATCTAGATCTATCCAATTACACAAATTAAAAATGTCTTTAACAATGCCAAAAATAAAGAATAAACAGAGGAGAGTAGAGGTTTATAAAGAATTTTTAAAGGAAAAGCGCAAGGTCTGTATTTTAAAAAAATAGAGTAGACAAATCACCACTCTGGCTTCAGTAATCAGTTAATGTTATGTTAATCAATGACTTGACTGTCCACTCACTTACCTCACATTTCATTTCACTTTCTCTCCCTCAGCACCATCATAAACAAAATAAAACATAGACTAATAATATTTACATTAGTCATTAGGCCATATTGTGAATATTGTTGATTAGGGCCTAATATAATATAATAAGTAATATAGTAGGCCTATTATTTAGGCCTATTTAATTGATTATATAATATATTAGTGTAGGTCACGGATATAGTGATATATTTTATGAATTTTTTATGTCATGAATTTAGACATTAGACAAGTTTTTAAGTTTAAGACTTTATTTTTAAGACGAGATTAAGACACTGACTCTGACATTGTTGTTTGTCAATGACTGATAAGGGGGTCGGTCGGCGTGGTCGAGTCGGTAATGCTCATGGTTGATAAACCGTAAAGGCAGTTGAGGCGCGTTAGCTGGGGACAGCCACTCTTCTAGGAGAGACAACTCCAAAATCAAACAACTGCTGCCTTGTAGTTTGTTCTTGGTTGGACAAAGGCTATGGAAGCAAATCTAAAAAGAAAAGCAGGCTGAAATTGGAGTCAATGGCCTCAATGGCGCATAACCAGTTGACATGTATCCTTAATTGTTATGGAGGCGAGGTCGAGTCGGCAAAAAGCTTATGACTGATAAATTCAAAAAAGTCTCGAGTTCAACCCCTCTGGCAGATAAGGCTCGATCCCTTCCAACACTAAAAAATTAAGATCGAAGAAGAAGAAGAATGACTGATGACTCAGACTGTTGTTAGTTCTTGATACTTTAAAATCTTGACTGACTCACTTAGTAAATCACTTATGTCACTGAGTCCACCCATCTCTGATAGTTACTTCATTTGCATTTCATTAGTGCAAGTAAATTTTACTTAGGCAAAGTAAGTAGCCTACATCATTATTTAAAATATTGACTATTATTTTTTGTTATGCTCAGAATTACTATTATTAAAGTGTTACAAATTTTTTCAGGAGAAAATTGAAGAGAAAAAGAAAAGAAGGATTGAAGAAAAAGCCATGGGGGCTAAGGTGAGTATCATAATTATGGTCTATGTTAGCATTCAGCTGGTGGTATGCATTTAATGCATATTGGAAATCATTTTTGCTTGCATTTAGCTAATTAGACAATGTATAAAATTACTAATAAGGAAATAAGAATTTTTTGCTCTCAATTCAGTAAATTAGTTTCTTCTACAATATAAACAGCAAATAACCCCCTTTTTTTTACCTCATTATCCCATATTTAATAATTTAATTTAATAGAAAAACAAAAAAATAAATTCTGCAACTATACATTGTCAAACCTGACTCCATTTCTACTACTAACTATGGGATATTTAAAAATTAAAGTTAGATAGGCCTACTTCTAATAATGAAATTTACTATAGAATTTCCAGATTAATTTAGTGTTTTATACAGTTGACACTCGTTTGAGTGATATAAGCACTTACTAACCTAGCTATAATTTTTTAATGAGTGAATTCCTTACACTAGGCACCTCCCAAGAAAAAACCAAAGACAATTGAAAGCATGCGCGTACCGGATGAAACAATGGTGGACCCAGCTCACCAAGAGGTAAACTATCAAAATAAAAAATTATTTTTACTGTTTTGTATTAAAAAGTAATCTAATGAGCATCATGGTATAAGTATAATGTTTTTTTATGTTTTATTTTATTTTTTCTCCCTCATGCAAAGTTTTTAAATAAAGTTTAGTCCCTTTATTCATAACATGTAAAAACAAATCATTCACAGACTCAAATAGATCTTGAGCTTGATGAAATGGCACCATATTTTCGACAAGAAACATCACCTAAAATTCTCATCACAACCTGTGACAGACCAAAAAAGGTGAATAAACTTTTTTTCATTCAGCATTTCCTTTCAATAATAACAAATTAGCAGTCACTTTAATCTAGACTGATTCTTATTGTTTCAATAGACTTAAAGCTGTTTCCAGCTGAGCATTCTTAGTTTTTATTTCTTCATGGGATGAGTGGCAGATTATGCAATTACTAATGCAAGTTTGGTTGCTATGCTAGAGTCATTGGTATCTATCACAGGAATGTACAGGTTGCTGGGCATAGTGAAGACCACACAACTCCTTCATAGGCTTGTCTTTGACACAGATAAAGTTTATTTCATCTGACCCAACTCAAATTGACCATTAGTTATTAAAGGGTGCATTTTTTGACAAAAGACTTGTATATTTTGTTTCAGAAAACAAACAGTTTCTGTAAGGAGCTGAAGAAGGTTATTCCTAACTCCGTGATAAAGTACAGGAGAGGTCTAGATTTAAAGAAGATTGTGCCGCAGGCTATTGAGAGAGACTTCACAGATCTGATTGTAATTAATGAAGATGCCGGTGAACCTAGTATCCTTTCTCAGAACTTGTAGTTTTCTTACACTGGTTAATGTTAAAGTTAGTTGTTTATATTAAAATTATCGATGCAAAGCCGCTTATATTTTTAATAACTGAAGTAGTTGTTTTTTTTATTTACTAAAGTGTAGTTTATGATAGTGCAAAACATTTTAAGGTGTTAGAAATAAAATTAATCTGGCATTGAACCAATTTACCAAAGTTTTATAAGTTGATTTTGGATATTTCTTCAGTTGCACAGAAGAATTTTTTTCAAGATAGTCGAGTAGAAATATTTCACGCCTTTAGATAAAATTGTTCACAATGTTTGTGCAGGTGTTTTTCATTAAGTTTTTTTTTTAAATATATGACTAAGTGCTGATGAATAACTTAATGTGTTATTTTGATGTTTAACTTTAAAAGATGGATTAGTGCTGTGCCATCTACCCAATGGGCCAACTGCTGAGTTTAAGATGATGAATGTCAAGCTGTGTAAAGAACTAAAGGTGAGATCTTAATTAGTTTTTCTATCGTAATCAATTAGTTTTTGTTTTGTTTTTAAATTGATGCAATCTTAAACATTTTTATAGAAATTTTCCAGTTGTTTTTTTTTTCTTCCGTTTTTTTTTGAAAATCTCAAATGTTAAACAAAACTTTTTAGTTAGACAAAATATTTTCCAACATTATTTGTTATTGAATAAATGAAAACTTTTTTTATGATAAGAATTTCAGGTTTAGAAATGGCACTATGTTATTTTTTTATTGACGTTATTTTCAGCGTCTAGGTGAGATGACAGAACACTTCCCTGAAGTTAACATCCACAACTTTAACACCAGGCTGGGAGTCACCATAGGAAGGATGTTGATGTGTTTATTTCCCCATAGGCCAGAGTACAGGGGGAGGAGAGTTGTCACCCTTCACAATCAGAGAGATTATATTTTCTTCAGGCATCATAGGTGAGCTCTGGTTTTTATTATATGTGACAGTGTTACATGCCATGCAGAGCTCCAGCATTTATATGGTGACTGGAAAGATGGACAAGGACATCTTGTTTTCTTAAATTAAGCATTTATAACCATTAATAATGACCACATGTACATTGTAGAATTATAAAACACTTTTCCACGAAATATGACAGAATTAAAGTATATTGGTAAAATGAGTTTGTATTATCGCAGTTTTCAGTTTGCGCATTTATCTGTGAACCATATGAATATTTGTGGGACGGAGTGGTCTAGCGGTAGAGAGCTGGACTGCTAACCCGTAAGTCTCGAGTTCGAATCCGGGTTTAAGTCAGTAGACCATCCCTGAGTCCACCCAACTCTGATGGGTACCTAAGTCACGTTAGGGAAAGTATAGGCAGCTGGGCATAGTGCTGACCACACTATCTCTTCATATGCCGAGGTCACAGAAACAAGTGAACTCTACTTCACTTGCCCCATAGACCGTCAGGTTTGAAAGGGAAACTTTACTTTATATGAATATTTAGATGTATATGTATATGTTCTTGCAGTTATATTACATCTAGAATTTGAATATTTAAAAACTAAATTACTTGTGAACTATTTGCTTAAATAGTGTAAAAAAGTAATACATAATGATAACAAAGTTGAGATTTCTTATTTGTGTTTCAATGCTTGGTTTGACAGGTACCAGTTTAGAAATGAAGAGAAAGTAAACTTGCAAGAGCTGGGTCCCAGGTTTATACTCAGGTTGAGATCCCTGCAGAAAGGCACCTTTGATTCCAAGTCTGGGATGTACATATGGATACACAAGGTGGGCAGGATCACATCTGGCTTTTATATGGGCTTCATTGTGTGGGGGGGGGGGGGGGGGGAGGGGGGGGAAGGGATTATACAGGCTTCAGTGAGGGTGGTTATACAGGGCTTCAATGGGGGGTTTTATATGGGCTTCAGTGTGTGTGTGGGGAAGGGATTATACAGGCTTCAGTGGGGGTTTTATATGGGCTTCAGTGTGTGTGGGGTGGAAGGGATTATACAGGCTTTAGTGAGGGGGGGGTTATACAGGCTTCAGTGTCATTTTTATATGGGCTGCATTGTCACTTTTTTATGGGATTCAGTGGGGGGTTTATATCGACTTCAGTGATGGGTTTTATTTAGTTTTTAGTGTGGTTTTAATATAGTCTCCAGTGTTTCTTTTTTTTTTTTTTGAGGTAATCAGACTGATTTTTTAAAGGTCATCTATTCCTAATTTTTGAAGACCATCTGTGATGGATTATTGGTAGGTCATTGTGTTAAATATCAACTTCCCTTTAGAAACATATTGTTAAAACTTGCTTTTATCTCATCCACAGCGTCATGAAATGGACACAAGTAGAAGAAAGTTCCACCTATAAATATGATTTGGTTTATAGAATTATCTAGCTCAAGAAAATAAATGTCTGTATAAAAAATACTCAAGTTCAGTTCTTTTTTTGTTGTTTGGGTTTTTTTTTTTTTTTTTGCTATTATTTAAAAGTAAGAATACTACACACATAGTCAATCTATGATATAGGGGCCTACTGCTTGAAGAAAAATGTGTTCACATAGAGCAGACAGCAATGTTGGTGGCTGTTAAACAGGATATATGTTCTACTTACCATCTTCCAGTTCCACATGGTTGAACTAATTTACATTAAACAAAATTAAGACAAACCTCACACGGTTAGTAATTTTCTGATTATTATCAACAGCTTCAATGGGAATTGTGAAATCTGATACACTAGTTATCAACATATTGAGAACACAGGCTGTATCTCAGACAAAATCAATTAAACATAAGCATGCACATAACAGGTATGCTAACTTGGTTTGGGATGGCATTTCTTTTAATAACCAGCTAAATATCTCCAAGCTGACTAGGTCCGAATTCCAGAAAAAAAATGGAAATATAAAAATAATTTTTCTTAAATATGGCCTATTAGTTTAAATAGAAATAAACCGGTAGTGATCTCCCCTAAACTTTCTCGAATATTCTTATATAAAACAACAGGGGATGGTAACTGGGGATATAGTTATGATCTTTAATCCATTTTAAATACTGAAACTTTTAAAAATAGAATAGAATCTCAGTAAAAAACAATTGCGCACCAAGCGAACGCCTAATAAAGGTGAGTATAATAGTGCGCAATAGTATTAGTACTTTATAAATTTACATTAGTTTTTTGAGAAATCGGAAGTAGCGTAAAGTACTACTTCCGGTCAACGGAAATTACTAAAAATTTAACAGAATGTAGAGAATTAGATCTTTTACTTACATGTGAAATTTCATTTATCTATCTGAAATAGTACTCAAGTTATAGGCTTTTGAAAAATTCAAAGTAGAAAAAGTACCACTTCCGGTTATCCGAAATCGCTCAAAAGTTGATACGGATCTACGATTTTGATATAATACTTGTATATGAAATTTCATCAACCTAGCTGTAACGTTACTCAAGTTATCGTGTTTACACACGGACACACACACACACACACACGGACACACAGACATACGGACAAGATTGCAAAATTATGTTTTTCCGTATCAGTGAGATGTAAAACGTCGAGATTTGCAAAAATCTCGATTTTTTTTTTTTGCACGATAACAAGACTTTCTATATACTTCGTATATACGAGAAAGTAAAAACGGTGATAGCCTCACCGAGTAAAATGGAAAATAATTAAAACTTTAAAATATTACATTTTTAATGTACTAAAAACTTGTCATAATGATAAAGGTTTTTAATATTTATACATTGACAATGTATATTTTGGACTTATGAGTAAACCCATTTCTATTTAGTTATTCACTTAGTCTACATTTTGCAAAAAAATATAAAATAGAAAGTCGATACTTGAATGTTATAAACAATCGGTAATAAAAAAGTTATTCTTGCCGAACTATTATCCATCCTAAGTTAACTCCCATTTTAAACATAAAAAGGTTCCGTTTGTCCAACCTTAAACTTAAAATCGCTACTATTTATGTATACAAAACACTATGCAAGAGTATTGCCTGATTTTTGTACTTAACATGCTTAACTATAAGATTTGTAAACATTCGATTTTAATTCGAATAAAACAGATCACCTCAGTTCGCGTATTTGATTCTCCCCTTTTATTATCACAAGAAGTGTTCACTTTAGTTTAAATACAGTTTAATGACTAATTAAATATGTAATTAAATTGTATGGTGTTGTCATCAAAGAGGCGCATATCTCCAAAGCTAGAAGGAAAATTACTCGATAAGAAATGTGTCGAAATCGAGGTAGGCCTACATGAATTAAGCCATAAACCCACTAACACAGACTCTGTGACCTCCGTTAAAGCTTGTAACGGTCTATGACCAACGAAGCCAAAACAGTTATACCGTTGAGCCAAAACAGTTATACCGTTGACTTAAGGAAGCTACGCGATGAACGAGTATTGCTGATCAATACAGGGGCAGTAGAGGGGTCAGACCCCCAGCCCATGGCATAGAACCCAACAGTGATAGCTTTCTCGAGTATAGTTTCAGCTACTGGCGGATGAAGTAGAGTTTACCTGTTTCGGTGACCTCGGCATGTGTAGGGATAGTGTGCAGAGTTTCTTCCAGGCATCTCTTCCCCGCCCCCTCCCGTACGAAATGGAATTAATATAGAAACACATACTTTTACCAGTGTCCCGTCCCTCCCTGAAAATGATGTTCGTCCCCCCCCCCCCCTCCGGAGAAAAAAGTCTGGAAGAAACACTGATGGTGTGGTCTGCATTAGGCCTCGCTGCTTTTGTTTTCCTTAAACGTGATTTAGGTACTGGGTAGACTCAGGGATGTTTTACGAGTTCGAATCAGCGTTCAAGTGGAACGTCGCTGAGTCCATCCAGCTCTGATGGGTACCTAGCTTACGTTAGGAAAGTCAAAGTAAGCTGGGCACACTATTCCTTCATATATTGAGGTCACAGAAACAGGTGAACCCTAATTACCCCACGGACAGTCAGGTTTGAAAAAGGGAACTTTTATTCTTTTTTTTTATACTGCTGTGTTAGCTCCTTGGTCAAACCATGGTAGCATATTGTACATACTTTGGTTAGTATTATAAAAGCCTACTTAATACCTCATTCTTTCAACCAACCATATTGGCTGTATCTTCTCCTCCAGTGCAACAGCACTATATTACACGTTCTATTTTTAACTTAATGTTAATACTATAGACTTGTTACTTCCCCCTCCCCCTCCTAGTTATAAGACGTCAGAGTGTCACAGCCGTGACCCAAACGTCAAGTGTAGTGTCAAGTGTAGTGTCAAGCACTCACAGCACGAGCGCACTGCTCACACTGTGCAGCCACCGACCCAGTTAGTGGAGAAGGTCGGCCCTAACGCACATTGTTGCCTGCTGTCTGGGATGTAGCTCGCTAAGTTCGCGGATTGTTCTATGTTGATACCGTAAGTTGGTAGGTATTTACACTAACAGTACATCAAAACATCATGATTTGAATGGTTTCTGTGGAATAACAATAGGTGACAATAATGCTTAGGTTATCGTTCTTTATTTACATTGAGGTAACATACATAGGAATAGGCATACACTCGTGTATATATATATATATATATATATATATATATATATATATATATATATATATATATATATATATATATATATATATATATATATATATATATATATATATATATATATATATATATATATATATATATATATATATATATATATATATATATATATATATATATATATATACGTATATATAAATATGTGTGTATTTTGTGAGGGTGGCGTGCTGATATATAAATTTTATATATATATATATATATATATATATATATATATATATATATATATATATATATATATATATATATCCTAAAATTCTAGTTTCACTTATTTTGGATGTATTGCTTTATCCCCAGATTGAGCTTTTTATCCCGTGTTCATATTGTTAACCAATTGGTTACATATTTCGTTTTGTTAAAATAAAATAACGTAGTTACTGAGATGTTTTTTTCTCTTTTACATCATATTGTTGCGATTTTTATTTTTGTATATAGATTCAGTTAGGCTGCCGGATTGGCTTGCCATAAAATTGCAACATGATGATGATGCTCAACAAAGCTTCCTTTCTGTTTACAATCGTGTGGTACTGTGTGACACACGGTATCGCTTCCGGTAAGTGACACCATTTTGATAATAACAAGGGGAGGGAATGAGTGTACAGCAAAAAAAATTGCATGGGAAATAATTAATATGTTTAAAGAATTATTTATAAAATTAATTTCATTGTTTTGAATTATTGTTCTTGTCCAGATAAGCCCCACCACAAATACAAAAAGTGCACGCGCGAAAAATGAACCCCGCCACTATTGACCTATTTCTAATGTCTAGACATTTTAATATTTAAACGCACGCCATAAAAAGGGGGCGGGGGAGTAATACTTTTATTTAACAAAGTCTAACGTCGATTATGGATGGATGGTCTTTAAGGGGTCATCCATAAATGACCGTACGCTTTTTTTGACGATGTTTACCTCCCCCTCCCCTCCGTCACACATCGTCACAAAAAGCCACCCCCCCCCCCCCGCCAAAAAAAAATGACGTCACACCTCAGCCTACAACCCCCCTCAAAATTGCTGTTGAATTTTTCTTAAAACATCGATATCTTTCCAAAATCTTCTCAAAGTAGGGTATTTTAATCAAAACAATTTTCTAAAACGCGAAATAACGGCTTAAACTCGATTTCTGACATTGCTTTTTCATAATGCAAAAATGTGACGTCACACCATCTGAACCCCCCCCCTCCCCCTCATCACACACCGTCACAAAATTACGGACCCACCCCCTCCCCCCTACGAGTATGACGTCATTAATGGACGACCCCTAAGTACAATCTGGTTTTCATTTAGAATGGCAAGCACAGAGGCGTAGCGACCCTTCCCGGGCGCCCGGGGACAAACTTTCAATTTTCGATTTGCACCCCCCCCCCCCCCCCAAGCTTTCGATTTGCACACCCCCCCTCTCATATATGTTTTGATATATATAAAGCAAAAATGCAGCTAAAATGAAATTTTAATTTGTTTCTCCAACCCATTTTGGCGCCCCTTAAGGTCGGCGCCCGGGGACATATGTACCCCTGCCCCCCCCCCCTTCGCTACGCCTCTGGGCAAGCAAAATCTCAACTTTTAACGAATCCAGAGAACCTGTTTTCTTTTGTTAATTTCCGGTCAGGCTGGCTCATGTCAGGTTGGTGGACCCCCTGCTACACCGACCCTCCCATTGGCTGCTTCCCCACCAGTTACCCCTACAACAACACGGGCGGCATGTCCCCACAGAGCCCCTACGCCATCAATGTTTACTTCCGGCTGCACAACCGAAACCGGAACATAGTGTTCAACCTAAACAACGTTCGCCAGGTTTGAATTGTTGTTGTTTTTTAATGCTTTTTAATGGAAGTTTCTATGGTTATATTGCACTCAGTCTTTCTTTCAGGCATATATTTCTTTGGAGTTGGGCACTTAAAACGTTCGGGGGAGGGGGGGGGGGGGGGTGTCGGACTTAAATTTCCGCGGGAGGGGGGGGGGGCAGACTTGTTAAAGTATTTATTTTGTTTATTATAAAAGGTTGCCTAAATAAAACTCTGATTGTGCTTGAAAACCTCAAAAAGGTTCAACTCTATTTTTAACTTTAACCTAAAATTTTGATATAGTTGATTCATTAATAATGATCTTTATCTGACCACATTTATTTCAATCTATTAGAAAATCGTTTAAAAAAAAAAAAAAGCAAAATAAGTGTTTGAGATGATTTACATTTTTAATGTGATGTCACATTTTCTTATTGCACCCCTCCATTGTTACAAATCGTCACAAAAAGCCCGAACTCGCCACCCCCACTCCCAGGGGTGTGACGTCATTCATTAACGCCCCCTGCTTATACGGTCTTATCAAGGTCCCCCAATATAACTTTATCAGAGCGTCAATTTAAATTTTATTTTAATTGAAATAATTGAATTCATTTACACAAAGACTAATTTACACAAAGACTTTGATGCAATGTCACAATTATAACGGTTTTTACCGTAACAGGAAACAGCAGACGTCTTCAATCCTGCCCTGAAAACAGTCTTCATCATCCACGGCTATTTTGAACACGGCAACATCTCATGGATTCTGAACATGGTGAACGAACTACGAAACAAGGTCATCTTTCAAATAATATTAAATTTTTTAAACATGTTAACGCATCTAAAAAGCATTTATGTATGAAATGCGAGCTTTTATGTTTTAATAGCTTGTTAATTTAGAATAAAGGGGCGCTCTTATAGTTAATCTTTAAATTTAAATTGTTCAACAAAACAAATCGCAAACTATAATAATTTAAACTCAGAAATTTTTTTTAAAGTAATTTCCGGAGAAGTGATGTATCATGTGTTGCAAATAAATTGACTATTTGATTGTACTTTTATTATTTTTAATAAACCGGGAGTGATCTCCCCTAAACTTTTTCGAATATTCTTATATAAAACAACAGGGGATGACAACTCGGGATACAGACATGGTTTTTAATCCATTTTTAATTACTTAAACTTTAAAAAAATAGAATAAAATCTCGTAGGAAAAAGAATTGCACACCAAGTGAACGCCAAACAAAATGTGTATAATAGTGCGGAATATTATTAGTACTTTATAAATTCACATGCGTTTTTTGAGAAATCGAAAATAGCGTAAATTACTACTTCCGGTCAACGGGAATTGCTCAAAATTCGAAAGAAGGCAGAGAATTAGATCTTTTACTTACATGTGAAATTTCATATATCTATCGGAAATAGTACTCAAGTTATAAGCTATTGAAAAATAGAAAGTAGAAAAGTTCCACTTCCGGTTATCGGAAATCGCTCAAAAGTTGAAGCGGATCTACAAATTTGATATAATACTTATATATAAAATTTCATCTACCTAGCTGTAACGGTACTCAAGTTATCGTGTTTACAGACACACACACACACATACACTTAGATACAGACATACGGACAGAATTGCAAAGTCCAGTTTTTCCGTCCCGATAACGCATAAAACGTTAAAATTTTGATAAATCTAGGTTTATAATTTTTGCCCGATTAAAATAAGTCTTCTATACTCCGGATGTGATGAAGGACTGAGGTGTAAAACGTTGAAAACTGTCAAAAGTTCATATTATTTTGTGCACGATTACAATACTTCCTCACTCTATACTCTGTATACGAGAAAGTAAAAAGTGACTTACTTGTATGGGGTGTTTATTTCATTTGAATATTTTTAATATATTTTCATTAATTGCGTTTTTTTTTTAGTTAGGCCTATATGTTGTAAATGTTTTTTATTTAGGGTGATTTGAACGTGGTCGTTGTGGATTGGTCAGGAGGAGCGTCCAGCTTGATCTACCACCAGAGTGTGGCCAACACACGGGTCGTTGGGGCCGTGTTGGCGTTGTTGTTGCAGGTCAGTGCAGGGGTCGTTAGGGTCGTGGTGTCCAGGGGTCATTGGTGATGGGGTCAGTTGTGTACAGGGGTCTTTGGTGTTGGGGTCAGTGGTGTACAGGGGTCTGGTGTTGGGGTCAGTGGTGTGCAGGGGTCGTTGGTGTTGGGGTCGTGGTGTTCAGGGGTCAGTGGTGTACATGGATCGTTGGGGTTGTGGAGTCCAGGGGTCATTGGTGTACAAAGGTCGTTGGTGTTGGGGTCGTGGTGTTCAGGGGTCAGTGGTGATGGGGTCAGTGGTGTACATGGGTCGTTGGGGTTGTGGAGTCCAGGGGTCATTGGTGTACAAAGGTCGTTGGTGTTGGGGTCAGTGGGGTACAGAGGTCTTTGGTGTGGGGGTCAGTGGGTGTACAGGGGTCATTGGTGTACAGGGGTCGTTGGTGTTGGGGTCAGTGGGGTACAAGGGTCGTTGGTTATGGGGTCAGTGGTGTACAGGGGTAGTTGGTGTTAGGGTCAGTGGTGTACAGGGGTCGTTGGTGTTGGGGTCGTGGTGTCCAGGGGTCATTGGTGATGGGGTCAGTGGTGTAAAAGGGGTCTTTGGTGTTCCGGTCAGTGGTGTACAGGGGTCATTGGTGTACAGGGGTCATTGGTGATGGGGTCAGTGGTGTACAGGGGTCTTTGGTGTATGGGGTCAGTAGTGCTGGGGTATGGTGGTGTTGGGGTTAGTGGTGTACAGGGGTTGTGTTTTTGGAGACAATAGTGGTGAGGTATCGTTGGTGTTTGCGGTCAGCAGGGCTGAGGGGATCGTTGTTGTTGCGTACAGTGGTGCACAGAGGTCGTTGGTGTTAGCGAGATGAAATTCTGATTACCTATTGGGTTATGTTTTAAGTTGTCATTTGTTTCTTCCTTCTTTAAAACGATTTTTACCTTTGGATAGTTAAAACGCATAAAAGTACTCTTAGAATATTTGGTGAAACTCCTAAGATGTTGGATATTTTTTTTTTTTTTTTTTATCAAGCAGTTTGTTAGAGAAAGCTACACATTCTTTAAAATTATCTCCCTTTTTATTAAAAAAAATTCGAAGTAAAGGAAATTATGTTATTCTTTTAGTAGGACGGGTTCGGTGAATGGGTGTATGAAACTTGTCGGGTTCTGTACCTCCAAAAAAATGTTAAGAATCACTGCACTAGTCAGACCCATATAAAGGTCTGATCACTGGTCAGTCGTGACTCGTCTTACACTTTCAGGAGATGATCGCCCTTGGCGCCAGACCGTCTCAGTTCCACCTGATTGGTTTCAGCCTCGGTGCTCACGTGGCCGGCTATACGGGTCAGATTGTCAGTGGAGTGGCTAGAATTACAGGTAAGTGGTGAGAAGTACAGTTGGTAGAATTACAGGTAAATATTGAGCACAGTTGGTAGAATTACAGGTAAGTGTTCGTAGAATTGGTAGAATTACAGGAAAGTGTTGAGTACAGTTGGTAGAATTACAGGTAAGTGTTGAGAAGTACAGTTGGTAGAATTACAGGTAAATGTTGAGTACAGTTGGTAGAATTACAGGTAAGTGTTGAGTACAGTTGGTAGAACTACAGGTAAGTGGTGAGAAGTACAGTTGGTAGAATTACAGGTAAATGTTGAGTACAGTTGGTAGAATTAAAGGTAAGTGTTGAGTACAGTTGGTAGAATTACAGGTAAGCGTTCGTAGAATTGGTAGAATTACAGGAAAGTGTTGAGTACAGTTGGTAGAATTACAGGTAAGTGTTGAGAAGTACAGTTGGTAGAATTAAAGGTAAGTGTTGAGTACAGTTGGTAGAATTACAGGTAAGTGTTCGTAGAATTGGTAGAATTACAGGAAAGTGTTGAGTACAGTTGGTAGAATTACAGGTAAGTGTTGAGAAGTACAGTTGGTAGAATTAAAGGTAAGTGTTGAGTACAGTTGGTAGAATTAAAGGTAAGTGTTGAGTACAGTTGGTAGAATTACAGGTAAGTGTTGAGTACAGTTGGTAGAATTACAGGTAAGTGGTGAGAAGTACAGTTGGTAGAATTACAGGTAAATGTTGAGTACAGTTGGTAGAATTAAAGGTAAGTGTTGAGTACAGTTGGTAGAATTACAGGTAAGTGTTGAGAAGTACAGTTGGTAGAATTACAGGTAAGTGTTGAGTACAGTTGTTAGAATTACAGGTAAGTGTTGAGTACAGTTGGTAGAATTACAGGTAAGTGTTGAGTACAGTTGGTAGAATTACAGGTAAGTGTTGAGAAGTACAGTTGGTAGAATTACAGGTAAGTGTTGAGTACAGTTGGTAGAATTACAGGTAAGTGTTGAGTACTATTGGTAGAAGTACAGGTAAGTGTTGAGAAGTACATAAGTTAGTAGAATTACAAATAATTGTTGAGAAGTACAGTTGGTAGAATTACAGTTAACTGTTGAGAAGTGCAGTTGGTAGGTTTACAGGTAAGTGCTGAGAAGTACATATGAGTTGGTATAATTACAGTAAAATTACATGTTGATTATTGCAAGAATTAAAATTTTAAAAAGTGTTGAGTAATTTAATGTATTAATAGAAACGGACTCACACTTCTTCAATTTGTAAAAGTATATAATTTCTATTTAAAGAATCTACTCTAACTTGTTAAAGTATATAATTTAAATGTAAAGAATGTTCGCTAATTCTCCCGGTGGAGGGGATGGGAGGGGGATGAGTATTCAATGCCAGAATGATTCTGCACACGTCACGTCGAAGGTTCTGACCTTGGTCTTTTTATCTTTGAGGGTTGGACCCAGCGGGGCCGAGCTTTAAGGACACGCCCCCCGAGGTTCACCTGGATCCCAGCGACGCTCGGGTCGTGGACGTCATTCACACAGACACCGGCTCGTCCTTGAGCATGGGTGAGTGGAGTGAGTCGTTCTCAACGTGATGCGTGATGAGTTGAAGTTGAAGCGAGCATCATCCTTTATAGAGTTAATTGTTTATTTTTGTTGATTAGTAATTTTTTTTCAAGAAACGTGATATACAATATATATATATATATATATATATATATATATATATATATATATATATATATATATATATATATATATATATATATATATATATATATATATATATATATATATATATATAGATGTAAACATTAAATTATGAAGTTCCAAAATAACGCAGACTTGCAAAATAGCACAAGGGACATAACCGAATTTTACAAAAACATATACATTTAAACGGAGTTAAGTACCTTGACTTGTGGTGTACTTATTATTTCATTGTTATTTTAGTTTTACAATTCAGAACGAAAAAGAAGAAACCTGATCCCCCTACTTCCATTGTTTCCAACCGAATACTATTGTGTTAATTATTTTTTTTATCTATCCCTTTTCAGGTGCGAGACAGCCAATGGGGACGTTGGATTTCTACCCCAACGGTGGGGACAGCCAACCAGGGTGCTCGACGAATTTGTTTGACCTCATTTCTGCCGTCATGTTCAACTTTGGTAAGGTTCCAAAAATCAAACTTTTTTTTTCAGGAATCTCTTTCAACTTGACTTCACTCCTGCGCTAGATTAATCTCTGTGTTACTGAGAAATGTCGATATAGGGCGTGTGATTTTGAAATGACTATTTTATTATACATAAACCCAGTGGCGTAGGCAGGGAGGGGGTTCAGCTATTTTATATATATATATATATATATATATATATATATATATATATATATATATATATATATATATATATATATATATATATATATATATATATATATATATATATATATATATATATATATATATATATATATATATGCTGGAAAAAATTTAACCCCCCCCCCCCCCCATGAGACGATCCTGGCTACGCCACTGCATAAACCTTGTGTGTGGCCATATCAGCGGCTTAGGCTGGAATTTTTATCCATTATATATATGAGTGTGTCTATGAGGGTCTATTTGGGAGGGGTGATAAGTTGAATGACTAATGGTAATCTTTCCTGAAAAGCTGTGTGCCTTTGGTCAGGTACTCATTCTAGCTGAGTGACTTAAGTCAAGTACCCTTTAAAGCTGGGTGACTTAAGTCAGGTACCCATTCCAGCTGAGTTACTTAAGTCAAGTACCCTTTAAAGCTGGGTGACTTAAGTCAGGTACCCATGCAAGCTGAGTTACTTAAGTCAAGTACCCTTTAAAGCTGGGTGACTCAAGTCAGGTACCCATTCAAGCTGAGTTACTCAAGTCAAGTACCCTTTAAAGCTGGGTGACTTAAGTCAGGTACCCATTCCAGCTGAGTTACTTAAGTCAAGTACCCTTTAAAGCTGGGTGACTTAAGTCAGGTACCCATTCCAGCTGAGTTACTTAAGTCAAGTACCCTTTAAAGCTGGGTGACTTAAGTCAGGTACCCCACTGGGCTGGGTGACTAGTCGGGCGTTCACCAAAGTGGAGTGACTTAATACAGACACACCTAGAAGCTTACGGATTCAATTCATGCAGGCCTACCTGTCTCCTCTGAACGATTGTCAGCAACAACAATTCAAGACTTTAATATTTTGGGGGGGGGGGGGGGGGGGCGAGCCATTTGTGATTTTGTGTTAATATACTTTGTGTTCGTGTGACTCCGATGTAGTGTACAAATTTTTGTTATGATGTGTAAATCCTTCATGAACATAATTTTAGACTGCTGTAACTAGTGTAATGTAATTTTAAACTGCTGTTTATTGAGAACTCTTTGTTGTTAAAGTTTTTTTTTCTTTTCAGATCGCGGTACTCTCGCCTGTTCCCATCTGCGAGCTGTCCACCTTTTCACCTCCACGATAAACAATAACTGCTCCTTCCCCACTGAGCGATGCGCGTCATCGTCGCCATGGCAACACTGCGCGCCGTGCGACGTTGACCAGTGCCCCCAGATGGGCTACAACCTGGACACGCCCACAGCTGACGGGGCGGGGTTTGTCTACAAGCCCACGACGTCCGGTCAGCCCCCGTTCTGTAGTAATAAATAACATCACAACCTTTTTGAGTTCTTGTCTACAATTTTTTTTAAAAAATAACTTCATCCACAATAGGGAAAAGTGAACACTCCCCTGCACCCCTTATGGTTACGCCTATGATCTTGTTTATATAATACGCATCACCAGAGTTTCTTCCAGGCATCTCTTCGGGGGGCTTCGCCCCCCCCCCCTCCCGAATTTTTTTTTACCGCCCCCCCCCCCCCCCCCGAACGAAATGAAATTTATATAATTTATATAGAAAATATATACTTTTAACAGTGTCCGCCCCCCGAAGAACGTTTACCCCCCCCCCCCCCCCCGAAAATTTCAAGTGCCCCCCCCCCGGAGAAAAAAGCCTGAAAGAAACACTGCGCATCACACACACCAAGGTTGAGTGGCAACTCCCTCTGCACCCCTCCTAGCTACGCCCAAGGGGGGTCCAATTTTTACCCGGGGACAAACTTTCGATTTGCACCCCCCCCCCTTCAAACTTTCGATTTGCACCCCCCTCATACTTTATATATATATATATATATATATATATATATACCGAGGGGTCTATGGGGGGGGGGAGGTTATGACCCCCCTAACCCCCCCCCCCCCCCTGCCTACGCTACTGTCTTTCAGGCATCTCTATGGGGAAGTGATAGAAGACGTCCACCGCCCCAGTACACAATTTTTAAAATTTATATATTTTATATAGAAAATATATATATACTTTATTCAGTGTGCCCTCGGAAAGTTTCAAGTGAACCGCCCCATTTCAGAGAAAAAAAATATCTGAAAGTAAAAAAACAATGCTGTCCCCAAATTTACTTTGACATCTGCCTATATTTGCTCGTGTATTTAACAGCTACCAGTTTTAAGCCAACACCACCGAACATCCGAATGGGGTGTAAAATTCACACCTCGTCGATAATGACGTCACCCCACTCGTGCAGTGTAACCCAGTGCGACCAACATAACCCCCCTTCCCCCCTTGTGACGTCACTATACCCTATCAAACCAATGCTCAGGTTACATTTGGTATCGATACAGTTGAGGGATTTCGAAAGGGCGCCACTTCGTGTATCGCAATAACCCAATGGAGGGTCACTACTGACGCCAGACTGAACCGAAATGCATTAACGATTGAAAAAAAAAAAAAAAAAGACAGAATCCACGTGGGTATCAATCCAAAATTAATTCTCTCGCACACACACGCACATCGAGACACACACAATAGCAACAGTGGGCCGTTGCTAAGCAACGCCAAGGTAAATTAGGTCAGAGGAGATGAAACAACAAAACGGGTCACGGTTTCAAACTTCAAATATTTATAGCCTAAAGGTCTATTCTATTTACCAATACTATTTATAGGCATCTAAATTCTTTAAAATCGATTAAGAACATCAGTCCTTTCTTCTAGCTATAAATCATCGAACAGTCTTTAAACGATAGATTAGCAAATTTCATTACGATCAATTGAAAAATTAAAATAATTATGTTATCTTCCAAAATTTTATATTAGTAGTAGTAGTAGTGATTAAAGTAGGCCTACTAAATTACTAATAACTCAATCTTAAATCGAACACACAGACAACTTGTAAAATAACCCAGCTAGTGCTTGTTGTCGTTTGTTTTATTTTTTGTCGCTGTGTAAAAAAATTATAGAATCTACCACCTTTTTGTTGCACCACTTAATTTTTATCGCGTGACATCAAGTATAGAATCTGAACAATCGGCCTACGTTTTGTTCCTTAGTGAAGTCATAACAATCCATAACACGGCGACCACGCCTTATTCACATTCCTCCCCCCTCCCACACACTTATACATTTATTTATACCCGCCGTTTGTACAATTTAAAATGCCATACTATCCTAGCTAGCCTTTTTAAAAATAACTTTAGTCAATAGTATACTTAGTGTGTCGCCCCGAGTGATAAGAACGGTTAACTCTATGGCGAGGTAACTACGTTTGGTTGTTGTGATCTCTCTTTTTTTTTTTAAATTCTATCCCTCCATTCGGCCCGACAGTACTGTAGGATAGACCTAAATTTACATAACATACGTGATATCGAATGTTTACGAAGTACTTTTGCAACAACCTCTTCATTTTAAAACTACACATTAGATCGAAATCTATTTATTGATTAAAATTTAAGTAGATCAAGATTCTTTATGACTAGATTTCTATATTAATATCAATTTCGAGTTCACGTAAAACGTATGTATTATGTATGAGGCCAATATTTTATACTCGATAATTATATATTAATAATACCACTTGAATAAATATCATAAATAAAAAAGCGTAAAGATGCGTTTATATATCTAAACAAAACGCAAAAATAAAGAACATCAAAGTAGCAATATTTTATTCTAAAATTGGAAGTTTTAAAGTTTATTAAGTTATGTAATTCATTTTTAAAATACCCTGTTTGGTATAAGGTCGAATCTGTTAAAAGGAGCGAATCGATTACTGAAAGCACTAAAGTGAATGTCAATGTCAATCATTGCTGTTACGTGTAAAAATTCAATATGATCGATATAAATAAATAAAATCAATTTCTTTGCATTTCCGTCGATGATTCGCTTACTTCATGCTACACGTTATCGAATTAAGCAGGATTGACTGCGCGATCCTCATAGCTTCTTTTTATAGTAGTACTAGAATAGATCTACCCCAGAGGCGTAGCGGGGGGATATGTCCCCGGGCGCCGACATTAGTGGGCACCAAAATGGGTTGGAAAATCAAATTAAAATCTCATTTTAGGTGCAAATTGAAAGTTTGAGGGGGGTGGGGGCAAATCGAAAGTTTGATTGGGGGGGGGGGGGTTGCAAATTGAAAATTGCAAGGTTGCTCCCGAGGGGGGCGCCAAATTAAAAGTTTGTCCCCGGGCGCCGGGAAGGGTCGCGACGCCTCTGATCTACCCCATCTGAGTTATTTTAATTTTTACTGTTACTTTGTATCCCATTAATGTCTAAATCTAGATTTAATATTAATTTTATATATTCGATCTAGATCTAGAATAGAATAATCTAGATGTAGAATTTTACTTTACTAGATTAGTTTGAGAATCTAGTATAAGAAGTATTAGTTATATGCTCTATAGAATCTAGATCTATATAGCAATAGGACCACTTCGTAAAATAGACTAGATCTAGAGATCTATATCTAGATCTAGATCTGTCTCACAGTGAATCTGTGCTAAAACTGGCGATAGCTTAAAATACACAAAGTGACAGACTAGCTAGACAAACACTTGTCACTGGTTCTGTTTATTTTTGTGAGGATCAACCAAAGTAGGCTAGGCCTGTCTGTAGGTCAAATTTGGAACATGAACTTCCGCTACACCGTAGGACAATAACAGTCAGTTGTAAAAGAAATGGTTTTACGCTGCGGTGTTTATTGAAGTGTTATTGGGTCGTTGTTCGTTGAATGGCAGTGCTTACATGTTTTTCACTTATGATTGTTTAGATTTAGATATAGAATCTAGTTCTGCAGGTAAGCAAAATATTTAAAATCCGCTGGATTTACTAGATCTAGATTCTAGATCTAGATTTTCTAGATCTCGAATTTATTTTTAGATTAACTTAGAATTTTAGATAAGAATTGTTGTTTGTGTTGGAGTGTTGCCCACTGCTGCTATTGCCAGGCAATTGGCGTTGCAGTTGGCGCCAGCGTGCTTAGCCAGCGGTCATCGTAGTCAGGTAAAGTAAGTAAGACGTAAGAGAACAACTTAGAATAGATCTACTGACTTAGACTTAGATCTAGATCTAGAGATCTAGTAATTTTAAAAATTTAGAATCTAGAAAAGAAATCTAGTGAAATTTCTTCATATCTTAATAAATTCTAGAATCTAGATCTAGATTAGATCTTTAGGCCTAAATAAATTAAATAAATATGGTAGGCTTAATCAGCTTAATCTAGAAGAATCTATCACTCACTAACTATTAACTAGTATTAGTATTAAGTAATAAGTATTAACTAACTAAAAACTATCGTTTTATTTAGATCAAGAGTCTAGATCTAGACTAGATCTCTAGTATTAGATCTAGTAATGTGCGAACAAGTTGCTTCATTTTTTATTAATATTAGCCTAATAGAAGTATTAGATCTAGATCTAGTAATATTGAGATAAATTTGTTTCAAATATTTTATTAGATTATTTATATCTATATTATTAGTATGCATTACATGGCATAGAAGGCATAGATATAGTCTAGATTAATCTAGAAGATGGCAAATGAAATAAATCTAGTAGGATGCTAGGATAACACATAGGATGATGATCTAGATTTATCTAGATTAATTTCAATCCACATTACTGTTTCTAGACCTAGGGCCTAGATCTAACTCCTAATCCTAATTAAAAAACCTGAATTTTATCTCAGACAAACCAGGAATTGCCCAAATAAGGGTAGCCTAATTTAGGGTAATAATTTTTATAACAGAACCAGAGGCGTAACGACCCTTCAAACTTTTTGATTTGCACCCCCCCCCCTCAAGATTTCAATTTGCATCCCCCCCCTCAAGATTTCGATTTGCATCCCCCCCTCCTCAAACTTTCAATTTGCACCCCCCTCAACCTTTCAATTTATTTTTCCAACCCATTTTGGCACCCCCTAAGGTCGGCGCCCGGGGACATATGTGTGTGTGTCCCCGTCCCCCCCTTGCTACGCTACTGAACAGAACCTTTTCAAACAAAGTCATTAAAAATATAATATATAGGCCTATCATTAGATAAAGCAGTATTCATCTATAACCTCAGTACTAGAAATGAATGTGTTGTCCCTTTATAAATTATTGCATGCTTTATTTTCCCTAAATGGAATCAGGAACTTCGGGAAAGTCTTAATGACTCAATCCCAGGAACTTTGCTATCAATTGTTTCTCATCCACAAATTCCTTTTAAAACTCTTCATTTTGTCATTTTGTACAATGTTTTGGGGATCATTACATTTGTGTGTATAATGTAAAGAAGTATAAAATTGATTTCTGATAAATTTCTTGCATCATTTTAGGATCATTTTAGTTAGGTATCTTTATTGTAAAGAAGCATTAAGTTGATTTCTAATACATTACTTGTACGAGAAAATTTATTTTTCTAATTTTACTTTATTTTACAGGATTTTAACACAAGCTATCCATTTTCTTAAAAAAGAAACCACTATGAGTACCGTCAAACTTCACCCAGTCACACAAAACAGACTACCTGACACAGTGAAGAGCAATAAAGATCTGTCGGCTGCTCGAACATTTGACGCAGATGGCCTGCGCAGAAGAGCTGCTTGTTTGTGCTTTAAGGATAAAAAAGAGAAGGAGGTTTGGAGATAATTTATTAAATTTATTATACACTGCTTTCTTAATGCTCCTATCTGAAAGACTATCACAAACACACTACTAAAAATAAATCAAGAAGACACTGTCAAAATATTTTGCTTTAACTTTAGTCAGACGATTAATTACTGTATGGTGACCAGATCTGGATGTCTATTTTAAAAAACTATCCTGATGTTCAAAACTATTACTAATACTCAACATCTTACATTTATTGGATAAATTTGCTGTTTTATTTTTGTTGCTTTCTTTTAAATTAAAAAAAAATCAAATCTTTCTAGTAAAATTTCTTGTTTTTCTACGTCTTGTAGATCCTTTTAATCAGCTCCACCCATGATGTCAGCAAGTGGATAGTGCCTGGTGGGGGTATTGACCCCGGGGAGGAGCCTGACACAGCAGCAGAACGTGAGGCCCATGAGGAAGCTGGGGCACTGGGGGTGTTGGATAGATTTGTTGGGGTTTTTGAGGTGAGCATGTCAGATTTGTTGGAGTTTTTGAGGTGAGCATGTCAGATTTGTTGGGGTTTTTGAGGTGAGCCTGTCAGATTTGTTGGGGTTTTTGAGGTGAGCCTGTCGTCATAGATTTGTTGGGATCTTAGAGATGATTATGTGCTTTATAAGTTCTGACAGAATTCTATCCCTGAAGTCAGGAGCTTTAATCACATCCTGAATTGATGTCCAGTTATTAACCCTTCAGACAACACTTTGGAAAATACCCCCATCAGTTGCAATTCGGGCGCTACTATCAATAAATTTTTTTGTCTGTTGTGGTGCATATTATACATCTTGGAGGAATTGCTCCTTTTTTATAAATTCAATGGATTTCTAAACATTAGGATGGCGACAGCCTACATTAAACTGGAAACTTTTGTGCTAGCCTTCAACTTGAGTTGTTTGTATTTGCCATTTGTCTCTGCACAAATGTGCATGTTCCATTAACTCTTTAAGACCGTAATGACGCTTCCAGCAGTTGACAGGCCAGCCTGCCATAATGTAACGACTCTCCCGGCGTCTGATAAATTTTTCTCTCTATTTAATTCATTGTTTTTCAGAATCCAAGATTTTAATTGTAAATCGAGGTCATGATTATGCTAGAGCATAATTACTTCTTGTAGTTTTCTCTTTGTTTTCTCTTTTATAGAATTTTTTTTTAAAACAACTAGCGAAACAGTTTTTTTTAACTAAGTAATTATCTTTCTTCAAGAAATAAATGATTACTTAAAAATTTATATCTGTGTTTAGGTCATTCAATTACGATTAATTTTTATTTATAATATGTGGGGTTTAAATCAATGGGTAAAAAGATATTGGTCTTTTAGCCGCAGGGGTACTGGAAAAAAATGAGTGGCAAATAAATAATGCCGGTAAAACGTGAAAATTACGGGCTTAAAGAGGTAATGAAGAGGAAACATGCAGCATTCTTAGAATGAGAGCCCACTCTTTGATCAAAGAGAAATTTCATTGCTTGAAAGCCGAATAGCATTTTTTTTAGAGATAAACTATCTTGTCAGGGGTTAAAATTTAAAGAAATTTAATCAAATAATTATATTTAAGTCACCAATTATATTTAAAATGTATACCTTCATATTGCTAAGTTTTGTTTTCTTATTTATTAATATTTCCTTATTAAAAAATTACAAGTAGGGGTTATTGTCCAGGGTGTGGTTACTGTTTGTGAGCCCCTAAAATACTAAGCTCAGTTCTCTAACTTCTTCTTCTTCGTTCTTAATTTTTAGTGTTGGGAGGGATCGAGCCTTTTCTGCCAGAGGGTTTGAATTTGTATTTATCAACCATGAGCTTTGAGGTCTCAACCATGCTTCCATCACAATTAAGGATTATGTGTCAACTGGTTATGCGCCATTGAGGCCATTGACTCAGATTTCAGCCTGCTTTTCTTTTTGGATTTGCTTCCATAGCCTTTGTCCAACCAAGAACAAACTACAAGGCAGCAGTTTGTTTGATTTTGGAGTTGTCTCTCCTAGAAGAGTGGCTGTCCCCAGCTAACGAGCCTCATCTGCCCGAGGGTTCGAACTCGAGACTTTTCGGTTTAGCAACCTTGAGCTTTACCGACTCGACCACGCCGACCCCCAGTTCTATAACAACTATAGGGTTTTATTTGCTTTTATAATTAACCCTTATTTACTTTTACAGAATGTAGAGAGAAAGACCAGGACATGGGTGTATGTGTTTTATGTGGAACAGCTACTAGATCATTGGACTGAGGCCAAGAGTTTAGGTTGGTAATTTCCCTTCCTCTTATTTTTCCTATTATTCCACAAGAGTATTTTTATTGTACATGTATTTGTAATTTCAATTTTATTTTTTGGGGTATGGTGGGTGGCAGAGTATTTTCAAACATTTAATAGAGTATATAGACTATACAATTAAAGAATTTAATAGTTTATGGAAAAGGGTATAATCTTAAATTGACTTTTGTCAGGTTCAATCTGGTTTAGAATTTTACTTTAAAGGAAAAAAAAACTTAATAACGAAGACAGTGATTTGTGTTTTTGAAGTAATTGTGTGTATTTCTCTACTTTCATTAAAATCAAAACAATTGAGTGAAAATGTATATTTATTTATATCTCTCTGTTCAATCATTCTACTGAGATTTTTAAATAACACCACCCTAACTATCACATTGCAGACCGTCGTCGCCAGTGGTTTGCTATTGAGGACGCCAAGCACATGTTGTCCATCCACAAGCCCATTCAGGTTCAGTTCATCACGACCTGCCAGGCTAACAAAACATGACAGCCGCACCCTGGCGGACTGCCCTGTGCTCATCCTTTTATTTAGTCAAGTTCCAAAGACCTCATACTAAAGTGTAGCCCAGTTACTACTAGTTGGATTTTTGATATTATATTTGTTGCACATGTTCTGCCCTATAAACAAGCCCTTATTATACATAGAATTTTTTTTTTTCTTCAGCTAGATCTTATTTACCATTGATAACATTACTAGACGTGGCATCATACTTAAACGTTAGCTGCGGAATAGATGTATTTTCTCCACGAGGTATACGGTGATGCATGTCGGGCCTTCTCTACAACTGTAATGTTACACTTGGGTTGTGTTTACTGTTGTATAGAACTTGGGTGTTTGAACTAGTCTTTCCAATGTTTATATAGTCACCTGGTGATAATGTTTTTTTTTTTTTTTTCACATGGCCGTTTTGCTGTGTATTGATGGAATCTTTGAAAAACCAAAAATATGGTGATCTATTTTAACAAGGCTTTACATATCACTGAATTTTCCATGTATTGGATATAAGGCTATGAGACATACCAGATGTAACGTATTGAGATGTCCTCCTTGCAAAACTTTGCTATGTCACTTCACAATTTAGAATAGTCTTTTTAAAAAATCATCTTGTTAGCTAATCATGAAATTTTATATTCTTTTAAACAGTTAATTTTAAGTTGCGTCTCTTTGAATAAAAATGTGTAAAAATAGTATTTAGACACTTTAAAGATTTTTATTTTGACTAAGCAGGTTATGCAAATAGACTCATTGTGTAATTGTTTAACGAAAATTTAATTGCAAGCTTTAAGTTTGGTTAGCACTAGGCTGCATGCATATCATCAAAAAGTGAAGAAAAAATACTAACAGCTACAGCTATTAACTTATCCAATACTTGTTGTTTTTTCCATAAATCCTATGCACTGGCTCCTCTTTCAGAGTTAAGTGAGCTGACAGTATACACTATGTGTATATGTTGTCAACATCTGCTATAGAGGGGTGCTGTGTTGTGTTTGTTGGCCGAACGGCTGTACCAATACTGTTGTGGAAGTAATTTAAACATGAATGTGCAAGTAACTGCGTTGATCTTGTAAGGTGGTGTCTGTGTGTAGACGGTGTGATTTAACATTCTATTAGAGTAGATTTATCAACCTTATGTCAGATGTTGCTTTATTGTAAATTTTTTTTTTTTTCAGTTCAACAGGCAGCCAATTTACTTATTTAATTAACATCTTGTAGAATAACACTGCTAATCTAGTTTTGTGCTAGAAATTGTTCACCATTACTTTTGATAATAAAATAAAATATTTTAAAATCCATTTCTAGTGCCAACAATTTATTTCCTTGTCATGTTTTGTCAGTTTAAACTTAACCTTTCATAACAACATAGATTAGGGAAATATATCACTCATGCTTTTTTTTAAATTGCTGTTAGTTAAGCATCATAATAAAATTTGTCATGAAAAGTAGAATTTCAACTCTATGACCATTTTAATGTAAAATTCTGTATAGATTGATGTTCTAAAGACCATCTCATGTCGTTTTAAATGCACAAGTCCTATATACTCCATTAATAGGCAAATAATTTTATCAATACTTATTGATAGAATTATAATAAAATAGTCTGTACCGCCCAGTTAAAGAATATTTGAAGTCACACAGGCAAAATACAAATATTTTATAAGACCTATTTACCAATTTTTTGTTCCTCTGTGTTTAAATATTTTAAAGTTGCTATCAATTAGTAACACCAACACAGTGACAATATCACCATTTTATTTGCCATGTCTGAAAACAACATGTATCATACATCAAACTGTACATCATTAATTACATACAGCTTTTAAGATCAAAACATGAGGATAAGCCCTTTCTTATTTACACACAGGTTATGGAAGGTTTTTAATTTAAACCCACTAGATGATTTATCGACTGTTCTAGCATTAATTGCTCTCTTGTCTGGATGTGTTATCTATGAAGATTTTGGGGGAGAAAAAAAATTGGATTAAAATCAAATAGTTGTAACACTATTTAAACAATTAGGTAATCTGTTAATGTACAGCACAAGATAAAGAAAATGTCATTTAAGAAATGCCACCCTTGCAATCACATATAAGGCAGACTTATCACCTTTTTAAGTAATATCATAAGAAGAAAACTTTGATGATTAGTAAGCACATAATGTGGGTGTTTTTTTTTTTAAAGAGTGAGACAATGTCAGAAACATGCACAAGAAAATTATAGGAATCAAATCATTTGACTTTCCTGTATTCATGTACAATAAGTTTGAACACTTTAAATTGTTATAGACAGAAAAACCTAAATTACAAAAAAAATGGGGGCAAATTGTTTATTCCCCCTTGAATAAAATCATTTTTAAAATTTGGAATGGTTTCATGGAGAGGGCAAAAAAAAGTGTAAAGTCTTAGTTAAAAATGATCAACACAAAATGTATCATTGAAGTACCAATATAACCTTTAACTCTATGTTGGAAAATGCACAATTATTAAAAAGATTACAAGAACAAATTCATCAATACCTTATCAAATATACATTGTATAAAAACTGCCTCTTTAAAATAGAGATCATTATTCACTTACATGGAATAATACATGGCCTTCAGTATCTACAGGTCAACAAGTACATTCGAGGTACAAGTTATTAAATTAGAAACAAAAACTCATTTGGTGTCTATTGCTGTTTTATATAAAATTCTGCACAGCTTATTAGTGTATACAACGAACGTGAACATAGGTTTTATATAAAACTGTAATTCATCTTTCTGCACAGCTTATAACTGTATACAGCATAAGTGAACATAGGTTTTATACAAAACTATAATTCATCTATCTGCACTGCTTATTAGGGTATACAACATAAGTGAACATAGGCTCATAATTTACAATTGAGTGGTATACACAAGTATTAAAACATGAGTGTCTCTAGCAATATAAAATACAGACTAGTTCCAGTTTGCATGAAGTGAAGTTGTTTTAAAAACTCTGACCCCCACATACAATATATACAATAGGATGGTTAACAGCTTCAAGGAATAATTTAATTTTCATTAAATCAAAACTGTCATTTTAAACGAAACAAAAAGCTTTTTGGTGGTTTTTATAAACTGGCGAAAGCACAAAATCGTAAATCAATTGTTTTTCAACTTTGTTTGACTTATAATTTCCCTTTATTTTTTTTTTTTACTAGTTTACGTTCAACTTGAAAAAAACTGATTTGTGCAATTATGAAATGACAATGGCTTTAAAATATCAAGTAATTTCCTTCTGCTGAGGTGGTCGCATGGTGCTATTTCGTTTGATCGCCTCGACAAGCCAGTCTATTCCTTCCTGGACACCATCACTGGGGGAAAAGAAAACAGCTTTGTCAACATTTTCATTAACTAGCCCTGTTCTTGTCAGCCGTTATGAATAATGAGGCATTTTACTCAAACATATCTGCTGATAGCTAGACACTATTTTTTTTAGCTACAAATCAAGTTTTGAATTAGTTTGTTTACTCTACACTGTTGATACTTGAAGGGTTTCCTCTGTTACAAAATCTTAATTGAAATAAAAAAATGAGACATTGGCTAATGCAACCAGAGCATATGGCTCATGAGCTGCAGGTAGCAAACCACTATTAGATCATGCATATTACATTTTTATATGTAATAATTGCCCTTTCTGATGTGTCAGACTATAAGGGAAGTAATAAATTTTAAAGTTTTTTTTTTACCACGGGCATATGACGGGGTTGTAAATTCTGCTCCACGAACAGCTAGTTTTTTCCCCCTGACAAATCACATATAACCTGAACTTGGTGGACTTAGCCATGCTATGCACAGTGATATATAAAAAAAAATTAAAATGAAGCTCATTTCTGTGTTCCAAGTTTTTAGACTTACCCTTTGAGTGCTGAAACTCCCTGAACCCATGACTCTCTCTGCCCCATGGACTGAAGGGGGGAGTTAAAAATTGTCTTCACCTCTGTTACCTTTAAACAACCCTGAAAAATATCAAAACACAGATTGTTTTATTAAAGAATAATAAAAGTTCCCTTCTCAAAACTGACGGCCCAGAGGGCAAGTGAAGTAGAGTTCACCTGTTTCTGTGACCTCAGGATATGAAGGGATAATGTGGTCAGTACTATAACATTCCACCTTAAAATTTTAAAAATAAATTTAAATTACAAAACACCAGCAAACCAATACTGAGTAACATCAAGGTACTCTGTGCCAGTTTCATTGTTTAAAATTAAACAGGGTTCTAGCTGGAAGAAAATATGCATGTGTATGTTTACACAACTGCCCAACAGTGACTGTTTTTTCTCGACATTTAAATGTTCCTTGTTTAGACCTATGTGTTGTTTTGAAGGGATAGGGATTAACCCAATAAAATCATAGATTTAAATAGGCTATTAAAATAGAATTTTATAAAAAGATTTCATACTTTACTTCCAGACTAGATATCTTTACTAGATATACTTGGTATATATACTGAACCCTCAAACACTGAGAACCACTTAACCACACAGTACAGTTAGTCGATTTTTGTCAGATAAATAAGGCTTAAACTGGTAATCTGCACATTGTGCAGCTATAAAGGGTAATTTGAGCCCATTGAGCAGCTATTAAGGTCATTGCATTTTGCATCTTTTGCCAGCCAGCCCAGAGGCTGGGGAGGGGGGGGGGGGGGGGCAGAAGCTTCTTCCGAGTAGTCACTTCATTAAAATTATGATCCAGGGTAATGATATAACAACCAAAACAATCTGGGCTATGTCTTACAAACATCTTAGTAAAGTAGATCATTTTCTGACTGTATTGGTGAGAAGACTTACCTCTAAGTCTTGTTTGTTGGCTAGTAACATCAGGGGAACACCAGTAAGGTTATCATTCATAACCACCTTCTCTGTGGAGAAGAATTAACAGTAACGCAGATTTGTTAAATAATGCACTTTTATAGGGAACAGTCAACACTTTTACAATGCTAAGCATAGAAACCAACCTCCAAGCCACAGGTATTTTCTTCAACATAAAAGGTTAATAGAAAGTTAATTTAGTGTGGAGTAAAGTTATAGGCTCATGACATGGGTCCCAGCTGTTAAGTAGAATATTAGTTGGGTGATGTTTACTAATGAATTAACAACATTTCTACAACCCAAACAGACTGAAGGGTCCTGAACAGCTATCTAGTGCAACAAATGACCAACATCTCTAGTATAATTTAAATCGCTGGTCTTTAAAGATTTTATGGGGGGGGGGGGGGGCAGATAAAATAAGTGTTTATACACCTGACATAGAAAAAATGTCTGTGGTCACCCAGAACTATACCCAGCCAGCTTTATTTCCCATAGCAACTCTAAACTACAATTTATCAGGATTGGGTGGGCTAATTGATGTCTGGCTATCTTAAGCAAGTGGTCCCAATTTACAAAATTATTTAGGCAACAAGAATATGATAGCTCATACCAAATGCATCTTTAGATTCCTCCACCCTTTCCCTGTCTGATGAATCCACTATATAGATCACAGCATGAGACTCAACATAATACTGTGAGAAACAATACATTTGTTTATGAGTAAATAATTATAAAATAATAATAATTAACATTAATTGAAAAACATTTTCAGAAATAAAATTGATGCTGAGGGTAGTAGAGTTTAGGTTGTTTACCTTTACCATTATAATAAAATATATAGATTCGAACAATTACCTTGTCCCATAACGACTGAAGCTCCTCCTGTCCACCCAAATCCCAAAAATTTAGTCGTGACGTGCCGACATCAATTTTTCCAACTTTGAGGAAAAATCAAAGCAAATATAGTGATAATCTTTAGTTAAATTCACATAAATATTACACTGAGAAATCAAACAAGGTTTAAAAGGAAAATTTACCAAGTTAATTAATTTCTTAAATTGCATGTTATTTCAAATTTTAAAAAAAGCATTAATGTATTTTTATTAAAGTTATTTTTAAAATATTTATATCATTTTTGAATCTAGAAATTTACTGAATCAAATTCAGTAGACAAAGAACAAAAAAAAAAACAATGTTTGTAAGTGTTGGCTATTTGAAAATGTTTGTTCTTCATATACTAAGACAAGAGTAGCTTCCCCTGAAAAGGTTCACAGTAAAAAATTCCCTATTTTCAAACACATCAGTTCTACTTTTAAATAAATTGCACTGAAAGCTCATCAACACGCCAAAAGAAGAAAATGACTGTATCACTTTTTATGAAAACAGTTAAGTTAAATGTTTAAAACCATGACTAATGTAGACAATTTTAAACTGTACAGTTAAACCTTAATGTATGAGATAAATTGCAAGTAGCTTCCTTTCCTCAGAAAGTTTAAAGACAAGTGCTTTTAATTATCATTATCACATATGATTTCATTAGAAAATGTTTTTTAAATGCACCAAATATGAAAGAAACTGCTTTAAATTGTACTAAAGTAAAATGAAAATGCCTTAAAAGTAACAAATGTTTTTGTAACTTGCTGTAAGGGCCTAAATACCAGTCATTTATCACGTTGAGTGTGTTTTAATTTCTACACCAAATTTGCTTTTGAAAATATTTATAAAAGGTTCCAAAAGAATGGTCTAAGGGCAGATAACCTCACTTACTGTTCAATCCAACTGTAGATGTAATTTTGGCCAGGTTCATTCCTTGGTAATTTTTGTTAAATTTGGTCTTGGTCTGCTCTAAGAATGTCTGAAAAATAAGTACTAGACTTAAAAGCTTGCTTTTATCTATTTAATTTTAAGAGATAAAAAATGAAAATTTTAAAAAATAAATTATACTACAGTTTATTTTTAATGACATATTTATATCTTTATTTACTTTAGAAGTAAGCTCTAGGTGTACAGCACAAAGTAACTTACTGTTTTACCAGCATTGTCCAGCCCTAAGATAAGCACAAAGTATTGATCACGCTGGCACATGTACTTGTAAAAACCGGACAACAAAGTATACATCTGTCAAAGGGAGGTTATCAAAAATAATTTAATTATATTGACGATACAAAATGATATATACCATACATAAATGATTAGTCAAATTTTTTATACACACATATTTAATAAATCTTCCAAAATAAAATAACATTTAGAATAAAGGTCTCTACCAGAATAGATAACATTAGTAACTCAAGAATAAGTAACATATTGAAACTAATTTATATCTAATTCATTCTACAGGACTTTAAAAAATTGATTCGTTTTTTTTTTATTAGTTTGCAAAACAAATTGTTCTATTTCTTCAGAGCTCAATAATGCTCCTTTATTTTTCTTCAGTTTTGCAATACTTTTTCAATACATTCATTCCTAAATGTCATTGAGGCATTTATTTTCTAATTTCAACTAAATGTACTGTCTTGGAAATTATAATTGAGATCTTTATATTTTGTATTCATCACATGTTGAGAGTGATTCAGTCATGTCATCAGTTAGACTAGATCGATGACAGTGTTGACGCAGGAAAAAAATAACTTGTGTTGATGCAGCTGTGACTGACTAATTACATGCACATGTCCGTCAGGTGTTCACATGACTCAAGCTAATTAACCAGGAATTGATTAATGATTAAAGACTAAACATGGAACTTACTTTGCAGTGATGACCTCACACCAATTCCATGAAGAAAATTTCTATGTACAGCTATAAAATTTGGACTATAACTTGGTACAGATACAAGGCATGATTGTTGTTGAAAACTAATTGAGCCACATCATTGTAAAATGGCTTTTTAAACTGATAATGAACTAGTCATAAATCTGAGGTTTTAATTCAACAATTCACTGGCTGTCTCTTTAAAATCTGAAAAAAAAAAAAAAAAAAATGTAAATAATTAATAAGTAAAGATTCTGTAACAAAGTAGTTAATCTTTTTCTTTAAAAAAAAAAGTCAACTTTTTAATGATAATGATTAAAAATAATGATTTAACAATATCAGTATTTATATAATATTTAAGATTTTGCATGTACAGTTAATATAAAGGGGCCTATATTTTATTTTAGTAATACTTAATCAATAAACAAATAACTCCGAGTATATTATTATTTTGCTTTCAAGCAGTTTTGGTTAGGCTGTTAAGATGCAGCAATAGTTGACAGACAGATACACATAATTTATTTTATTATATCCAGTCCTATTTATTTAAAACTAACGTGCCTGTCCTCACGCATTGCTGCGGGGATAGCAGAAAGTCTGACAAAATATATAAGAAGCATTTCATTAATGCGTTACCAATCTTGTCTTCTTAGACGTGGGACCTTTTTTTCTAAAACTGAGTTCAAATTTAAATGTAAACAATTTGGATCAAATTTATCGGGGCACGGGTTTACCTACCGCATAAAAGCTTTGAGTGTATGTTAATCACTCACCATAATAGTGAGGTAGAACACAATTCGGTGACGGCCCAGGTGTCAGAGATGTATAGGGGCACCCACGAGAGCCCTCGGTTACACTACCGCAGGGGCGCCGCATACGGTCCATAGCTGTTTAAAACTAACATAAGCGCCCTGGTGCTCTCACAGGATAACCCAGAGTGCCAAATATCATCATGAAACAATGATGCAGATTGCATCATTCACAAAAGGGACAAAAATCAACAGGATTTTTTCTTTAACATGTAGAAAAAAAATTATTTGACGAGAAATAAACTTCAGCATGGCTGTTGCAATTTGTTAGCGTTACTAATGATGTATTATTAGATGCTCGATCTCAATTTCTGATAGTCTAAAACTAAATGCTAATTGCATCATTGGCAAAGTGATGAAACTGTACAGAAGGATTTCCTTGTGTTACAAAGTTATTTTTAGAAGTGTAATATTTATTTTTAGATTTTAGTTGCCCTCCGAAACTTAATTTTTTACAGAAACATTTTCTTTATTATTTTGAGAACTGTAGACTTTGGAGTTGTTTGGATTTATTTATGGACAAAAGGAAACAACCCTTTTAATACTCTAACCTTGGTTAATTTATCTGATTATTAAAAAAAAATTTATTACAGGGCCCTGAGCGGCCCATGTGAGCCTTTAAGGGGCCGAATCTGAAATTTTTGTTTGCAGCCAAATTGCACCCTACCAGGGAGTCTACGGTAAGCAACTGTAACACCCCATCTTATTCATGGTCTATCGCTCTGTTCAGAACTAACGTAGATGCCATTGAGCTCAAGGGAGAGCCCAGTGTGCCAAATCGACCACTGCAGGGGCGCCAGAGGAAGCGCTTGGTTCAATATAGTCAACGATTATTGTGGCCCATTGTATTTTTAGTGTACAGCCATGTTTTTTATTTTTATTAAATGAACGTTAGTGCCACAGTGGAGCTTGGGGCGCTTCGGGTAGTGCAATTTATGGGGCGCCGGCATGTTTGCGCCTGTTTAAGTTTTTACGCTGAATATAGTAGATTAACAGATGCCAAGTGCTAACATAGCTGCTCTGGAACTCTGGGCGCCAAATTGTGTATTGATGAAAATCGCACTCTCGCGGGCGGCGCCCATATCAAATTTTAATTATTTTGTTTACAGAAACCTTCTCGGGAGTATTCTCATCAACTCGCCAAAGTTTCACGGCACTAGGGTGAACGGTGTCAAGCCACATCAGAATTTTATTTTTTTAAATACCATATATAGAGAAAAATCGCACCCTCCCATATTTTTTTTTCACTGCCCTTGCGAAATTAAAAGTGATTTTTCTGCAGAAACCTCCCCATATCAACTACACAAAGCTTGATGGCAATCGACTATTATTTTTGTACACCGTATATGGAGAAAAAACAAATCACGCCAGGGCACCACCCTTGTGAATTTGAAATTTTTCTTTACTCCCCAGGAGTATTCTCAAACAACTTCCCAAAGTTTCATGGCGATCGGATGAAAGGTGTAGTAATCATAAAGTAATCCATAAAAGACAAACAAACACACATTGCTTTTTATATAGATAGATTATAATCTAGAAATAGTTACTTTAAAAATACTAACTATGCATTTCTTGTGTAGGTCATAATGCTATCCAATTACGATTTAAAAAGTTAAAATAAAATACATATTAGCTGAACTAGCATGTCAGTTTCAATCAGTTTTATTCATGCTTCTATAATTTTCACAAGTCTTTTTCTGTTTTTTTCACTGATGACAACAAAAAAAATTGTATGTGATTCTTTGTCACTTTGCAAATATGCTGGTTATCACATCACAAACGAAGAAATTTCAATTATTCTATTTTATTTTTTTTTAAAGAAATTTCAATTATTCCATTTGAATTTTTTTTAAAGTAAAATCATTCTTTCATGAATAATGGCAAAAATAAAATTGATATTTCCAAATGACACCCAAATAGAAGTGGCCTATTGATGGATTTGTGACAGTAGTGTATTTTACTACTTGATCACACCAAATTTGAAATGTGAATTTTTAACTGTTTCATTAAGGACAGTTATGTTTTGGAATAGCCTTAGTAATAATTAATAATATAATTTGAAGTCTTCCATTCCAATTGATGCAATTCCATAACAACAGTTAACTGTGAATCGGCACTTGTAATAGCTTTGTACTTTGTAGTAAATAGAATTTGTACAGATAATATAAGGGCCCTAATGATTAATAAATAAATTACTTTTTAACTTTTTACTTTACTTAATACTTAGGGCATTCGGTAATTCTAGGGCGCCTACTAACTTTCTGATTAGTAATTAGGGCCTAATTAATTTTGGTAATCTATCGTTTTGGGTACGTAAAATCGCCCGCGGCTATTAATGTACAAAAACGTTACCTCATTGTCAAGACTGTAATAGAAGTATATTGTGATATGTTTGTGTCAAATATTATAGATAAATGAATAATAAACCTAAATCAATGGTTAAATATATCAATATAGGCCAGAAATTAACTTTAAACAGCAGTGTCTGCAAGCAAGATTTGCTATATAAACAGCAGCCATTTGTGAAAATAGAGTGACTTCCGCCTGAATCTCGCGCTATAAGTCTATAAAAATAAAACTTTAACAAGATGGCTGCTATAGTAAATGAGCATGGTTGCATCTATTGGAAACATCGCTGGTGTTCATTTATTACTGAAAAGTTTTGATTCAATTGTTTAAAAACAGGTACATAAATGAAACAAGGAAACATTTTTGTATTTTTCAAAACATAAATCCTCTTCAAAATGTGAAATAATTATTAAAATGTAAGGAGTCACCTGTTTTTCACATTACTAGTCGCGGGCGATTTTACGTACCTAAATCGATAGATTACCTTAATTTTATAATACTTAGGCTTCTTAGTACTTACTTAGTAGATCTAGTACTTAGGGCTAGGGCCTATATCTAGATTTTAGTTTTAGATCTAGGAATAGTATAGGCCTAAGCGAGCCGCCAACACTTATTATTTTTAATAGGCCCTATTTTATTATTTTTTAGGCCCTAAAAACTAAAAAGTTTTTTTTTTTAATTTCTTAAATTCGTCGTTTTCGTTGTTATTAATTATTAATTAAATTATTATAGTTAAAATAGGCCTATTAACTATTAAGCCTAAGACTTGAATTTACAATAAAATGTCAATTTACCATTTAAAGCTCTCTAATGTAGAAAAGAGATTGATTACAAAGTCATCGATTATTTCATTCTTTAAAAAATAAATACGATGACTGCTGTGTCAGTATCACTTGCGTAGTATAGTAGTGTATGACGTGTTTATGTTCCGGTGATTTCAAGGGAATCTACTCTAGTTTTTTTTCTTGTCATTTTAATTTATCTGTCTTAAAAAATTGGAACACTTTTCATTAATTAAATACTAGATCTAGTAATCGGACTGTTGTAAATGTAATGTTGAATGGAAATGGGCTTCAAGAAATAATTTCACTTGAAATTTTATAATTAAATAAATAATGCTTAGGTAAACATTTGTTTTTAATAGCTAAAAATAATAAAGTTTGATACCCAATTATTTTATTCAAGTAGTGTAGGCCTACTAAGGCAGCTATGCTGCCTCATAAAAAATGTCTTTTTTTAATTAGGTCATCAACTTAGAACTTTAAAAAATTAAAATACTTTTAGCGTTGCAAACAGAGTTTATTCTAGGCATCTCTCCGAGGGGCTCCGCCCCCCACCCCCCCGAAGACAGTCTACCCCCCCCCCCCCCGAACGAAATGGAATTTATAATATGTATATACAAAACATACTTTTACCAGTGTGTTCCCCCCCCCCCCCCAGACAATATCAAGTGCACCCCGGAGAAAGTCTGGAAGAAACAATGGTTGCAAACAATGATTTATAGCACAAACCTAAGAATGTTTAGCGAAATTTGAATGAACAATTTCTATGTATAGGTAGGCCTATCTACACTTGAGTTCGATCACACAAAAATCACTAAAGGCAATGCAAAAATAACATGTTATTAATAGAAAGTGTAATGGATAATTAATATTATGTAGATCTATGAAGGATGCATATTTAGAAAATAAATTTTAGTGAAATTTTTAAAATGTATGGACTCTGGATCTATATTATTATCATTCGATTTTCGTTAAAAACTGCTGATTGAAGTAGCCCGGGCATCTAGTAAAGAAAACGTTCTAGAAGGCGACTTCAAAGATAAGCCACATCTTGCGAGTTATTTTTCCCTTGACAATGGACATGTCTAATAAACATGTCGCAAGTGGATGCGTGGCGTTAAAAATAACATGATGATCCAGTCCTTCTCCTTCTTCTTTGTTCTTAATTGCAAATGTTGGACGGGATTTCCTCCAACACATTAAAAATTACATGTTCCCATGGTATGTACCATATGGCGCGTTGACTCCGATTTCAGCCTGCTTTTCTTTCCGGATTTTCTCCCCATAGCCTTTATCCTTTATGTTTGATTCTTGGAGTTGTCTCTCCTAGATGAGTTGCTGTCCCTAGCTATCGGGCCTCAGTCACAGTGTTTCTTCCAGACTTTTTTCTCCAGGGGCACTTGATATTTTCTCGGGGGGGGGGGGGGGGCACTAGTATAAGTATATATTTACTAAATTCCATCTCGTAGGGGGGGGGGGGGGTTCGGTAGACTTTCTTCGGGGGGAGGGGGGAACTCTGTTCAGTTAAACTCGAGACTTTTCGGTTTAGCAGCCATGAGCTTTACCGACCCGACCACGCCATCCCTTCATTCAATAGTGTGAGCAGTACTCACTACTCACCATACATAAAGAAAACAACACGTCTGTTTAGACGAATAGAAAACCCATAGGAACAAAAGGGAGATTAGCCACCTGCTAGTTGATGTTTTTTTTTTTTTAACAGCTTCAGAAGTTGGATTGTGAGAACATAGGATCGATGAGCGAAGAGAACTTGCATGAATTGTTTTTATCTGTGTGCGTGCGTGAGTGTGAAAAGTGTGCATGTGTGTGTGTCTGTGTATATGCGTGTTGGTGTGTCGGTGCATGTGCGTGTGTGTGTGTGTGTGTGTGTGTCGATGTATATGCGTGTGTATGTGCGTGTTGGTGTATGTGTGTCGGTGTATGTTCGTGTTGGTGTGTCGATGCATGTGTGTAATTGTCGGTGTATGTGCGTGTTGGTATGTTGGTGTATGTGCGTGTGTGTCGGTGTATATGCGTGTGTGTCGGTGTATGTGCGCGTGTGTCGGCGTATGTGCTTGTTGGTGTCGGTGTATGTGTGTGTGTGTCGGTGTACGTGTGTGTTGGTATGTCGGTGTATGTGTGTGTCGGTGTATGTGTGTGTGAGGTGCATGTGCGTGTCGGTATGTCGGTGTATGTGCGTGTTGGTGTGTCGGTATATGTGTGTGTGTCGGTGTATGTGTGTGTGAGGTGCATGTGCGTGTCGGTATGTCGGTGCATGTGCGTGTCGGTATGTCGGTGTATGTGCGTGTGTGTGTCGGTATATGTGCGTGTGTGTCGGTGTATGTGTTTGTTGGTGTGTCGGTGTACTTTCGTGTTGGTGTGTGCATACCGCACCCTCTTCTTTTATTACTCACAAATTTTGAAATTTAAATTCATCATTCAATGTGATTTACGAGAAAAAAAATTATAAGCCGTTTGATTGTTCTTGGAATTTAATATTATGTTTTGGTATTTAAACATGCAGCTTTACTATTTAAATGTGCAATAGATTTAGGCCCTACTTGTATATTTATATTTTTAATAGACATTTTTATATTTTTAATAGAAAATCCTACATGCGACTAAAAAAAAAAATTAAAAAAAAGAAAAAAACTACCGTAGAGAAATTTGAATTTAATTTCTGAACCTTAGCATCCGATTCTGGTGATTAAGGACAATGTAAAGCTTGGCGAATGGCGGGGCCCACCTGTAAAGGACACCAGGTACAAACGATGGGTTCTGAGGGCTTGTCCGAATGATGATGGTTTTGGCTTTCATAGAAAGTGACAGGATCGGATCCATGGGAGGCTGAGTAGAATACAGTCGCGGCATCAGAATTCTCAGGGGTAAAAAAAAAATGTTTTTTTTTCTTCATTCAGGAGCAAAGTCATTATGGGGTTCGGACATTTTTTTAATCAAAGGTCCATTAAACCACTAAGGACTAAGAATTAAAAAACCGGCCAAATCACGTGACATTGTGTACGGTCGACACCTTCACCCCGCCCCCGCCCCCCATAAAAAAGCACGTGATGGTCATTCATCCATCAATCACTTTGTCGTCCATACCAACAACCGAGACACACCGTTTCTCGCCGTCAAACTACCTGCAATATAATTGATTGGCACCAGTCGATATTTCCCCTCCCACTGTTAATCAGATCGCGATCTGGCAATCAACACCCGTCTATAGTCACAGGTCGGCGAACGTGCATAAATAATAACAGCAGAAATCAGCTTCTTTGTTGCCCTAGGGCTGTGGGTGAGTCAACATTGTGACGAGTTCAATGGGCTCCCTAGTGACGTAACCTTTGATTTAGCTCAATGCAGTTTACTGATCAGTTGTGTGTTGTCGTTTTTATGTGTGTAAAACGAGATGTGAATACCCTCACCTTATATTAATGCTTTACCCCTAGTAACAGAAGAATACTATTTATGATAATACCATTTTTTTTTTTTTTTTTTTTTTGTAAGAGAGATCGGGAGTTATCGGGGCGCCATGAAAGTTTTTTTTTTTTTTTTTTTTTTTTTTTTTTTGTAAAAGCGATTGAGGTTTTATCGAGGGGCGCCATGAAAGTGAGGGCGAAATGCATTGGGGCGTCATGCAATTTAAAAACCCACTGGCGAGTTGGGCCCGCGTGCAATTTTTGGGGCTTTACGCGATTTAATGCGTCGTGCAATTTAGGATGCTGTGTAATTAAGGGCGCTGTGCAATTTAAAGTTATCCGGAGTTTCGTGTGGCACGCAATTAAATGTCGCATGCCATTTTAATGCGAACGTGCTTTTTTTTTTTAAAAATCAGTAACGTAAAGCACATATTATTGCAATATAAGGCGCTAACTGCTTTTTTATTTTGTCTGTTCTAAAAATTATTTGCTTAGCCAAGCTTAATAAGTCTTGCCTAAACGTAACTAGAGCATCATAGACGACATCACGTGACATCATGGACGACAACTATCGTGAATGATATCATAGACGACAATATAGACGACAATATAGACGACAATATAGACGACATCATAGACGACATCATAGTTGACATCATAGACGACATCATATACAACATAGACGACAACATAGACGACATCATAGACGACATCATAGACGACATCATATACAACATAGACGACAACATAGACGACATCATAGACGACATCATATACAACATAGACGACAACATAGACGACATCATAGACGACATGATAGACGACATCATATACAACATAGACGACAACATAGACGACAACATAGACGACATCATATACATCATAGACGACAACATAGACGACAACATAGACGACAACATAGACGACAACATAGACGACAACATAGACGACAACATAGACGACAACATAGACGACATAGTGACATCATGGACGACAACATAGACGACAACATAGACGACAACATAGACGACAACATAGACGACATAGTGACATCATGGACGACAACATAGACGACAACATAGACGACAACATAGACGACAACATAGACGACAACATAGACGACATAGTGACATCATGGACGACAACATAGACGACAACATAGACGACATAGTGACATCATGGACGACAACCATCGCAGACGACATTCTGGGGGACATCATGGAAGATCATGACTTAACAGACGACATCATGGACGGCAATATAGACAACATTATAGACGACATTATGGACAACATTATAGAACATCAAGGACAACTTTAAGGACGCCAACAAGTACGACACCTACCAAGGCCAATACTTCCAATACGACTTATTTCGGTCGGTAGATGTGGGAGCGGGTTCCAGCAATTGTCTGGAAGATAAACCTTTGCCCGCGCTGTTCTTGTTAGAATTAGAAGAAAAAGAAAGCAGAACATTTGGATTGCTCTCTTCTAGAAGGAACGCCAAAAGTATATATATTATTTTTTTTATCCACTGGAAGAATATTCGTTTTAATAAACGGAAAAAAAATGTTCCTTGTTCTGTTCTAGCTAGAACACTACAACACAGACCAGAACATGCCGACAGATTTCTTGCACAGCTTACAATCTGATCTCAAAAAGACCCCCTCCCCCCTCCTCACCCACCCTTGGGTTTATACTTGATACCATGTCCCTTTCGACTTTTCATAACCCTCTGTCTCCCCCCTCCCCTCCATAACCCTTCTCGCACTCCTGCCCCCCTCCCCCTAACACTCCATAACCCTTCTGTCACTCCCCCCCCCCACCCTCCATAACCCTCCTGTTCTCATGTCTCACATCTGCGACACAGCATCGACATCTGGCTCCCGTTAAAATGGACTGATTTCAATTATTAACTCGGACAAAAAATGTATCCTGGAACAATCCTTTCAACCCTTACGGTCCATAGGGAGACAGGGGAGACAACTGATGGTTTCAAGTTCTATGTTGCGTTTGTATGTGACCTCGGCATACTGTGGGGCTATGATGTCATATGTGGGTCGGCATCGCGCCTAGCAGCCTTTACTTTCTTGAGTCAAGAACCCACCAAAATTTGGTGAAACTACCAATGACAGGGGACCATGTGGTCTAAGTGGTAGAGCGCTTGGCTGCCAACCCGAAAGTCTCGAGTTCGAATCCCGGTTCATGTCAGTAGAACGTCCCTGAATCCACCCAGCTCTGATGGGTACCTAACTCACGTTAGGGAAAGTAAAAGCGGCTGGCCAAAGTGCTGATCACACCTTCCCTTCATATGCAGAGGTTAAGAAACATCAACTCTACTTCATCTGCCCAACAGATCGCTGGATCTAATGGAGATTTTTTATTTTTCCAATGACCTACTTATTCTGAACCTGGAACAGAAATCTAGCCATCTGGGATAGTAATCAAGCGCTCTGGTACTTGACCATTTTATAAAAACAACGGATGGTATTATTTTTTAAAATGGTGTGACCTTAGAAGTATTACTATTTCAGTTTTGAGTAGATTTTTTTTTCCAAAATTATTTCCACAACTATTGTTTTCTATTAATATGTTTTTCCCTCAATACTACTGTAACTATTTTTTCCACAACGCTATTTAAACTGTTTTTTTTTAATATTATTTAAACAGCTACTTTTTCTAAAAAAAAAAAATATTGAAACAAATAATGTTTTAAATTATTTAAACAACTATTTTTTTCTAAAAACTATTTATACAAACTATTGTTTCCCTCAATGCTAGTTAACCCATTTTTTTTCTCAAAGTTCCGTTGTAACTTTTATCAACACTATTTAAACAAATATTTTTTCATAAAATTATTTAAACATTTTTTTTCAAAACTATTTAAACAATTTTTTCCCTCAAACCTATTTAAACAACTATTTCGGAAAGCCTTTCGTGACCGAAGCAAGATTAGACAGGGAAGCGCATGAAGTAAAATCCCCTCGCGTGCCTAGCACGAGGCTTGGTAGTACTCACGACTACTGGGCTTCAGACCGCCGGCGTGTCGGCAGACGTCAAGCAAGTTTGATTAAAATCTGTGACCGTGTGAACTGTCAAGGCGACGTCCCACGTGCCCCTATGCTGCCGGGGGAGGGGGGGGGAGACGACGACACGACGACTATCGAGCGCCCCCTTAAATTGCTTTAGTTCATTACTCGGCGGAAGATGCATTATGCCAACAGGATGCAGGTGCGCTCGACCAATCGGCGGCCGAGTTTGCATTTACTCCGGAACTGGTACCCCGGCACGGCAACTGTCCCGGAGCGAGAAAAAGGAAGCGGGGCCGGCTGTCGGCACGCGCTCGCACGTGCCGGCATCCCATAATTCGCTCTAATTTCTACTCTGTGAGTACACAGGTGCAGTGGTGAATCATTGATTAGCACCTTTTGTAGAAGAAAAAAAAAAAGATTATATTGTTCTGTTTCTCTTTTTTTTTTAAAATATACCATTGTTATGGTAAGTCTTCGTAGTACTTTGTTTCCTTGTACTGAGTACCCCCCCCCCTCTCTCTCTCTCATATACCCACGCACGTGGTGATACATTAGAGATGCTTGTCGTGTTGCTGTGTCACCACATGAGAAATACTCTCTCTGAACTTGGGGGGGGGGGGGGATTTGGTGACAAAGGAAAAAAACACATGGGGGGGGGGGGGGGGAGAAATATCAATGGCGTCAAACTCACGTGTGTTGGTGATGTGTTTATGTGTAATGGGGTGAATGCGTTATGGACAATTACACAGGAAAGTGTGATGTATGTGGTCTATGTGATGTATGTAGTCTATGTGATGTATTGTATGTAGTCTATTACGTGCAGACTTTGAAGTAGATGTATTGGTTTATGGACCATTGCATTTCAAAGTTCGATGTCTGTAGTGTGTCACTGTATCAGACTATCAAGTAGATCTATTGCCTTAGGGATAATTATACATGAAAGTTTAATATCTGTGTAGCACCATAGCAGACTATCAAGTAGATCTATTGCCCTAGGGATAATTATACGTGAAAGTTTAATATCTGTGTAGCACCATAGCAGACTTTGAAGTAGAATCTATAGCCTTTTGGACAAAAACGCATGAAAGTTTGATGTCTGTAGTTTATCACTATAACAGACTATGCAGTAAATAAATTGCCATTTGGAGACAAAAACCCATGAAATTTTCATTAAATGTTTGTATCTGTATATATGGATTATACATGCTGTAGAGATCACGGACTGGCTGTGTTCAAGAGGTCCAGGGAAATAGTAAAGAATCAGTAGCGTAGCGAGGGGGGGGGGGACATATGTCCCCGGGCGCCGACCTTAGGGGGCGCCAAAATGGGTTGGAAAAATAAAAATGAAAGTTTGAGGGGGGTGCAAATCGAAAGTTTGAGAGGGGGGGTGCAAATCGAAAGTTTGTCCCCGGGCGCCGGGAAGGGTCGCTACGCCTCTGTAAAGAATCGCCACCAATACCACACTGAAATTTTCAATGTGCATTTTTTCTTCACCAAGGCCTGAAGTCTACGACTTGCCATGAAGCAATGGTAAAAATACCAATAATTGAAAAATAAAGTAAAACCCTAACAGGACTATTACAGCACGATTCCTGGGGGCCCACCGAGAGTTTTTCGTGGGGGCCCACCAATATTTTTCCCGGTAGATAGGTGGGCCAGTCCACCCCTCGTGGAGATCGACGTTGTATTTTCAAATGCCCAACACATTTTTTTTCATGGGGAAATACTTTTATTTTCTAGCGTGACATACATAATTGAGCAACCTGATTTCACATTCACTACATACAATATAATGTGTTTGATAACCTCAAACAGCAAGGACGAGACAATTGGTAAAGTGTTTTTTTTTCTAACCAGTTTCTATGCTCGTTTTATTGTTCCTTCTTGTTTTACCGTATTGTCTTAATAAGTTTTGTCGGATTACTTTTTCAAAAACATTTGTTCACATATAAACGCTAAAAAAAATTCTTTATTTCTTAAAAATTTTAAACATGTGTTGGCATATCAAATGTTTACTAATTAAAGTAGAGTATAATGCTCTAATCATTCTAGTTAAATAACCGCGAAATCCACCCGCATACCCTAACCACAGATGTGAATGTCTTTAACGTTTTTACCCCAAGTCTTTTGTGGGTGTCGATTTCCCATAGGAAAGTTGTCAAAAAAAAAACGTTGAAGTTTTCAGGTAAGGAGAGTGGAGGGGGGGGGGGTGTCTTTACACACGTGTGTCAACGACAGGTGTGTGTGTGTCGTCGGACCAAAACCTATCCGATGGTTTAATTAAGTATTGGCTCATTGTTTAAGACGCCTTCCTTGTCATGTTCCTAATTAACGAAGTGTGCTCGGTCTTGTGTATATAGGCCCTACACACACACACACGCGCACGCACGCACGCGCACACACACACACACACACCACACACACACACATACATACACACTGCCCCATTCTACGCGAACACTAAGAATCATTTCTTGACTCGGTCACTAATCTGTTTAAAGTAACAGTTTAGTGTATAGATTTAGTTGATTCGATGCCGAAACGATTGTCATAATTTAATAGAATTAATAGTTGTTTTTTTTCTCCCAGGATCATAAAATAATTAAAATAATGTAATAATCTATATAAACGTCAGATTTAAATATACGTTAATTTCTTCTTTATAAAGGAATAGTATCTTCTATAGTTTTTCACTCTCGACGGTTTTGATTTTTTAATAGTTTTTGAAAAAAAAAATTTGTAACTATTTTTCAGAAATGTTATGCGCGCCACCTGACATATCCAGAGGCGTAGCTAGTGATATGCGGGCGGGGCGGCCACCCCGGGCGCCGACAATAGGTGGCGCCAAACGGGTTAGAAAAAAATTGAAAAGCTCATTCTGGCAGCAATACAGTCAAAGCTTTAACAACAATAGACTGCACATAACTTTACGGACTTACTTTACCGTTGTCCACATCTATTGTGTGACACT